TCCAAGAGTTGCACGACCAGGAAAGAAGAATCCAAGCGGAGATAGCTGAGCTGGAATCCTCCGGGAAGAAGATGAGCCCTTGCTCCGGCTCCGGCTCCGGCAACTTCGAGGTGGAACTTCCGGTGCTGTTGAGATCCAAGAAGAAGAAGGTCAACGACCACTTGTATGATTCCTCCGCCGGCTCCTTCCGAACTTCCTCCTCCCCCATCGAGCTTCTAGAAGTACGCACCCTCTTCTTTCTTGTACATTACTATTAATTCCCATATATAGGAGATAAGTTGTACTTTATTTTATTTTATTTCATAAATAAATTATATTAATGGTGCTACTCTTAATAAACTAATAATTATGATGGGTTATATATATATATATATTCGGTACGTATTTTGATTCATTATCTTTAGACCAAGTTATTACGATGGAGAAACTAATTTGGTGTGTGGTATATATGTGTAGCAGTTGAGAGTGGTGTATATGGGGGAGAGGACAGTGCTGGTGAGCTTGATGTGCAATAAAAGGACAGACACAATGGTGAGATTATGCGAGCTATTCGAATCTTTGAAGCTCAAAATTATCACCGCAAACATTACCACCGTCTCTGCCCATCTTTTGAAGACAGTCTTCATCGAGGTCAGTCTCAATTCCACTCTTACAACTTGTATTATTTACTATATTAGTTTCAACCTGAGAGAAATAATCCACTCGTAATGATGCTTCTTTGTTAAACATAATGAATATTACTCCCGTTTAAGGACACTTCATCCCTAAATCCCGATTTCGTCCCAAATTTACTGCTCACTAATCATTGATGAAAGAAATGATATATATAAGTTTTCCAACCATGTAGATAATCAAGTACACAACAGAAAATCAAATAAAAAGTTTTAAAAAAAATATATCATTCGCCAAAAAGGCAATAGATAGACTAGATGACAAACAAGATCAAGCCCACATTTATCAAATGGTCATAAAATCCGACATTATGATACAAGTGGGGCACAAAATACAATTTTGTTGGGTCTGGTGAGACTTGTTTTTTTTTTATATATATATTCTTGATTACATTTAAATTATATATATTCTCCTAAATTATATTCATAAATGTTATTATTGATTAGGTAGGACTTTGAAGGTGTGTAAATATTACAAATGTGGTTATCATCAAGCATAGATCCCAATTGAGCTGGAAAAGATCATTTATTTGGCTCTATAACTAATCATAATTATTATAAGAGGGAGCATGATTAAGACCACTTAATTAGATATATTTAATTATAAATATATCATCAAAATTCTAGATTGGGGAAAGGAGGATTGACAATGATGCCAATCCAGAGTGTTCGAATAATATATCATCAAAATTCCGGGGGGGGGGGAAGTGAGACTGATGCTTGATAATTGCTTGCTCAGCCTTTTTCCTTTTTCTCTCACTTGAAATTTCCTTACCGCTTCTAACTTTTGGTTAGCATACAATTTGTTAGCCAACCTTTGTTTTTGTTTCGAGATGTTCTTGATACATGAGAATATCTGTGTTAGGAGCAGTGATGGAGCTACGTATGTTTAAAAGAGTCTACAGTATTTTTCAACATTTGATATTAGATTATAATTTGTGTACAGAGGTATTGAAAAAAGTATTGTAAGTGTCAAGATGAAAACTACATATCAAGTTATCAACTCGCTTGTTTCAAATCCACATTAATTCAACGCTTCAAAATAATTGTTATAATTTCTTATATCTAGTTGATCCTCACTTCCAACCCTGATTCTGCCACTATCTATAGGTGGTATACATTAGGTGCATTTCAAATAACCTACAATCATAACACACGCAACTTAAAAAGATAACCTCAATAAAGCGTTCGTCAATATAATTTTCAATACAATTGACTGTGAAGCTGGATCAAATCTTAACTTACAAGGAACACACTTGCACATATTTTTGTGCTTCAACAACTATTAGACTAATTAAGTTAATATAAATGGTTATTTATTATCTTAAAAGGGGTTATCGGGAGTAGTGGGGATATCAACATCGCTTGTCTCAGGCCTTGATCATAGTTAATCAATAAAATCAACTCCCTAAACCATTATTCGGATTTTATAATGATTTTCTTAGATTTCTTAATCATAAATTAGTTAAAATAATGTATTACACTACACTAGGTTACAACTAGTCCAAGTCATTAGATGCCAAAGTAAGCATTAAGGGCATGAAGAGCAGAAGATTAAGGGCCACATGGCACAATATTTTAGTGGCAATGATTTCAAAAGCCTTTTGTGACTTTACATACATATAAAATAATAACAATTGGTGCCATCAATAATAATTGATTAATGTAGGAAATGGATAAAACAATAATAGTGTCAACTTCTAGGGGTTGGCCCTTCTTTGAATCTTTAAAGTCTCTTCCTCCCCCAAATTCACGGCTGGAGTGTGGACAAGTTGGCGACATCTAATTGTGATTTGCAAGATACGGTTATGGTTAAACAAACATAAAAACAAATTATTTGCCAATGTGTGCACGTATATTATTGTTGTGTTTCCTCTCACATTCATATACCAACCTATCATTTATGTAAAGAAAGAGAATGGATTTAATTATTTCGATCCGATTAAGAAGTAGTTGAGAATTGAAACAGTCAGAAAATATACTTTGATCAGATCTTACTCGGTTCAAATAATATTTGATTCCATTCCAATTAAGTACTGGTGGAATTGTTGTCCACAATCACTCACGTAAGGATTTGGACAAGGATAAGCATAAGATGGTTGCTAGACTATGTTATGGAATTCGAGAACTAATTATTGGTGGCTTGAATATTATGTGCTTTATTATTGCAGGCGGAGGAAGATGAAAAGGATGATTTGAGACATAAAATAGAAGTTGCGATTGCATCTCTCAACGATCCTGAAAGTCCTATGAGCATGTAGTTCATGCAATGAAGTATCCAAACATAAACCAAAGAGGGCAAAAAAAAAAAAAAAGTGTAAAAAAGGAGTCCAAGAGAAACATTAACATATGATGAGTTGAGTGATGGTCTCATATTTGGTTTGTCTTTTCCATTTTATCTCATTGTGGGAGAAGTTATGTGTTGCTTTCATGCATGGGGCTAGGGGTGATAAACGGTTAGTCGGTTATCGGTTTTAACCGATAATCGAACCGATAAAGTCGGTTAGTGGTTAACCGATAACCGCTACTTCCTTATTGATTTCGGTTTCGGTTAGTAGTATTTTGGTTAGTGGTTAACCGCTAACCGATTAATCGGTTAGCGGTTAACCGATAAGAAAACCGATAACCGCCTACTAGTGTGACTACATGATTTTTTACTTTGGCTAAGGGAAAAAGTTGTAAGATTCAAAACCAATCAAAGTTGCAATTCCAAACATCCCAATTCTCACCTATTGCAAACAACCCTCCATCAAGAGTCTCAAATATTTTTAAGAGTTAGAACTCGAAAGTCACCACTCTCTAAATTCCCTTTGCACTCGATAGAGTGAACCTTAGGTTGTTGATGACTATGGGCTAGATGAAGATCTTGGAGTAAATGATGACTATGGGCTAGATGAATTGGAGCGAGATCCTCGGATCATTTTGGTTGATGATTTGGAGATAATGAACTTGTTATTTGTGTCTTGTTGTGATTGTGACTTGTGGTTGAATTGTGGGCATGTAGACATTATGTTGTGGAGTTGTGGTTGAATTGTGTGGTTGCTTTAGACTTTATGTTCAATTGATTTAGATAACTTTATGGTGTGTGATTATAGAGGCTGAAACAAAAGCAGGTCACTCAAAATTGAGGGTGAATCATTAAAAAAGGTGGTTGAAATTCGATTTTGGGTGGTCGATTTCTGAACAAAAACCGAGAAAGTGAACCAGAACCTGCGGTTTCGGTTAACCGCAAGGGAAAACCGAAACCGATGTTTGCAGTTTTCGGTTAACCGAAGTCTCTGTCAGTTTCGGTTTCGGTTAGTGATCTTGGGACAATTTTGATTGCGGTTAACCGATATTTCGGTGCGGTTAAACCGAAACCGCACCAACTAACACCCCTACATGGGGCTTTCATTGCTGCCATTCCATCTCGTTCCTTCCTAATTCGATGTCAATCCCTCTCCTCTACGCGTATCCGAAATGGAAAGGTACTATGTTGTTTTCTTAGGAAGGAGTAAAGGGTAGGAATATAATAGTGTTTTGACGAAGGCCGGCCTAATCGAAAATCGTAGAATCCTAATTTGAGATATATATTTTCCAGGGGAATCAAATGTTTCAATTATCTTGATTATTGTTCTTTATGTTTTTAATTATATTACGAATCCATTTTATGAGTTGAGAGCTGAAACATAAATTAGCTTTAGCTTAATTAGTATCATAATAACACACTCTTCAGTTAATGCGGTATCTTATAGAGTCGATTACTCGATTTTCCTTGTTTTCATACATGATATGTCACGAAAAGCAAGTGGTTGTGAACGTGGCCTATTGCTTGTCTTCTGTTGCTTATGTCCATTCTAATGAAACCTAACAACCACTGGGACCTATATGTATCAAGCGGGTTGACTGGCCAATCCAAAGGTAAAAAAAGCACATGTTTACAAACAACTTTAATTTCCACTGTGCTTATGTCTACACCACACATATTTAACATGCATGTGCATGGAAGATGGAATCTAAGTCTGTGAAAATAGACTCGACGAGTAGAAGTCGATATATTTGAGTGGGAATACTACGAAGCATCAACATCGTTGGATGTCTAGTTAAAAATATGAATAATTATCATATGAGCGCTTTATTAATATTTAAAGTGTACCATCTCACAGCGTACGTACGTAGATCGTGTAAACATATACGGTGTTCCATTTCGCCTCTTCCAATAACATATAACCCTTACCCAGTAGTAATTTGGAGCATTCAATTATACCCATCTGGATAAAGTGTTTACAAGAAAGATGAGTGTTTCAAGGATAGGATAGGCCTGAATGGCTTGCTAGAACAACAACCAACCAACCAACAGATGAAATGCTATTGTTCACTTCTTTAGGAGGAGGGTGCTCCACTCCCATGGGCTAGGATAGGAAGGATTGAAGCCACACTAATTTCTATTTTGAAGAGATCTGAGTCATTGATAGAGTGGGTCTTCTATCCAAATCGTTGGAGGATAGTCCTCTAACTCCTAACAAAAAACTGGAGGACCATAACTTAATTGAATGAAATGGGAAATGGGTTGAAGTTTGAACACAGCCACGAGTTCAGGGGCCAAGGGTGTTAAATCGAAGGATGACAGGAAAAGGAGTGGCTGGCTGGCTATTCATACAAACAAAACAAAAGTGTCCCAAAATGGAAGGACCAATTAGGGTTGGCAACATGGCACCATGAAGTCGTGTCCCCCATCCAATGGTACAAGCGGGTTAAATACTCGATATGATCACCCAACTTATTGACATGCATCGCATAGGATACTGAACTTTATTTTTCATGCAACTGGATCACCAAACTCACTTCAATCTCGTTTCTACTTCTGCCCTAGCACATCAAACCAATAACTTCTGTTACTAGCTTGAAATGGCAACGCTATATCATTCAACATCAACTAACTGATAATGCTCAGATCAGATGGAAGTAAACAACAAAACAGTAGGAGCAGATCATCGCACGCAACTCATGTACTAAAGGCTGCTGTGCTGCTGAACTGATATTTCCGTACCAAAATCAAGGGGGGGCTAGTCCCAACTGTTGTATTTCCAACTTCACAAAGAACCGTTCGTTTCCAACTTTTACAATAAAACCAAGAAAAGAAACAAGAGAAGAAGATCCAAAACAGTAAGCCTTAAGGTCAAATTTCAAGTACCCCCCTTGGGGGGAAAAAAAAAAAAACTATACCCCAATTTAGGAAAAGGTCCATAGCCCCAAATGGAGAACAAATAAAGCCTGCACCCAATTTTCCCCATATATATTTCTCCCCCCAAACATTCTGTTAGCCACCCCCATTGTCTTCTCAACAATAACTCTCAACTATATTCCACCTCACTATCCTCCCCTTAGCATAATATGAATCAAGAAATCCAACCGCTGATTTTCATAGGGAAGGGCTGACTTAGAGTTAGAGATCCTTTTTTTTTTTTAAGATACGCAAATCTTTTTTCTTTTCTTTTGATGGGGGTGTCTCAATTTTCAAAGCAACCATTGATTCATCCAACCAAAGAATTCTTCTAAAGGAGTCAAAACTATGTCACTCAGCTGGTTGTATAGTTGGAGGAGAAGAGTTGCAGCAGATTATCGAGAGTCTCTGCATGGAATTTCCTTGCAAACAAGTAGCACGGCCTTTGAATCCCGTTCCATATGCATGGCTGCTCGTCCACATCCAAACTCTACAGATAATAAGCACACAGAGAATCATATTTATATGTAAGATGAAAGTCCGTCAAACAACTAACCAGCTTCGATCACAGCAAAGGGAAATGTCGATGATGGAGCTTCAGTAGTCTACCTTTTCCTCACTCGTTACATGTACACTGACATCAATCGACTGCATAAACACGAAGGTGTGGTAGTTAGCAGTTAAATCATGGATAATACATAAAGCCACTAAGGAAGATGATGTGTCCAAGCTATCAAAGACATTCTAAACAATGGAATTTCATGTGTGCTTCATCATGAGAAAGACCATACCGTAAGATTCTTTATAAGTTCACGTGTGACATCGTGAGCTGTGTACGACTTAGGATGCCACTTTCTCTCAGACCAATCAACATGTGTTACTGACCAGTTTGCAATTCCCTGAGGATCGATCATCTAGAGACATAGATGCATTAAAATCATCAAAGGGAGTTCCGAATCATTGAGGTTTACAACAAAAATAAGAAGGAATGCAGGATAAGGCTACTGAATTTCAGAACAGATATCGGTGAAGATTCATACATGGAAAAAGGTTGGCAGATAGTGCTCATCAGCAATGCAATTCTTCCCTCCATCCATGCCATGCTGTAGTTTTCAGGAAAAAAGTTATCTTAAAAGCGTCTATAAATACAATGAGCAATAACTCGTATAAGATACGATATTAGACAACTCATGCAGCCAATAACTTCTTGTATTTGCGAAAGGCAAACAGAAACCCGCTTTCTTAATCGATGGAGAATAGATGTACACAACCTGATGTAAAGTCAGAGTCTGGAAAGAAAGCAAGAGTAACAAATAACTAACGGTCTCCAAATAGTACCTTGCAGTAGTCACGGAATTTTGAGTAGTAAAGACTATCAGCCAAAACTATCATAGCATGCTGCCGCTTCATTGAGAACCACTGTAAAATAATTCATTGGTTGAGTCTCATGCCAATAGATACGTTGAAACCCATAGAAATATATCTTCATCACACATACAAATACATCCTTTGTTGTATAATTAAAATGTACTGTATGGCTGAAATCAGCCATAAAAATTCACTAAATGGGAACTAGAAGATATTAAATGAATTTGGTTTCATCCATTCTTCAGGGTGACATGGACACAACATTGAAAAAGGGAATTAAATGATGTATACCTGTGCACCTTTTCTGAAATCTTTTATATCAACTTCAGGTAACATATGCTCTGAATATCTGCCATTGCCATGCGGACCAGGATCATAAAAACTGAAAACAATATCAAGATGGATCAGAAAAATGGAAAAATCCACGTGTAACACATGCCTGAACTTCATTCTTCTTTGGATGAAGGCTCAAAGGGAGCTAACTTACCAGTCAAGGAAGCTGACATTTGTATACAGCAGGTAGTTGTAGACATAGTCAAACTTGTGCAATGGTATACAGCTGAAATGGCAGAAATCACGAGAGTTAAATTAGAAATTCAAAATCAGCAATCCTCGCCCTTCGTGACCATACAATAACAGGGGTAATGCACCATGTTTTTTACCTATCAGAAAGCAAAACAAAATGCTGATTGTCAGGATCTTGCATAGCATTGGCTAAAAGGCGTCTCTCAGCATCTATCATCGATATCTTCCCCCATATCACCTGGGAAAAATAATAGAGCACAACTAAATTAGTCATTTCTCAGATCACCAACTATTTGTATAAGAATACATCTCATGTTGTTTAGTACTCTAGTTCTCGTAAGTAGTCATATAAACTATATGGTGACCTACCATAACTAAAACCAGGTCGTCACCTGTGAGCTGCTTTTTTCATTTACAATTCGGATCTACAATTAGATAATTCTCTCAGGAAGTCTGAACCTTCTACACTTGCTCAGCAACTTCACTAAATGAAAAATAAAATTACTATTGTAGTTCGTCAATTGCCTTGGCTGTGACAGTCAAGAAACAAACAAGTGAAGAATGCAAAAGCTTCAACCAGAGATTTCAACTTGCTAATGTGAAATAACAGAGGAAGCCAAACTCTTAAGATGGTCAAATCATGCAAATGATTCATCTACCAAGAAGCCAACACTCTCATCTTTCTACCAACAAAGATCACGAACAATTCACATACAGCATTAAAACTAAAGATGAAGCTTTATTTTAGGGTAAGTAACTGTAATATACCTGTTCACTGCGTATGTCCCGATTAACAAAATACCGGCTCACATGCACTGGTTTATTGTTGGAGGCATGGACATAAACAGAAAACTTCCCTTCATGGCCCTGCCAGCATAAGGATGAGCCATTTCAGACATAAAAGAGCAAGAAACTAAACACCAATGCACCCTGTTTCAGTGATCCTATCAGCACTAAGTCATTTCATATCTAAGACAGTTTGATTCATTCCTGAGACTAACAGGTTGCATTGGTCCTAGAAACTGGCATACAGAAAAACACAGTTGGATCTCGAAATTTTCAACTAGTGTCAATCCAACAGTTAAACAAACCAGCTCAGATGTAAGGAAAGAAAGAATAAACAAAAGATAGGAGAGAAAAACTTACATTGAAGAACTTCTCCCACAACTTCTCAAAAGGCAGTTGACCAGGAGTCAAGAACATGAAAGCGATCTTAGAAGTTTTAGATTTGACAGGAGGGGAACTCAAGATCTCCCTAATCACAACCTGTGAAGCTATCTCACTGTCAGTAAATTCCCTAGCTGGAGCAGGTGGAAGCCAATCCGATAAAGCCTTGCAGCCTCTGGAAGAGAAGAGATAACAAGCTGTGCCGCTCTGAGGTGGATAAACGTAGGCACAAACTAGGAACAAGCTGACCATACAAACCAAGACAATGATCCATACGGGCCTCTTCAATGGAGCACGGTGGCGAGGTCCAGGGAAGATCTGTACATCACCCATTCCTAAACGCCACCCTTGAGCTCCTCCCTTCATAATCAAACCCCACCGCAGGGCATTTATATCAGAAAATGAACGCCAAAAACTTGACGCAGAGGGAACTCAAGGATTGCCCACGAAGAGAAGCAGCCCCCTTTCAATCAGCAGTATATCCTGGGAATAGAAAGCAAAAGTGGTATCTATTTAGATCCTTCAAATCAACCAAACAAACACTTTCAGGCCAAACCCAATAAATGAGGAGACTTTATTCGCTGAATCAAGAAACCTAAAGCAACAGAAAAAGGACAACAGTAGATTCTATTGGGTAGCAGAAGGCTTTGATTTCAGGTCAAGAATTCGGCCAACTAAAGAGAACCAAATTTCCCCAGTGTTCCACCAACTGTTTAGCCCCAAAGTCAAACCGAACCCAAATACCCATTAACACTCAAACGAAAGCTACGAAACCCCGTTCTCGGATATCCCAAGAAATGCAAAAGCTTTAATCTAGAAATTACGTTATCGAAGCTCAACGAAGCAGCAGTCTCACTCACTGCCAGTTGTCACTGAACTGAAGAAACCCAATTGAGAGGCTACTTCGACTTGGATAGCAGAGATGAGAAACCAACAGCAATCAGAAATCTGATGAGTACCTAAGAGGGAGGAGAGGAGAGGAAATCAATGAGTCAATCAGTGAGCTGGGTTTGCGTTCGACAGTAGATCTCCAAATTGGCCAAGATCCGAACTTGGGAAGCTGAAGAGGGACAGGCTGTTAAGATCTGGAGAAGCAGAAGATGGCAGGCCAAGGAGGGGAAGAAGAAGAAGGAGGAGAGAGAAGAGGGGAGGAAGGTGGGGTCGTAGTGGGAAGTCGTTGTTTGGCTCCTTGGCTTTGGATGTCCAAACAGAAACACAAAAAATAGCGAGGGAGGGAGAAGAGGAAGGAAGGAAGGGAGAAGTCTTCCGCCGGCGAATTGTTTAATTGATAATTATTTGTTTGCTTGCCGAAATGAACGAATGGTCACTTAATTATGGGCTACTATCAAATTGGTTCCACAATTATTATTATTCACGACATGGTCATTAAAGTTATAGGGATCATCAACTTGTTGAGTTTTAGTTTACAGGAACAATCAAATTGATACACACAAGTGAACAATTCATTTAGGAGGATACTTATGTTACCTTACAATAATTTCTTAGAGTATCACCTAACATTTGTTAATGCTCCAGGAAGTTAAATGATTACTTTCTTTTGATAATCTTCAAATATTTGTATCTATCATATGATCTATAAACAATCAAATTTGGATGACAATGAACCTTAACTCAACATATTAACTAATTTAGTAATTCGAAAACCCAAGGGGAAAACAACAAAAATATTGGTGGGAATTAGAGTAAAAATATGACTATTTTCTTAATCTGACGTTAATGGGATTCCTTTCTTTTGGATATCCATAAGTTCAGTATCCTCTTTGCCATCCTTGATGATTCGATCTCAAAATTGAATTAAAATTCATGACCTGATGTGTACAATAGCAAACGTGTTTCTAACAACACTAGTTAGTCGAGGATCATACAACAAAGACCAATTACACAGGTCCATATGGTTTGTATCATAATCTTTTTACATATATCATGGCATCCTTCACCATTGAACTCGTGAAATCCTCATCTTCGCTATTGCGTCTTTGGCGGCAATAAGGTTTGAACAATCACAAATATATCAACACAGAAGTAGACAAGTTAGTATAGGATCATTTCGTCATCGAGTGATAAACATGAATGGCCATTTTACTTAGTACAAAAAGTTGGAACGCTGATTTGTTCGTGACACGAAACTTATGGGACCATGTTATATATTTGACCCTGTCTTTGTGCAATGCTGCAATTTGCATCCACTTGATGAGCGCCACAACCTACGCGCAGTCCCCACGGCGCGTCGGAAACCATCTCCTCCCATCCCATTGGGCGAAGTCCCCAACGAATCCGGAGGGAGGGAGGGAGACCCAAAGGCCAAACCGTCAACGTCAAATTCCAAATCTAAACCCAATGCCCGCTGTTTTTTCTTTTCGTGTATAATGTATATATTTATTTATGTTCTTCTTAATTAATGTTTCTCCTAATCTAGATTAGTATCTACTATCTAGGGCACTTTATTAAGGGGAAAACTATCGAGGTAGGTTGGATAATAAATCCCCTAATGCATGTTCCTATGTACAGTGTAATTAATTAATAAGACGATATCAAAGTAGTATTTAAATGATATATAATGATAAAACTTAATTTTGTTGACGAATCATGAATCTCATACGTTCTTTTCAAGTTGACAATCACAACAGAAGATACATATTTATATTCATGTTCCAATTGATTTATGTCAACAAATTTAGGAAATATGGTATGGTGAACGACTTGATACAATGAGCAGTTTCAAAGATGCCCCAATAGTAATGTTAAGATCATAATTGGCGAAAAAAATAAAATTTTAAGGATTTATACTTGTTTATATTTTCAGTATAAATTTTACGAGTTGCATTCGAGTTTGTAGTAACGTTTGTGTATCGTCCTTTCATCTTGTGCGCAATATTTTATTCTAATTATCGTTTGAAAAATATACATGTGGATAGCCAAGTTGGAATGTGATTGTGATTAAAGGCCAAAGGATTATGAATGTGTCAAAAGGAAACTCCAAATGTTGACTTGGACAACAATGTTAGCAACTTCACTTATGAAACCAAGGGGAAAAGGAATAGAAGGAAAGCCATGGATGACCCTTTCTATGCCATATTTGACTCGTTTGTTCTTTCTTCTTCTTCTTCTTCTTCTTCTCTTCCTTTTTGTTTTTGTTTTTTGCCCGTTACGGCGCATCCGCTCTGCCTTTGGATTAAACCAGGAATTAGCAAAGGGGATTAAGGGGAAGGTGACACGTGTATGTTTTAGTCACAATCACATAGTTAATTGCCTTGTCTATGTTCATCAAGGGAAAGTTGGAGAGCATGAAATTGTAATTTCCTTATTGATGAATGGAGAAATTTCAGACCTGCAAAGTTGGTCCTTTGTGGAATTGTCAAACCCATTGAATATGTCATATACACAATGGATATAATAATATAAGTTAGGCCTCATTATTGCCTATTTTTAACGTCTAACATACATTATTATGACCAAAATGTTCTCATATGATGTGACTTAAATATACTTCAAATCCAAAACTATTAGTATTGGAAATCACGAAACCATTCCATATAGGTATATATTTATCATTGGGTTGATGAATGATGATATGCTCATAAACACAAATTCGATCCGTCTTTTATTTTTATTTTCATATTGTATTTATTTTTCCAAAAGCTAATAACTAAGAGCCTAATATTAGAATGTAGGTGTGAAATTAACAAAAATCTTACATTTGAGTTTGGTTTCATTATCCATCATCGTACCCATCAACTTTTCTTATATTATTGTGTGGATGGTACAAAGTTCAATCGTTCTCTTCCTTCCGAGAACAAAACTCCAATTGTTGTCAATCGCAAACCGTTTATTTCCTTTGCTCCCACCAGGCAACTTGGCCAAGTATCATCAACCGGAGTCCAAGTCAACGCCCGGCGAAACGGACGTTCCAAGACAAACGACCAGTTCACCGGTGGCCCAAGGTGTGACCGGTAACGAGACAAAATGGGCCTGAGCTACATAGGCTAATGCAAGTAACTAAAATATCGGGCCTGTTATTTTCGCTCCTAAATCTCCTGCCATTACGGCCCACGCGGGGGTAGCTGGTTATGTTGTCTTCCTTTCTTTCATCTCTTGCCTTCTCTCAGTCGTCTAATCTACTCCGGCGCCGCTGCTGCCATCATTTCCCGGTCGTTTCTTACGTAACTCAACCTCAACCTCTGCCTCCCATTTACTTCTATGTCGGGAACTTGATTATGGAAGATAACGAAAGCTGCACAATACTTCTTCAGCTGTCCGAAGATGACCCCTTTTTCGACAAAAAGAAGGTAATCCTCATGAAACTGTAAAGAAGTTCTTTTCTTTTGTTCATAAACATGAATAAAGTATCTTCTTGCAGCAAATTTTGCACGCTAGGGGATTCAGCATTAGCGAGCAGCTAGAGCTTCAGTATTCTTCTTATTGTCCCGATTCAGTTGCTTCTAATTTGGAGAAGCTGCTCCAAGTAGCAAGAATCATATACTTAGACGAGGTAATTCTGCATCTTTGGTTGATTCTTTATTTTGGTAGCTCATGTTTTAGGAGATTTCGTCTTTATTCCAATTGGGCGGAGGAAATTGTAGGTTGAACTTTACTTCAATGACTTTGATGGAAGTAGACCAGTGGAGTTCTACAGCACCAGGAACGAAGTGGAGGCTCTAAATGCAATCCTTTCCCTCATTAATCAAGCACCCATCAAAGCTCAGGTCTTTAGAGACGCAATCAACGACAGGATCACAAAGGAATGCGGGGAGAAGAGCTTAGTTGGGTCCATAGTTACTAGAAATCGTGACTGCGTTAGTCAAGAAAACCGGTTGGTGGAATGGGGAGAGAGCAATGGTGTGAAGACAAGCTTGGAGATAGCATGTAAGTCGCTTTAAGACGTCGAAACAACGTGGTAATTTGATATAAAGGAATGGTAGCATGTGATTCTCATCTTCTTTTCTTTCGCCCACTTTCGTATAGTGATTGAAGGAGCTGGAAGAGGAGCCATAGTGAAAAGAGATCTCGGAATTGGAGACATCGCGTTGGAGATTCCAGTCTCTCTCATAATCTCCGAGGAACTTGTTTGTCAATCTGCCATGGTATGTTGCCTAGTCTAGGAAGGTTTATGTTACTTATTATCAGTTGCTGGTCATCATGGCTCAGTGGATGGTTATTACTTAAGCTCCATCGCAGTTTAAAATTCTCGAGAGGATTGAGGGGATTTCTGCCGAGACTATGATGCTTCTATGGAGCATGAAAGAAAGGCATAACTGCTACTCGAAATTCAGGGTTTACTTTGATACTTTGCCAAAAGCTTTCAACACAGGTAATTTCCATCGATATTCCTGTTTGTTTCGCATAAATAGGTTTTACTTGTTTATGCTCGGATAACGAGCTAGCCTAATGAATATACTTACATCTAGTGGAATTGAGAAGTTATTCTTGCCATCTTCAGAAGCTATGTTCTTCTTGATAGTAATTCCTCTGGGATTGAATGTTCATCTCTCTAGGACTGAGCTTTGGCGTCAGTGCAATGATGGCTTTGGATGGAACCACTTTGTTGGAGGAGATAATGCAAGCAAAAGAGGTTATCTGTAGTTGTATTCTCTCTTGAGCTTGATGAAAATATGGAAAAATGACCAACTATTGATGAATATAATATTGTGGACAGCACTTGCGCGTTCAATACGAGGAGCTGGTTCCTGCTCTATGCAGCAACTATCCTGGCACATTTCCCTCGGAGACATATACATGGGAGAATTTCTTATGGGCTTGTGAGTTGTGGTACTCCAACAGCATGAAGATCATGTTTGCCGATGGCAAGTTGAGGACTTGTTTGGTACCAATTGCCGGCTTTCTCAATCACTCGGTAATCCCCCCACCCCATTTCACCTGTCCTTGGTTTATATCAGTTACCAACATCAGTGGGAAGGTCTGTGCTTTGATCTATTATGCAGCTTTACCCACATATCACTCACTATGGCAAAGTAGATTCTGCAACGAATACATTGAAGTTCCCACTGTCGAGGCCTTGTTTGGCTGGAGAGCAATGCTGCCTTAGCTATGGGAACTTGTCGAGCTCACATTTGATCACATTCTATGGCTTCTCACCACAAGGAGACAATCCTTACAATGTGATTCCAATAGGTAACTTGGATATACAATCCATGACATCGGTGTGGTCGTGTTTGCGCCTAGCCTATGGTATCACCATTCGTGTCTACTCCTGCAGATATCGATGCAGGCAAGGCTGATTGTTACGATGATTCCCCCTGGACTACTCACATGGTGCGAGGTACCTGGTTCTCAAACAACCATGGCATCTTCCACTATGGCTTGCCAACTCCATTGCTAAATTACTTGAGAAAGGCTCGTGATCACATGCCTAACACCACAACAATTGTAAAGTCCGAGTCTTTGGTCATGTGTTTGTTATTCCTCCTAAGCTACATTCACATGTTTTGATTTTTTTCCTGCGTTGTTTCATTTTCCACCTCCAGAAAAAGGAAGACATGGAAGTGGACATTGAGGTCCTCGAAGACCTGGTCACCACCTTCAACAGTATGATGGAGAATCTTGGTGACACAACCTCGGATTATGGGTAAAGCTTTGAGCTTTGGAACCAGCCATACTTGGCACTATGCATGGCGTTATAACTGACAGTTTGTTTTTGAATCCTTATTCAGCGAGGACTGTGAAAGGTGGGACATTAAGTTGGCTGTTGAGTTCAAAGAAGGACAAAGGAGGATCATATCCTCGATTCTTTCCTCGTGTGATGATGGCATCAGGCTGCTGCAAACTCATCTGCAGAAGTGCACCAGCTAGGCTGAGTGAGCTTTAGTTTAACAGTTTTGCTAGGTTCCGAGACTATGAGGGTCCTTTTATCTTGCGTTTGCAAAAAGAATGTATTAACACTCTTGGAGTGTTGCATGGTTTATGTTTGTGAATTCGTATTTGAACCGTTCAGGTTAACGAGTTAAGGTATTATATAACAAAATCATGAAGAATCATGTTTATGTCGCTACATTATGGTAGATTTATGGTAGATTTATCTCTCATAATCTAGTTGTAAAATTGTAATGCTAAACTAAACTAAGGTTAGTTTGGATGAAATATATCGCCAGTACAGTATGGTGGATTTATCTAGTTGTAAATTGTAATGCTAAACTTAGGTTCATTTGGATGATTTATCTTGCCAGTACAATATGGTGGATTTATCTATCTTTACATAGTTGTAAATTGTAATGCTAAAGTAAGGTTCGTTTTGATGATGGAATTGGATGAGACGTTTTGACCCAATTGCATCAAAATAATTTAATTTGACATGATTATGTCAAAATGAAGTAATTGAGTCAAACTGTGTCATTTGGCAACAATAGGAAATTAGGAATGCAACAATTGAACTAAAAACCAATTTAAATTCCTTCGTTTTGTATCAATTTAAATTGACAAAAACATGACAAATATTTTGAAAAAATACATAAATTATGAGTTGAAATAATTTTTTGGTAGTCAAATTGCCTCATTTACAAAATCTTCAACCACCCTGAAATAAAAAAAATCTTGGTTCGATTTAGCGATTTGGGCTAACGGTTGCCCAACTCGGCAACTCCTCTCAGTAGGCGCAGTTACAGTCAGAGCAGGCGGTAAAAATGAAAAAGGAGCATAAAAAAGCGGTAAAAAAACTGATTCGAGAGCCCGGGAATCTCTGCACCCGCTTTTCAATTTCCGTCGCCTCAGTAGCAACTAGCAAGTAGCAAGCAATCGCAACTTCTCCCGTCCAAGACCTCCGAGTATCCGCACTCAAGCTCCGCCGTGCAATGGGAGATCCCTCCGGCTCTCCTCTTGCCGACACGAAAGGCCCCATCACTCACGTGATCTTCGACATGGACGGCCTCTTGCTGGGTAATTTCATCGAACACCTTCGCTTGTACGTAGATCTGGTTTTGGATTCCAATCATAGATCTTAAGATGGCAGTATTCTTCGAATCCCAATTATAACCCAGATTTCAATGGGCCAAGTTTAACCTCGTCTTGGTGTTTGTTCATTACTTGCGTCTCCAACTGAGTTGTTGGTTGTTTATGAGGTTTCTGTAGATACGGAGAACTTCTACACGGAAGTCCAGGAGGTCATACTTGCGAGATATGGCAAAACATTCGATTGGAATCTGAAGCCAAAAATGATGGGGAAGAAAGCAATAGAGGCAGCTCGTGTGTTCGTGGAGGAAACTGGGATCAGTGATACTCTCTCAGCTGAGGACTTTCTCGCTGAAAGAGAGGCCATGTTGAAGAGTATGTTCCCCAATAGTGAGCTTATGCCAGGTACGCTTTGTTATTTCATTTCGTTGCTACATTGGTAGATTCATTCCACATGCCCCTCGTTTTTTCTTTTGCTGATATGAATGAATTATCGATCAGGAGCTAGTCGTTTGATCAAGCATCTCCACGCGAAAGGAATCCCAATTTGTGTAGCAACTGGGTAAATGTGCTGGATACTTGGGGTTGATTTATGGGTTTTCTGGAGAGTTCTTCCCCCTTCCAGTTTCTGCAATGTTTAAAGGGAAGCATGGTCTTTTCAGGTCCCATACTCGTCATTTTGAACTGAAGACAACAAAGCACAGGGAGCTTTTCTCTTTGATGCATCACATTGTTCGAGGAGATGATCCAGAAGTTAAACAAGGAAAGCCGTCACCAGATATTTTCCTTGCTGCATCAAGGAGATTTGAGGTGTTTTTTAAATCTATTCTTGCGTTAAACTAGTGTCAGTAAACATTGTTGTACTTGTATATAAGCTAGCTAAAAAAATGGCGATCTTGATTTGGCAGAATGGGCCTGTTGACCCCAAGAATGTTCTTGTGTTTGAAGATGCTCCTTCAGGCGTTCTTGCTGCTAAGAATGCTGGAATGTAAGTGCTTTTTGTGAAATTGTTTGTGCATTGGTAATATCTATTGGGTTCTTGTATTTGAGCCGACTTCGTCTTGAAACCTTGTTATAGGTATGCAGTAATGGTTCCTGATCCAAGGCTCGATGCCTCTCATCATGCTGCTGCAGATCAAGTTATAAGCTCCTTATTGGATTTCAATCCACAGCCTTGGGGCCTGCCTGCTTTTGAAGATGGGGAGACTTAGGTCTGCAGATTATGTTACTACATCTTTGCGTAACTTATAGATAAAGAACCAGTTTCTGGATTACATGGTTATTCCACTTTGGTGTGACATCCTGATTGATTTTATGATCTACCAGCCAATATTATCTTCTACCTTTATATTGGATTTGTGGCAAACATTGGGGGGGTCTATTGGTACATGACATTGTAAGTTATTTGAGCACTAATTGCTAGTAAAGGAAGCTGGAGAGAAATGGTGTATGATTGCTATTTGAAGTAACCTTGTGTATTCCATTTTTCTTTTCATCATACAGAAAGATATACACTGATCAACTTAAGCCAATATCTATATAATTTTTCTACCCACCTCTCTCTGCTCACTGCAAGTTCGATTTTATCCCTTGGCTTCTCCATATACAGGTTTCCCAAAACTTATTGTTTATGTACTAGTGCTTGCGCAATCAAGCAGACCTCACATCTTACACCTTTTTAATTTTTGTCCTATTAGGCTGTAGCTATTCTATGACTATTTCAGATAAGCCTCCACCTAAGCCAGTAGAAAAATGCCCATTTCTCCTGCAACATTCTCTCATGTAGCTCTTGCAGCAACTGTCAATCTCCCTTTGCTCTGAGTTCCTGCAATGATGGCTGTTTGAAATTGCATCATGGCAAGAACTCACTGGCATGCAACTGAAGCTCTCAGAAGGGTTGATGTTGCTTTTACAACAATCGGGGTTAGGTTCAACTTCTGTGCTACAACAACTGGATGCTGCAGTGCTCTTGTTCTCTAATGGAACATCACTCCTATGAATATCAACATGATCGCAATGGATGAAGTGGCAATCCCCATGGATGGCTATGGCCTCTCCCTTTTCCAGATCACTGGTAGAGTCATTGAGATCACTGCCATCATGAGTGACCATCTGGCAATGTGCAGTATGGTAGTGTGTCTGCTCTGGCAAGTTCTCTTCTCTTCGATAGCTTCCATGTGCTTCTACTGAAATTTCGCTTTCATGATTCTGTGTGCAAGTGTTTAAGCTTGGCTCATGAGTACTTGAACACCCATGGTTGTGCTTAGAATCCTTAGATGCATCATTCCCTCCACAACCATCCGATTTTAAGCACTTAGAATCTTTACAAGATTTTGCTGTATGAAGGCTAGGCTGACTCTTTGGCGTACAGCATTGAGTCTTCTGAGAATGGCATGCCTTTTCAGACTGATGATGCCCTGTGCCAGTGCATGGGGCTGGCTGGTGTGCTCGTGAACACCCATGGTTGTTGTGACTGTCTGTCTGCACTTTATGGCAGTGCTCCAAATCTTCTTTTGCACTCTTACCTCCACAGCTTGTTGATTTCATGCATTTAGCATCTTCACAAGATTTCGCTGTATGAAGGTTAGTCTGGCTCTTTGATGCGCAGCATTTAGTCTTTTCAGAGTGGCATACCTTTTCAGTCTTTTGATTCGAACAGCAGTTCTGTTCCTTATGATGATGGTCTTTGTGGCTATGTGATGCAGCATGTTTGTGGGAATGACTTGCATTATGCTTGTGGGTATGACTTGCAGTATGCTTGTGGCTCTCTCTTAGGAGCAACATACTATTCAGAATCACAATCACACAAGTGCCAACATCAGCGAGAACAGCAGCCCAGATCAGTGGATGACCGGCGAATGCCAAAGCGAGGATGGAACCCTTTGTGAAGATTGAAAAGACAACATTCTCAATCACCTTTCTATGAGCTTTCCTTGCCAGCTTGATGACTTTCGGCACTTTCCTGATGTCGTTTGACATGAGAATCACGTGTCCAGTTTCTGTGGCAAGTGCAGAACCCGAAATGCCCATCGAAATACCGATATCAGCAGTGGCTAAAGCAGGGGCGTCGTTCACACCATCTCCCACCATTGCTGTGGGCCCTCGCTTTCTCTTGAAGTCTCCTATTATCCTTGCCTTGTCTTCAGGTAAAAGCTCTGCATGGACTTCCTCAAGAGCATTCTCTAGCTGTTGCTGAGCATGCATGGCTGCTCCTTGGCTATCCCCTGTAAGCATAGCAGTTCTTATCCCCATTGCCTTGAGCTGGTTGACTGCTTCTTTCACCCCGGTCCTACAGCTGTCAGAGAGATTGAATGTGCCAATGAGGGTTCCTCCACAGTAGACATATCCGATTGTCATTCCTCCCTTCCCACCATCTTCAACTGCTGGAACTGCAGCATCATAGAGCAAAAGACTCGTTAAGGATGTGAAGAAACATAATGCTGGATGTTTAATTGTCTTCAGAACAAAGTAAAAAAGTATGGTTTCTTTTACCAGTTGTTGAACCAGCTCTGGTAGCAATCTTCTTATTTCCAATGTAGATGTCTCTTCCATCAATCTTGCCATGAATGCCTTCACCAGGAATGTTGTCGTATTCATCCACGTTTTCAGGACTTGGTTCTACCAAAATCGACCTGCCATATTCGACCAGTGCAGCCGCCATCGGGTGACCAGACTTGCTCTCTATGCTCGACACCCTGCAGAATCAAACATTGTTTCTTCATTGAGAGGTCAGAGGTGTACTTCCTAAAACTACATTATGTATCTCCTACTTGCTGAAAAAATGCCACTGGCTTGCTTACCAGTAAACCAATGTCTCTATGCTGAAATCATCACTCAAAGACCTGAAATCTGAAACGACGAAGTCCCCCCTCGTGATGGTGCCAGTCTTGTCGAACGCAAGAACCTTAATCTTGGCAAGGGTTTCGAGGTAATCGCCTCCTTTGATGAGGAGACCAGCAGTTGCTGCCTTTGTGAGTGCACAGAATGTTGCAACTGGCGTGGAGAGGACCAGAGCACATGGACATGCGCTCACTAGCACGACAAGTGCTAAATGAAACCAGTACTCCTTGTTATGAACCCTCAAAGCCAGAGGAATTACAGCGAGACTTGCTGATATCACTATGATTGCTGCCAGGAGAAAACAAAATGAGATATCATATACTTGGTTCAGTTAGCAATTTGTTACATTTCTTAGCTTACTGATCTAAGCATCTAACCTTTGTATAGAGTGATTCAATAGGTCATACCTGGAGTGTAGTACTGAGCACATTGGTCAATGAACCTCTGCGTCTTGGACTTGCTGTTTTGAGCTTCTTCGACGAGCTTCGCCATCTTGGCCACCACACAGTCTTCAGCCAGGGCCGTGGTTTTCACACTGATGTAGCCACTGAGGTTGATGGTCCCAGCCCAGACAGTCGAATCCTTCTGCTTAGGAACCGGGAAGGACTCTCCAGTCAGCGACTTCTCGTCGACCTCGCACTGCCCATCCACCACGATTCCATCTATCGGGATGGCCTGGCCGGCCTTGACAGCCACGACCGTGTTCACCTTCACCTCATTGACGTCAACTTCTTCCCCTGTCTCGGCTATGGTGGCCTTGTGAGGTGCGATGCTCATCAAAGAAGTCATCACTGCATTGGCCTGTGAAACGTGTGGTAAGTCCATCAATCCGAGTTTGAACCTTGAGTTAGGAATACGTGGTTTCATTAGAATGATTTAGCTTTACTTTATGGCTTGCTCTAGACTCCAACCAGTCGGCAATAGTGAAGAGGAATACCACGGTGGCTGCTTCTGTGTAGTCTTTCATGGCCAACGTTGATATAACTGCTCATATACATGAATTTGGTCATCACATGTTAGGCATATTTAAAATACGTAGGTCTGTGGTATCCAATACGTATCTTGGAAAACTGTGTACGTGGGAGACAAACACTAGTGTTAGTGATGAAGCTTAGGTGACAGGGGAAAAGTACTGGTAGAGAGATATATAGCGAAAGTTGGGCCAATCGTTGTCGATTTGGAATCTCTTTTGCATTGCAGCCTCGTATCATATATTCGTGTCTTTTGGTTGACTTGGTCAACACTGACACACACATAACACAATTGAATGGCAGACGTACCGGCGATGAGAACAAGGACGGTGACGTCGAGCCTCAAGTTTCTGATGGAGGCGATGGCTTTGAGCAGGATAGGTGGGATCCCGACGGCGACGGCAGCGACGGCGACCCACTTCATCGGCGGGAACACAAACTTGAGAAGCGAAATCAACAGCAAGGCCCCACTCCCCATTGCGTACGGACTCGGCCATTTCTTCCTGTAGCTCCCACCGCCGGCGACACTGCTTCCGTCCAATCTTACGTTCGCTTCCAACCTGGCCGTGTTCAACGCCTTCACTGCATCGCCATCATAACATAACTCACTATCTTGGCACGGAAATTACGTTATTCACTAAAACAAACAAAGTAAGAAGCTTTTCTTACGTACCAATCTGGAGCTGGGAAACCAGCAAGGTGTCATGGACGACGATGACGGTCCTGGTGGGGACGACAACAGAGACTTCCTTGACTCCGTCGAGAGATTTGAGGATGTTCTCGACCAGTGGCACCTCCGACGAGCAGCACAGGCCGAGGACGTCGAAGTAGCTCTTCTGCATCTTCTGATCGCCGCCCGCCATCGCCATGGATAATGAGCTTACTGTACTGGATCTTAGCTAGGCTAAGCTTCTTCTTCCCCGCCCTCCCACTTTAACTGTACCCTTCCCCTGCTTCAAGGGGGAAAGAAGGCCGTGGAAGAAATGAAAACCTCGTGGACGAGTCCTTGAATTAAGCGAGAAATGGGGGAAAAGGGTATGGGAGAACGGCCCCTAGTTCACGCTTGGTGGACAAGGAAGAAACGTCTTCGAAGAACTGAAGAAGAACAGAGTAGCTGGTGGTGGTGTAGCTAGCTGAATAGAAGGAGGGATTCAGGTCAGGGGAACAGAGAGAAGGAGAGATTGAGATTCTTCCCACGAGGGCTCGCCGAGCAAGGCTACTACTACAATACAAGCTACGTTGGAAGAATGGAAAATGGGAGGTGGATGGATGGGTATTTGTTTATGCATATATTTATACACACTGATACACATAACATAATACAAGTCAATAAGTATGAATTACATTAGGGTATTTTTTTGTTTGATTTGGGTGGGAGATGAAAGTGAGGGAGGAAAGATAAGGAGATGTGGGTTCTTATTCATCCCTCTTTTCTCCCTTTTCCCACTTTTAGTATGATGGTGTGATTAGTTTAATTCAAATGGATCAACAAAGTTATTATAAAGAGGGCTTTTGGTTAAAGTAATATTATCATAGTTGATTTTGGCTAGGTAACTCTCTATCTATCTCCTGTCTATGGTAAGGATCAAAATAGGTAATAACTGCCCATTAAAATGTCACGAAAATCACTCATGAGAGCATGTTAGGCAAACAATCGGCGATCAATAACTTGGCTAATCAACTGATGAATCAGAGAGAGAAAAAAAAAAGAGTGAATGCTAGAGAATAGAGAACATTATGGGAAAAAGAAAGTGCGAAGAAAAGGGGTTTACAAAGTCTTTGCTATACCCGAACTTATGCTACTCAACCCCTTAAAAACAACTTTGGAGAATGCTCACCCATCTTCATATACTAACAAAGGATTGTAGGTTATATCTAGGGAGGAAAACATAATATAAATGAGAGATTTACCACAAACCCAATGTGAACTCAAATATGAATAAAATAAAGAAGGGAAGATTTGGAGAGCATTAAGGGGAAGTATAGGATAGATGATGATGAAGACAGATTGTTTACTTTTCCCTTGTTTGTTTCTATTGGCAGGGAGAAGAGTTGATTCGTTGTTCTGATTTAGTGTTTAGTATGTGGTGTGGGAATATGAATAGGTTCACTGATCTCAGATCATCACAGACATTTTATTAATGGTGTAAAGGTAGGTAGTGGAGGATCTTATTTTATATAGAGAGCTATGTGGGTGGGGGAGTTGGAATAATTGGAATCCAACTATGAATCCCAACACTGTTTCAATTTTATATGTTCTTATTACGTCATTGCTATTGCTAATATTCTTGGAATATTCTATAGATTTATTGAGCGCTAAATGTTTTTTCCCAACTAATTTGTTTAATTCAATTCGAAGCGACTTATAATTCTATTATCATAGCAAAATTCTTTTTATCAACGATACATTTTCAAAAATTAAGCAATCATAGTTAAATTCGATGATTTGAATTGCCAATTAGATAGACATTTCAGTATAGGACCGTCCCAGGCACCCGGTTCAGACGGGTTCACTGCTGCCTTCTTCCAGCATTATTGGGCCATTGTTGGCAAGTCGGTTTGTGTCGCTGCATCCTCCTTCTTCAGGTCAGGTAGACTGTTACATAACTTTAATCACACCTTACTCACCTTGATTCCTAAAGTCCCAAATGCAGAATTGATGAAGCAAATGAGGCCGATAGGGCTTTGTCAAGTATTCTACAAAATAATCTCGAAGGTCTTGACAACAAGGTTGAGTGTAGTACTACCCTCCGTGGTCAATGAGTCACAGAACGGATTTGTCAAAGGCCGGGATATATCTGACAATGTTCTCATTGCTCAAGAAGTAATGCACTTTTTGAAAACAAAGTCACAAGGGAAGGATAAATGGATGGCATTGAAGCTAGACATGGAAAAGGCTTACGATCGAGTGGAGTGGGGGTTTCTCTTTGCTGTTATGGAATCGTTGGGTTTTGATTCCAGCTGGATTAAGCTAATTAAAGCTTGTGTAACAACGGTAACTTTCTCAGTGATTCTTAATGGCAACACTCACGGCTACTTTCGGCCGGAACGCGGCATTCGACAAGGTGATCCCCTTTCACCCTTATTGTTTGCCCTTTATACTGAAGCATTCTCTACCATGATCGCTAATGCCATTTCATTAAAGCAGCTTCATGGACTTAAAATCCATCGCCTAGCCCCATTGACTTCACATTTACTTTTTGCTGATGACACTTATCTGTTTTTGCGAGCCTCCTCCACTGAATGCGCACAACTTGGGCAACTTCTTTCCTTGTATGAGGCGGCCAGCGGACAGAAGATTAATCTGCAAAAGTCCAAAGTTTGCTTCAGCGCCAACGTCACGGATCAGGAAGCACTGGATTTGGCGGCTCACTTGGGAGTGGATGCTATAGGGGAACTTGACAAATACTTAGGCCTCCCTGCCCGTATTCAGCGATCCAAGGTAGAGACCTTCAGGTTTGTCGAAGAAGCTCTTTCCCGGCGTATCCACAACTGGAAATCGAAGTCACTCTCCTTGGCGGCAAAGGAGGTAGTCATCAAAGCAGTAGGGTCTGCAACACCAGTCTATGCCATGCTTTCGTTCCGCCTTCCATCTACTTCTTGTCGGCGAATGAATGGGCAACTCTCTAGGTTTTGGTGGGCTGGACAGGATAAGGAACGGGGGATGCATTGGATATCTTGGTCTGCCTTGTGTGTGAGTAAGTTTCGTGGTGGTCTTGGTTTTCGGGATTTTGACCTTTTTAATGTTGCAATGCTAGCTAAACAGGCATGGAAGATTCTTCAGGCTCCCAACTCCACCCTTGCTCGGCTGTACAAAGCTCGCTATCATCCGCGTTGTGACTTCCTCTCGGCTTCGGCGGGTACTCGTCCCTCATGGGCATGGCAAGGAGTGATTGAGGGACGTTCTCTTCTACAGAAAGGGCTGAGATGGCAGGTTGGGTGTGGTACAGCAATTCGAATTGTCGGGGATCCTTGGCTGCCCTCTTCCCCCCCTTCTTCTCCTACTCTTCTTCCTGGAGTTTCCTTGTCTAATCCTTTTGTTGCCTCTCTCATTCACCCGCTTACCCGCACTTGGAACACTGATCTGATTCGCTCTTACTTTTCCTGTGCTAGTGTCAAATTGATTCTGTCTATTCCACTTCCAGCATCTCCACAACCAGATAAACTTATTTGGCATTATTCTGACTCAGGAATTTATACTGTGAAGACAGGTTATCACATTCTCTCGGATGAACGAACAGAGGTGTATGACACGCTCCCATCGCACTTAGACTCCAAGTTTTGGAAATCTCTCTGGAGTTTACCCATCCCTCCTAAGCTGAAGTTCTTCCTTTGGCGGGTCGTGAGAGGATTCCTACCGTGCCTGGAAATTTTGCAGAACCGATCTTTGAGCCCAACTAGTGTTTGCCCTGTGTGCTCGGAGGCTAATGAATCCATTTCACACTGTTTGTTTGACTGCAGGATAGCTCGGGAAGTTTGGAGATTAGCTGGGAAAGAATCCGTTCGGCTGGTAATTGCACACATGCCTCCTGATTTGGCTTGGGCTCATCTTTTCTTTGGTTTGCAGCTACACAAGGTCGAGCTGGCCGAACTGGTGTTCCTCACATGGCGACTTTGGAAGGGACGATGCTGGGCCTGCTACGATCATATCCAATACCTACCTGCTCCGCTTCACAGACAGTTCGCCCAGCAGAGAGATGAATGGGTGGCAGCCACTTCAGCGGCCAACCGAGCCCCCCCTCCACCGGGTCGAGCACCACAGCGGGCTGAGTCCCCTTCCCCTCCTCCAGGTGGGCTGCTTATACGATTTGATGGTGCCACTAAGCAGGACGTCGGGGGAAGCATTGGATTTGTTGGTTTTTCGACATCCAACTCCCTAGTTTGTGCACTCGGCAAGTACTATGAAGGTATATCGGATGCATTTCTGATGGAATTGCTAGCTTTACGTGATGCAATGGATTGGTGCTTAACTCGTGGTGTGTACTCTGTCTGTTTTTGTGGTGATTCCCAACTGGTGATTCGTCGTGCTATGGAGAATGATGTTCAACATGGCCGAGGCGGAGCGATCCTGGAGGAAGTGCGGTTGATGAAGTCCTCGTTCTCAGTTATTAGTTTTGTTTTTTCTCCTCGTAGAACTAACAGGGCTGCCCATTGCGTGGCGAAACAGGCTCTTGCATCGGTGGATCGGCATTTGGCTGATTACCGTTTTTTATTGTTCAACTCTCTGTAATTCCCTATCTATTGAATATCTATCTAAGGCAAAAAAAAAAAAAAAGTTCGTTGAACATCAAAATTAAGTGACCGTGGTTAAATTCGACGATATATCAAGGTTACAACGTTGTACTAATCGATCTTCTCTCATTAGTACTTTATGATCACCTTTATTTTTTGTACTAGCAATGTGTCAATTGCACCCTAGCTACCTACCCTTTTCTTGAAGTTCATTCTTTTCAAGTTTACATGGTAGCATCTAGCTAGTACCAAATTCATATCCTATGAAAAGAAAGTGGAGCAAAGCATCCTAAAAAGAACATTAGTCATTTGCTTGTTCTTGCGAATGTTAGGCACATATCCAACCACATGTACGCATGGTCGTTATCTTGCCCAAGAGAATCAAGAGAACATCCGAACTTTCACATATGTTTTGTTCATTAGTTAGTGCACTCTACACATAATTTATGTTATCTGGTTCTTCACTCTACTCACAAGAATATGGTTTCGTCTTACTCATAGAACTTGAAACAAAATATTTTTATGTCATGTCTTGCTGAGTTATTGAGAGCTTGAAGCTTTTATTATTCCCTAGCTATTGTGATCTATACAGATGTTACGTGGTAATAAATTACTCTAAATCATTATCATTTATCAATTATTGACTTGAATTTCGGGCGATAGGACTGAACAATGCTTTCGAAATTGCTACTATTCAAAAAGTAGCAATACTACATTTGATATCACTACCTTCCAAGTATTTCCAATTAGTTGATTAAATGGGTGTATGGAGGTCGATTTAGGTAGCAAAATGATAGGAAACAAGCTTTTATATCTGTGGGTGTGGCGATCCAATCCATTGTCACCTGGTCCGTTGTGTATTCATCGAGCCATTACTTTCTTGTCTCAAAGTAGAGGTTGGTTGGCTCAATACTAGTTGTATTCATGGAGGTTCGGATGTTATCTTCTACGCATTATCAATAACTAATTACCTTGTCATGTGTTATGTCACCTAGTTTATTATCATTAACTAGAGTTAAACATCCAACCACGCGTAGTTAAGAGACAGAGTAAACTTAAAATTCAGTAAATTTTTTTATCATTTTTTTATCATTTGTAAAAATTCAGTAATTTTTTTTATCATATCATAATACTCATTACTCTCCAAGTACATCAATGATCAAACCCATTGGTCTATCAAAACCCGACCCGTAATTGGAAAATTGGGCCTAGTCACATGACTTAAAATACTTTGACCCACTGGAACTAGAAAGCCTTCGTCCTTCTTGCCGCTTCAACGCCGCCGGTAAACCAAAAATCGCGCCACAAAACAGCTCCGAGCATCGTCGTCGTCGTCGCTGCCTCAACATCCCTAACTTACCGTCAAAGACCCTCAACTTTCGATCCTTCCAGCAGTTTGTTCTCTCGTTCCTACAGATTAACCCACTGTAGTTAGAGAACTCAGAGATGGAAGAATCGCGCGATGGAGACTGGACCCTCGTCGCTCGAAAACCCTATTTCGGCCTCCCAACTGCTTGCCCAGTTTGCTTGCCCGTTTACATCTACCTCAAGTTCGCTCGTTGCCCTTTCAATCTGGAGATCAATTCCGCTTACCCGGATTCAGGTACACGCATGATGAGCTTCTCTGTAATCTTCTCCGTTTTGGCTTTTGGGAGGAGTTCGATTTCGTTTGTTGGACGAGAATCGGTACAATGAGATACGAATTAGGAACTTGAGTTAGTAAAGTTTTTATTTTTGGACTGTGTTTGTAGAAATTTTGATAGCGAGGTGCATGATTTCTTCACTTCGATTTGTTTGGTAGTTTAGAGTAACCACTGTCGAACATAAAGTTGGTTGCTTTTTAGCTCTATGCCATCCAAGTTGTGCGATATGGAGAACTAGAAGCTGTTCAATCAGTTAGATACAATCTTAAGGATGCATGATTGGCTATATCGATGGACTGATGCTGGTTTACCTTTCCAATGCTATAGATCAAATTCCTTACGTTGAGGGTGGAACTTATGTGGCTTACAACAATGAAAAGGGCGGGGTTATACAACAATTGAAGCAAGATGGAGTTGTTGATTTGGATTCCGAATTCAGTTCGTTGCCAGAATGGGTATCAATGAAAGCAATGATGAGTTCATGGCTCGCTGATGCAATCACGTATGAGCTCTGGCTAGGATCTGGTGAAAATTCTGCCAAGCAGATTTATTATTCGGATCTTCCTTGGGTGATAGGGAAGGTTCTTTTTGTTAAACAAGTTTACGATGTTAAGCAGCGATTTAATATAAGTAAACAAAATGCCGAGAAGAAGGAAGAAGAGGTAAACATTTCTATCATTCACTGGTATTTGTGCAATTTTTTATTTTTATTTTGTGTGCTTATGGTTAATAGTTTCTGTTATGATATTTTTTGCTTGTGGCCAGATTTATGATCGAGCAAAAGCTGCGTACAGAGCTTTGTCTACAATGTTGGGGGAACAAGATTTTCTCTTTGAGAACAGGTGATACTTTTTCCTGATTCCAGTTTTCTAAATTGATTTGTTATAGCTCAGCAGTCTTTATGACGACACTTCATTGACATATGGAGAGATAATGTCACATTATTCTTCAGTATGTTCTGAGCGAGAGAATGGCTGTGATAGTATCCACTATAGCTTCTGCAAACACTATGTCAAAAAACAAGTTATTCCATCCATGCAGGCCAACAAGCTTGGACGCAGACCTTGTCGGGCATGTGCTTTTCACTCTTAAAGCTTTACCCGTGAGTCATTTTAGCACTCTTCTAGTCTTGCAACTGATTGTCCACAGTTATGTTCCCTGTTTTGTGCTGTGGCTAATCATTAACTTACTGCGAGAATCGACATATAGCTTTGGACTGCCTCTACATGATTAGCTAGTTAAAATTTGCTGTTTAATGTCTAAGTGGCTGTTAGCGTACATGTGTGTTTTTTTTTGTGCTTTGAGTGAAATCGTGTGATAGTTTGTAGTGCTATCTAAACCTCTTGCTCATGCATTACCTAGTTTTATTTCTTGCCAGATCTGTAATTTCTTCTGGTAGAAGTTCAATGTGTAATTTAGACATTTGGTGCTATATACCGTAATGAATTCTGATTTTCTTTATGTTATTATGTGCTCTAGGAAGACTCAGTTATCCGGGCTGCTCTCTTAGAGCATGGAAATCTCGTAAGATATGCTGAAAGACACAAGAACGATTTCCTGACTTCTGGTCAATCAAGTGCTTCTGCTTCAAATTTCCAGCCACCACCATCAGCAGCTCAAGCAAGTTCAAGTAGGATAATCTCAACCACCCTCACTTAACTTTCTTCAATTTTCTCCCTTTCCAACCGATTCCATTTTACATCCTGAAGCTTAATCCTGGAATTCTGCAAATATAGTTTAAACCGAGAACTCACTTTCACCGTAATTCTTAAGATTAATGGAATCACTATCAGGTTCGAAACCCAAGAGGAAACCTAAGAGGGAGAAGACGGAAGAGGAGAAGAGTTTCCAACGGAAGGCCAAGTACTTCATCGGTGCACAGCTTGTTGCAGTTCTACTGTTTTTGTCTCTCTTAGGCAGTTCATCCAAAGCAGACCTTGATGAAGATGATGAGGATTAAGTTACGAGTAAAACCTGGTTCCTTGTATAAACAATTTCATCACCCTGTTTCGTCGTCTCATTAGATTTTGATTTAGTCATAATCATTTCTTTCTACCTCTTTGATATCACTTTCAATCTTCAGAGATCATAGTTGCTAACAGTTTCTGGAGTATGTTCTTCCATTTTGTTTAGACAGACACCGAGTTAATAAGATGCTTAGTGATTGGGATTCAACTAGTGCATGCTTCACTTGGCAATAGTTCACATCAATGTTCTGTGGAGCTTTAAGCCTTCTTTCTCAGCCTTATTTCATGCTTTGAAAGTGAAAGCTCAAAAAAGACAAGACTATGGTGCAAATTGTTGCAGCTTCTATGGCCACTAGATCATTAACGTGTTTGAATTACTACCCTGTAGTTGCTTCATGCATAGTTTTGCTGTGGCAAAATATAGCAGCTTATGGTGACTGTATAGTGTATAATTTGTTTTTTATAGGTGGCCAAATTCGCAGGGCCATTTCGCTAGTGGCGATGGATGCCCTTATCTATGAACCAAGGGCCAGCCTTCAAATTTTTGTGTGATCATTGGTAAGTGGAAGACAATGCAATTGAGCTAAGTTTAATTGGTTGAATACCTTTACTTTCTAATGATGGAGTGGTAGTGCCAAAGTAGAAGCTTAGGACAATACATAACATTATTGAATTAACATATTCGAATAAGATATAACACATTTGTCTTATTGGTTTAGTATAATTTATTCATTTTTATCACATTTAAAAAAAATCTGATAAAATCGAAACTTTTGTGTGATCATTGGTAAGTGGAAGACAATCAATTAAGTTCAATTGGTTGAACACCTGCACTTCCTAATGATGGATTGACAGTGCCAAAATTGGAGCTTTATAATGATTGAAGCCTAAGACTATTACCATTACCAATTATGGTCTCAACTGTTCTAAATTCATAAGAGATGATTTAGTTCGGTACATTAATCTTATTGAATTAACATATTCAAACAAGATATTGCACATTTAATTTTATTACATTAAAAAAACGTAAATGAACTGAATTCGAATTGGATTAGAGTAGAATACAATTTGATTCGATTAATCTTCAATTTACTTTTATTTACTCACATTCCAACAATTTGATCATAGGCAAAAAGCTCTATTCTTACAAAAATTTTGGGTTATTAAACCACCTACTCTAGAAAAAAAAAAAGTAAATGAAGGAAAAACTACCCATCATCACATAGCTCACAAATTGCATTCCTTTCCTCTACAAAGCTTAAATCTTCTTCTCCCGGAGCCGAGCAGCCGGCGGGAATTCTTCCCCATTCTCCCATTGCTTGAAAAGCTGAGCATACCCTTCAGCCGCACCATTCCCAAACTCAGTCAACGAGCTGATAGTAATCGACATCCCTGCACAGAGCACCCTCATACCGATCTCAGCCATCTTCTCCACTGTCATCACTTCTTCCACCATCTCCATTCCTCCATTGTTATCATATCTCCTCGAATCGTCTCTCAGCACCTGCATATGGCGAATCGAACCCATCCAATCCGCGGCGGTCTCCATCCCGTCGAGCACTGCCTTCTCCTGCACGGCATCCAGGAACTTGGACCACACAATGCAGAGTCCGAACAACGGGAAAGAAGCAGTGCTGCTTGATCGGCGCGGGGAGAAGGGTAGCTTCGATATTTCGGCAGGGTCGAGACGAACGCACCGGAGGAGCCAGCCGGCGAGGGACTGGATGTAGGATCGCTGAGAGGCGATCCATGTCTGGAAAGATGATCTCCAGTTTCGGAGCTCTGTTTCCATGGCCGCGGCTGATCGGGACAGGCGTTGAGGGTCGGTCATGGAGATGGAAGCCCGCCTTCTCACTTCGAGCTTTGACGGTGCTGATGCTACTAAGAGCTTGGCCGTGTCGAGTGTTTGTTTTTGTGAGTGGTGGCACTCTGCCATCACCTTCCACATCGTTGCTAACCTGTATTTTGCATTGGAATGTTTTTAGGTAACCTGCATTTTAATAAGTGACACACAAGCTAATTGGGAATGGAATGAATACATTACCCTTGTGCTAGTTCCAAAAGCTGAGGCTGCAACTCTTCATCCCGCAGAGTCTCTATCCTCTTCGATATGACTTCCACCGAGTGAATCGAAACCTTAATCTGTGTATCCAAATCTCTAATGGCTGCCCTCTTCTTGTCCAACACAAACGGATCCTCTCCTTTAACATCTTGGTTCGTTAGCTGCATGCATTTCTTCTCGTACGCTATCTGAATCCTTTCTCCTGACTGCAAGCAGATATTGATGTAGCAATAAACTGTCAGCTTTCTCCTGAAACAGAATTGTTCAGTAAATTCATAAACTTTACCTTGACTTCGTCAAACAGCTTCTTCTCCCAGGCGTATAACCTGTTCAACGTAGACTGGTGGCCACCTGAGATCGCAGAGGATTCATCTGACATGTCACTACTGCAGCTTTCCTCGGGTTCAAACTCTCCGGAGGATGAAGAGTTGGCCATGAATCTCGATGACGATGAACGAAACGAAGCTGATCGGATTAGTGCGACTGGATTCAGCATTTTCAGTGCTGCATTGTGAGGAAAAGGCAAAAATGAAAACAAAACAAGAGCATTGCTACTAAGAAGTTGCTACTACGAGCCACAATTCTAACAGAAGTGACCGTTACAGGCTTCGTTTACCTGCGAGATCTTTTGAGGTGGATGAGATGGAATACTGAGCTCTGCTAGACTCCAACAAACCCGAAACCACCTTAGCTGAATCACAGATCCTTGTGAACTGATCTTCAAGATCCTTGACAACTTCTGCCATGCTTGTTGGTCTTCTGTTAACATAGGCTGTAAAACCTGGCGACTCGGCTTCTTTACTACCACTATCAACAGTCAAAGTTTTTCTATTACGTGGCTGGACTCGTCTCGAGTTCTGATTTTGAGACGCCTCAATCTTTGTAGCACTAGTTTTTGGCTGCTGCAGAGAAGATCCCTTCATCACAATCTCATCTTCGCAGTCACCTCCAAAACACATATCATCTTTGCCATCATCTTCATCTTCGTCAACATCTTCGACGAGCACTTCTTCCTTGGGGTACGCATTGTGCTTAACCCGAGGAAGAGAAGGAGCGGCAGTAAGGAACTGATCATCAGCAGCAGGGGCTTGGTGTTGTCGTTGTTGTTGCTGTTGTTCTCTACTATCATCAACTTCATGCTCAGAGTGTCAAATGGAGCTAGTGACATCAAACCATTAATCATGTACATATGATTTTTTAATTAATTTTATTATAAGCGAATACATTTGATTGACTAAATCTGACATATATCCGTAGGTTGTAAATTATTATTTGGTAGGACCTTAAAATTTGTTTCGGAATCATGGACTGGAGGGACGTAATTAACTAAAATGAGAAAATACGAGGGCCCATAAGTAACATTCCGCAAGCCTCAGCGTCTAGGGTTTATATTGTTTTTCCGCAAACGCAGAGGGTTTAGAATCGGTTGCCGCCGATTTCCGAATCTCCCTCCATTACTCCGACTGCCGCCGTCTTACTCCCAATCTCTGCTCTCAGCTTATCTCCAGTCCCTCCATCAACAACCCGCGACCGCCCTGGTTTTCAACATGGCAAGTCGACCGGAGAATCTCGCCCCGCCTGAAATATTCTACAATGACGCCGAAGCTCGTAAATATACCTCCTCCTCGCGTATCATCAACATCCAGGTAGAATTTAGCTCTAGGGTTTCTATGAGCTTCCTTTGACATTCTCTGCTATCTGATTCTGCCTTCCAAAAACAGTCGAAGCTGTCAGAGAGAGCGCTGGAGCTTCTAGCTTTGCCTGATGACGATGTTCCCAGATTGCTTCTCGATATTGGTATCCGGGTTTTTCCGCTATTGAATTTGATTACTTCTTAATTGGAACTTACAGCATGCTCATGGAAGTTCTGAAAGCTTTGGCCTTTTTGTTTGTGCAGGTTGTGGTTCAGGGCTTAGTGGGGAGACGTTAACTGAGAACGGCCATCAATGGATTGGTCTGGACATTTCGCCATCTATGCTTGGTATGTGTTGCTTGTCTTCTTGATTCGCCTGATTATGGATGTATTATGCTTTTATATACAGAAAAGTTTGAATCTTTGTCTCAACTGTAGACATTGCAGTGGAGCGAGAGGTTGAAGGAGATCTTATGCTGCACGACATGGGTCAGGTATGCCCTTTGGTCAATCCAAAGCTCTATACATAGTGTTATTAGCATGAACTTGTTCTTTAATGCCGAGTGGTTTTATGAAATGGCAGGGCTTGCCATTTAGGCCTGGAACTATTGATGGTGCCATAAGTATCTCAGCTGTTCAGGTTCGTGCGCTTTATGCTTAGCTTAGGAATGAACATTTGCATAGGGTTACTCAATATTCATTCTTTTCTCTCCGTTCTTTTTCTTCAGTGGTTATGCAATGCTGACAAGTCATCTCATGAGCCGAGGAAACGGCTGAAGTATGTTCTTCACATCTTCCAACCAATATTTCTTTTTCTAAACATGACTAGGAAAGTGCTGCAACCAACTGAGGCCTTCTTCTTACCTTGTGATTTTGATCTTATTTTCAGGGCTTTCTTTGGATCGTTGTATAGATGCTTAGCAAGGGGAGCGAAAGCCGCATTTCAAATGTACCCTGAGAACATGAACCAGCGTGAGCTGATACTGAAGGCGGCTATGCAAGCTGGATTTGCCGGTGGAGTAGTTGTTGACTACCCACATAGGTTTGCTTCTTCGACAATATATATTAGTTAGAAGCGACCATTTTGTGTTTATTAGCTTCCATGGCTGACCAAAACTTCTCCTTCCTTTCACAGTACCAAAAGTAGAAAAGAATTTTTGGTCCTAACTTGTGGGCCGCCATCAGTTAACACAGCTGTTCCCAAAGCTAAAGGGGAAGAGGGAGAGAGCTGCTCGGAAGATGAAAGTGACGATGATGACGATGAAGAGCACCAAACAGTGAGCGTCTTTTCTGTTACATTTGTAACTCCTCGAAGACAACTGTATATCTTTTGATACTGGTGACATATGTTTTTATTTGTTTGTGATGTTTCAGGTGAGTATCTCGGACAGGCACAGACCGAAGAAGAGGCAGAAAACTGGTAAGAAGGGGAAAGGAAGGCAATGGATATTGAAGAAAAAGGAACAAATGAGAGGCAAAGGACATAATGTGCCACCTGATACAAGATACACCGGCAGGAAACGGAAGGCAAAGTTTTGATCTTTCTTATCCTTCTGCTGCTTCATCTTGCTATTTTGTGGCTGTGTTATGTTGAAGTCCCAAGATGGTGAGTTTTGAAGATGTGACGATACCATTTTTGTTTGTTAATTAACTTAGGAAGCAATGTATTCATTCTACAAGACCATTGCAACGTGAAGTTATGCCTTGATATATTTATTTCCTTGGGATTCTTTGGAAGCTCTATTCATCTTTGGCGTGCTTCAATTGCATCCTATTCTCTGTTCTCTGCAGTCTTCTGTATGAACAGAAACAGGACCCTAACTCCCAAGGCACTAATAATGACACAGAAGTATTGAAGGAGGGCTGATGAATCAAATTTGGGCCACTGCAGTTTGGGGCTCGAGCTGTCGATGCTGACCAATTCGGCTAAAGTTCGGCTCTTCAACGACTCTGTTTAGAACCACTAATCACTTTCTGTAATTAATACCTTATGATTACTCTTTAACAACTTCCATTTATTCCTTCTGAACAACATCCATTTGTTGGTTTAGTACTTTCTTTATACATTATCTAAAGATCCATGTGTGCAATTAAGTAAACGATGCTTCAATATTTTAGCTAAAGAAGCTTTCAACATTTAGTAACCAGAAAAAAACTACATTCGCCTGCCCATCAACCTCCCAAACTTCCCCTCTAATTCCCATATTTCTCAACCATTCACCACACGAAAAGGAAACACCTTTGACTCCCCTCCTTCCCTCTCTCTCGTGTCGTCTCTCTCTATCGCTCTCTTGGCTCTCTGTTTCCTTCTTTCGTGTCTGGAGAAACCTCCTAAGTCCCAACTCCCTTTTAATTTCCACTCCAGAGACATAGCAACGATCAAAGGTCTCCTCTTTTCCTCCGCCCTCTGTTATTTTCTCTTTGTAAGAAACAGAGCATTAGTTCACAATGAAGTACATCAGAACAAACAGCTTGAAGTTGAAGAGGCTCTTCTCATTAGTCCGCCGAACCCTCGAAGAAGAAGACGAAGAGATAATCGGGAATGAAGATGGAAAGCCAATTCGCCAAACCAAAGAGCATACCGTCATCAAGTCCCCCAGGCCCAGACCACCCACCTGGAGATGCTTCTCTTACGACGAAATATCACTCGCCACTAATGCCTTCCACCCAGGTTCCTTCCCACTTTCTTCTCAAGTTGTTTCCTTCCGTTTCTAGCTCATCATTCCAATTCTCACGCGATTTTCTTTTGATTTTCGCGCCGGCGGCAGATAATTTGGCGGGAAAAGGAGGGTATGCGGAGGTTTACAGGGGAACCATGCCGGGAACAGGGGAAGTTGCGGTGAAACGGCTGACGAAATCGTGTACCGACGAGAGGAAAGAGAGGGAGTTCCTGTCGGAGATTGGAACAATTGGCCATGTCAATCATCCAAACGTTCTTCCTTTAGTTGGTTGTTGCATCGACAATGGACTTTACCTCATTTTCCAATACTCCTCCATTGGCTCCCTAGCTTCTCTTCTCCATGGTAAAAATTCAAAGCCAAACTCACTCATTATGATGCTTGAATTGAAAATTCATCGACTCTGTTTTTGGGTTTCTTCCATTGCAGGGGAGAATTATGGAGAGTTGAATTGGAGAAGAAGGCACAAGATAGCGATCGGGACGGCGAAAGGGATTGAGTATCTCCACAAGGGATGCCAAAGAAGAATCATTCACCGGGACATCAAATCGTCTAATGTCCTATTGACGGAAGATTATGAGCCCATGGTATGTTCCTTTTATCTTCTTCTTCTTCTTCTTACCTTGACAAATTTGTTGCTCTGTTTATCCGTCTCTCACTGGTTTCAATTCAAATTGCAGATATCGGATTTCGGGTTGGCGAAATGGCTGCCAACGCAATGGTCTCACCATTCAATCGGACCCATTGAAGGAACATTCGGGTAAAGACCAGCAGTTAGAATACAAAGCTTCGAGATGACACCATTTTGATTCGATTTTCTTGACTGATGATGGGGAAAAGTCTCGATCTTTACTGACAAAAAAACAGGCACTTGGCGCCAGAGTATTATTTGCATGGGATAGTGGACGAGAAGACGGATGTGTTCGCGTTTGGAGTGTTCCTGTTAGAGCTCATCTCCGGCAAGAAACCTGTCGATGGGTCTCACCTCAGCCTTCACAGCTGGGTAAGGCCTAATAAGAACAAAAAGAAAAGGCATACAAAATCATTATTTCCCTTCCTCCTTTTCTTTAATAAATCAAATTAATTTATAGATGGCTTTGTATTCATCTTCATTATTCTAAGAAAGTTGTGATTATGACTCTCTAGTCTAGCATTTGTCTAATGTGGTCTAGTGGTGAAGGTGTTAGAGTTTGTTATACGATAATGGTGAAAAAATCTCAATAATTATGTGTGTTTTATTGACAATAAAAATGGACAGGCGAAGCCAATCCTAAAGAGAGGGGAAGTGGAGGAGGTGGTGGATGGAAGGCTGGAAGGAGAGTACGATGGAACAGAGTTGAGACAACTTGCATTTGCTGCTTCCCTCTGCATTAGACCTTCCCCAGCCTGGCGCCCAACCATGGCCGAGGTACGTATTCTATTCCCCCCTTCCTCTACCTCTACTTCCTTCTTCCACCATAGCACACGAATATAACGGTGGAAAATGAAACAAAAATGAGACATTCGACGGCCAGATAGAGTAGACGAGATAAATATACATTATTTTTTAACATGCATAATATAATATGTGAGCCGTCCAGAATGTATTCATTAGAACAATAACTCATATTTTGGAATCAATAAACAACACATGAACATACTGATCGAAGAGTGTAGTAATAATTCTTAAAACGATTCAAAACGTGGGATGTTACATCATGGACCACAAAAACCATGAAACTTGAGCATTATTTGCACTTATATACATCCTCTGGCTCTACATAAGTTGCAATCCTAACAGACTATACAACATTGAGAATGGTCCAGTGCCCCCCCAAAAGTTCCTTGCTATTCCCCATTACAACAACTTCCCTTTCTCCTCTTATCATTCTTTCCTATCCTTCCCCCATTATTTATGACAAACATTTAGTTCTCTCACCGACCGCCATTGATGACCATGAACAGCAACGAAAGGGAAATGAATCACAAAACAGAGCCAAAGATCAGCAAGATGCGTCTCTTCAAACCTTCCACCTCATAACAATGAGTCCTTGCCCTATGTCATTAACTACTTAATCCTTCTTTTTGTATGGCTTAAGTTGACTGTGTGAGCGGTTCATAAGTCAATAGTTAAAAATAATAATGATTTAGATGGGGGGGAATTAGGTGGGTTTATGCCTGTTTGATGACTTCTGCATTTCATTTTCACCGCCCATGTACAATTGACCTACAAAAACATTATGTTTACATTTTTATTTATTTTGGTTTTGTGTACAATTAACTAAAGTATATGGCAAATTGGAGAAAGAAAAAAGAACTATAGTTTGATGGTCTGCCGTACCTAATCCAAAAACCCATTAAGCCACGCAAGAGATTGCATGAGTCTTCCCTCACTGTTCTACATGTGGTGTTGGATGTTGATGATCACATCAAGTTTGATTAAGTTGGAGGTTTAATTAGGTTTAGGTTGTCATGATCATTCTCCCCTAAACAAATACCGTACAATCCAAGGTCCCTTGTATTGTATGAATTAAGTCCTTATTTGAATAGGATGACTTGGGTTTTAATCATAGTGGATGGTCAACCTTCATATTTCAAATAACTTATCGTGGGTATGTAGTAATTAATAGCATAATTTGTTCATTCGTATTTTGCGTCATGATCTAATGTTCGTATTAGCTTTTTTCGTGTCGTGTATTAAAATACACTAAGTATTTTCTTTCTATGAAAAAATATGAATGCATAAAAGCATATATTTCACATACCCATAAGCGATTGTGACAGAAGTAACAAAAATAGTAATTTTGTCAGGTGTTGAAGGCAATGGTAGATGTGGAGGAGATGGGGAAAGAGAGGTGGAAGATGCCAGAGGAGGAAGAGGAGCAACATGATGAGTTTTGGGGGTTTGAAGATCTTGAATGTGATGATGAAACTATTTCCTTTTCTGGTTCTAATTCTGTTTCCCCACAAGCTTCCTTCTCTATGATGATCTCCACTACTATTACTCCTATTTCTACTATCAATGTTACTATTGCCACTCCAACCTCAATGATTCCTTCTTAATTCCAACCTAGACCACCTATAGTTTTGTAGTAAGTATACAATTTTGTATCTTCACCCCACCCCCCTCCTACCTCTTTGTATTTAAATATTTCTCTTCTTCTTTTTTCAATGAACTATTGTATTATAGTCATCTCACATATATAAAAGTGAAGCAAGTACAAATTGAGATCTTTTGTAAAGTTGTTCTGCTTAATATAGAGATTATGTTACAAAATCATACAATAATCCGTGAAGCAAACAAATTGGTGGATCTCATATTTTGATTGCTACTTCTTCATCTTCTCGTAACAAATCCAGTGAGAGTCAATAAAAACTTAGATGAAATCATCAAGTTTAGCACAAAAAAAAAAGGGTTGAGTTTTTCATAGTTTGGATGTTGGACCATATTCAATTATTCATCATTTGGAAAAGGTTGAATTGTTCTAAGAAAAAAAGGGTTTAGTTATTTTTTATCCAAATGATGGACCATATTTTAACAAAAAAATGAATTATATGGAGATTCCTTTGGGATCTCTCTCCCTCTATCTCTCTTTATATAATTTTCCACTAAATTTTCATAAATTAATGATCTGATTGATTGGTGTTCTTGATTAGCATCAATTCCCCCTAATTATATTCATTGTTTTGCATTATAGTCTCTTAGGGGAGGTCTTAATCTTATGCATGCCACCTCTTGCTTACCACTTTACTAGTTTATTGCAAGTGTTAGGATCTTAATTAATTGAACTAATCAAGCTAATAATATCTGCATGCTCGCATGCTTAATAATACGATTAACTTCTAGTGTGTCTCTCAAGAAGACAGCTCATTTATGCATTACTTAATAGTTATCCAATTTACAGAAGAGAAGAATATAATGCAATAAGCACTTATTGCATTTGCATAGGATCCTACAAAAACAACATTAAGTAATCAATTCCAACCTAATGTGGCTATGCTCGGACAGGATTGATTAGCCAAGCACTGACACATGACTAGAAGAAGATCGTGATTCACTTATAGAATGTGTATTTCGTGAATTCGATTATTAACAAACATTTATGAGGAAGTATGAAGAGAAATTTGTGATGATTTTTGCAAGTAAAACACAAGAAAGATCAATTAAGATATCGATCACACATTGGGTAATGCTTACTTAGATGCAGTCCAACTCAGAATTTGGCCTTATTAGGGGTTGGTTGAGAATTATAATACTGAAAATTAGGCATATATGTTTGTGCCTTATGTATATTATGGGGCAGCTGTCCCAATTTCAGGGGAAGTTGGTTTGAAAAGGCAGTGTAAGGGTGATGACTCTGGTCTATTGGCCTTTAGTTTACTTAATCCTCCTCCCTGATTACTTTTTTGTAGTTAGCACATGTCACTTTTGAGAATCATGTACTCATTTACAATTGTAATTTTTCTTTCTTTGGATTGAAATCTCAAATATATTAGCCAACAACCAATGCCAATTCAATTTGTATAGTGAATTGAGCAAAAAAGATGTTATAGGAGTCAGAACTCTCGATCGTTATTTAATAGCAAATCTTGATAAGTTTTATCGTTTTCAAAAAAGTTTGATGCTTCATCTGATATATGTCAAAAGAAGTCAAGAATATAATCTGCCTTAGAAACCACCATGCATCCAACTGATCCAAGAAACAAAACCAAATGAGGGCAAATCTGTACTAGATAAGAAAATGAATTTTTCTCTTCACAAACTGTGTGGATTCTTAGAAGCCACATAAAATTTTAAGCCTCTGTATAGAGCTATCACTATTTGAAGAAGAAGAAAAAATGTGGACGGACCATCGACCACACTGAACTGATATGAACTTCTAACAAACTGAAGAGGATTGCAACTTCAGATTCTTGTTGTTCGAGAATCACACCATGAAGAGCCCTTGATAAAACAATGAACTATTTGTGACTCTTCTAATGATCCTGGTCAAGGAGCATCGTTGAACGTTCAACGATATATAAAGCATTTCAAATTGAAAAATAGACCTTTCTACGAAGTTTTAGTTGTAGTATATCTCTTCCCCTAAAAAAAGACCAAATAGACAACCATCGGCCATTAAGCATATTGTATTCAATAGAGAAAAAGGAAGGAAAGAAAAGGAAGAACTTTCTCTAATATTGCAATGGCTGTCTAATTAAGTCATTGGATAAGAAAGTAGCAAAGTAAAAGCTGCAAAGTGGCAAACTAAAACCTCTCCAAGAAGGTAGTTGTTTGTTTGTCTCCATGCCAACCTAACCCACAAGGCCACAATACCAAACTCAAAGCTTAATGCCACGAGAAACCCATATGAGCATATGTTCTGCTGGATAATGATTTATAAACTTATTAGACAGCACAATGTGTAAGTTTGGTAAACTTACTAGTTTAATGACATTGACAACAACAACAATGACGAGAATCAATGTCTGGCAGGGCAGGGAAGAAAATATAAGAAAGAGGGTCACACTTACCTAAACGATCACTAAATTTTGGGATAACTAGCAAATCAGTCATTGAATTTTGATAAGCTCGTCATTTAGATAACTAGCAAATCAGTCATTGAATTTTGATAAGCTCGTCATTTAGGTTGTTTACACGAAAACCGTTTGAAATAACAAACAAAAAATAATACTATGTCCTTCATTACCAAGTTCCTTAGCCATTTTTATCATCAATGCAGGTGAGATAGCATGTTGGTACGGGAAGATAATAGAAATAAACAAAGTAGACAAAATGATCGATACGTTAGTTATTTCAACGTTTAGTGCGAATTGATTCGTTAGGTTCCTAGTGTTTAGTGACTGTTTATGTAGTTGACCTCATACGATTAAGATAAGCAGGTAAAGTTGCTCTCTCCATATCATAATTCCCAACCATCTAATGTAAGGGGCTCCCAAATGGAAATCTCCTCCTCTCAAAGCTAAGCTGTGCTGCTGAGGAAACATGCCATGGAATGTTAGTTGAAAGATGCTGACCTTGTGGATTTTGCCAAGAACTTCTCCTTGGAGATTGTTTCTTCTTCCACACTTCAGATTTGTTTTCAGATCTTGAAGTCGGTCTCTCGGGCTGTCCGGTTCTTGCTTGTGGGTGTCAGAGGGAGCCGCCGTCGGCGGTTTGTTCTCTTCTTTCATGTTTCTGTTATCTACCTCCACACGTTTCACCCATAAATGGGGGTGATTCGGAGATGTCACGGCTTGAATAGCCAAGGATACTGATTCATGGGGTGGAGAGCAGGGATCTCTTTCTTGCCGAAGTGTCTTTCGTCGCTTGCTCGGTTTGGTGGGGGCTTTATGCGATGGCCTTTTTTCACCTTTCTGCTCGCGTTTGGGGTCGCTCTTGTTTCCACCTGTGGGGGTTTGGGCTTCGTGGTTGTTCTTCCTCGTGCCTTCTTTTCTGGTCTTTTGGGTTTCGACGGTGGTGTTGTTGGTGGATCTGGGAGTGATTCTGGCGTCGATTCTCCCTTGCACACGTTCTCTGTTGCGGTCCTTTGTCGGAGAGGCTCTCCCACTTCGTTTGCTGTTCTTCATCCGGCCTTGCAGGTGCTGATGATCTGGTGGTTGTGCCAGTTTTTCTCTCCTTCCGGCGAATGAAGTCTCTGACGGCATGAAGGGTGCTCAAGAAGGGTTGCTGGGTGGGGATGTTTGCGGCGGCCTTCTGGCTGATTGATGTTTCTTTGGGCTAGGTTTTCTTCGGGTGTAGGCTTTGGGTCCCCTTCCAGATTGTTGCTTGGGCTTTTTCTGCTGGGCTCTCTCTTTTTGCGCCTGTTGTTTGCCTTAATCTTGGATTTTCCTTCCTTTTGAGTGTTGCAACTCATCTCTGTACACTGTGTATGGTTTTATTTTCATTAATGAAACTCTACTCCTCGTCAAAAAAAAAGATGCTGACCTTCTCCACATGCTATGTTGGCTGGTCCTATTTCTCTGTTTTTAAAAGGAAAATGGGTTTTTAATTATTATTTTATATTTTACAATTAGGCTTGATGTGTTCTTGTTGTTTACCTGCAAAGAGAACATTTTATTGGGGGGTGAGTTCTCGTCTTTAGGATTCATTGGTAAAGTAGATTGACTTAAGTTGACACTTTGAGATTATTTTCAATTTAATCGACATTTAGAGCTCGATAGGGTATTAGTTTAGATCCTATATTTGAGGTTTGCTGAGCTCGGATGAGTGAGCGGTATATCAAGTTAAACAATATCAAACCAGTATTTTTAATGAGGAGAAGTGAATCAGTGCATAATTCGATTTTCGAGATATCTTTATCTTGCTTGCATGTTCTTTAATCTTCTAAGATATTAAGTGAGGATGCATTTTCTAAAATTATTGTTTCGGCACAATGCATTTATGTAAGATATTATTGTAGAAGCATTTAAAAGATTGCATATTTAGAATGTTATTGTTCAAGGATTTCCTTACTCTCATGTATTGGATTGCATTATTTTGATGTGTTTACAAGATTGATAATTTTAATTCTATCTAGAGGCCTGATTCATCATCTATATGACATGCCCTAGTAGCCCTACCCTATTTTGGATCCATTTTGTCTAAATTATGTGTAATTTTAATCAAATTACTTAAGCTTTTACTTGTATTACATCATATTTTATATATAATCAAATTGTAATCAGATAAAAATATTAATTTATTAAATAATTTAACTTTATTTATCATGTCAATGTAAAAATTTTAAATTAATATCTAAAATGTTATTCCTTCAAAATATATACCCATATAAATCGACATGTATCCGACTTGTGTGTCCTTACCCGTCCAACCTGACTCATTGCCTTCTCTATTTCTATCATATTCAAAATATATTGGTTAAGTTACCTAGTATTGCGAATAACATCCCAAAATGCAACCACATGACCAAACAAAACAATAGGAGGAAGAATATCACAAATGCATGTAAAAAGCCCATGGATAGACAGTTTTTCGTTTCGTTGAATGGATAGGCAGAGTTGGGAAGATCTGAGAGGAGACCATTCTGATCCAGAAGGGGTTACAAGCCCAGTGAAACTAATTGACAGCAATTCCAATCACCAGGCGAGAGCCCATCTCAGGGCCCAGACACAAAAGAACAACGAAGCCAAACCCACATTCACCTTCGATTGAAAGGGGCAAAAGAGCACCAGGTTGTAACAAAAGCTTGCATCTTTGATACACAAACAGCTACAACAACATGGTTAGGTGGCAAAATGAGGCCAAAGGGAACTCAAGAAGCAGAAACACATTCTTAGCAACCTTCTCCTATACTTTACTTTGCTTAACAGAGCAGCCATTAAGCATATATATATAAAGATGTTGTACAACAGACCGTCCACCATCGCTGCCGGCTCAACTTTGCATTTCGCCATAACAACAGTCTTCTAATTCACAGATAAACATCCAGCTGATCATCATCCATCAGAGTAGGATTTGGGAGGCGGCATAACATCACCGTTCATACATTCTGTGCTTTGCCTGGAAACTCTTTTGCTTTGGCTCCTTGATCCTGCAAGTAATGCCACAATGCACAACATTCCTTTATTGTGATTTTGAAGCAGCCAAGAGCTCAAATACTCTTATCTTTCTTCCGTACAACCTACTTTGAGCTCACAGGTTAACCACAACGACGAGACATAGGAAACTCATGAACAATAACAGAAAACTTGGCTTTCTCCCTGCATTTTGGGTCTCTACTACTTTCCACTACATTTCTAGAGTCATTTGATATATAGGAAAGAAAACAATGCCAAACAGAGAGGGAAGCAACTACAACTTGGAGTATGGCTTTCACTGTTGCTTATTGGGTCAGAGTAGATGAGCTAGAGCTGCTGTTGTGTGTTACGAAGAAGGACAAAGAAAGGAATCTTAGTAAAGCACATGAGATGGAGTTTGACAAAGTTGAGAATTGAGGGAGAAAGAAGGTAAAGGGAATCCAATGCTAACACAAAGGAAATGGACAATGATAATGACATCAGGTCTGGATGAAGAATGCTAGTGGCTTGGTGGCCAACGACACATTTGGAGATCGAGTCGATCTAAACTGAATTAAGTACAATTCAATCCATTTACCAAACTCACGACTTTCCTGATCGAACGCTCTTATGATCCGGTTCTAGTCCCCACTCCCCTAATCTCATTCAATTTTTGGACCACATCGACCTATATGAGATGGTTGGTTCATTCTTCTAAGCTACTTCTCATTCAACTATACACTTCCCATCCCCCAACAACAACAATCCATAATTAGCAAGTTAAGATCTATTGGTAACAGTAGTAAATGCGAAGAAATGGCAGCTAATGCAGCAGAACAAGAACGATCTGTGGTTCATTTCACTGAATTCCACCAAACTAAGTATGTTGGACAGAGAGAAAAGAGCAACCAGGCTTACCAATCCCTTGGTCTCAAAATAGTCATCCAGAGCCCACTGATACTTGGACTGATTCAGTCCAAACAACCGCGCCAAATGTTCATCCAAGCTCGAATTCACTGCACCAGAACAACAATCGCCCACCTCCACATTTCAGCTCACACATTTCCAGCTACTTACTACTTAAAAGTTAAGGAAAGCGAAATGAACTGAAAGAGGAAATGGAATTCGGAATCCGAGTTTGTTTACCGAGCTGAACCTTGGAGACGGCGGAGCGGAAGAAGCCGCCTGCAGATTCATCGTCGGTCTTGGTGAGGGGCTTGGCAGAGTGGATCTGGGGAGCGGGAGGGCAGACAACCTTCTTAGGGGAATCGTGGTGGAGGTTAGGCGGCGGGGAAAGGGGAGATGATGAAGGAGTGGGAGGAGGAGTGATGAAGACGGTGTACGGGCCGATTTTGCCGATGGTCGGCGGCGGAGTGGACGGGTCGGAATTGATTGGCATTGTCAGAAACAAGTAGTAGAAGAAGAAGGAAAATAGTGGGGAACAGGGGAAGGGCGGAAGCTAAAGAGTAAAGCAAAAGAAGAGAATTCAGAAAGTAGAGTACTTTGAGACTCTGAGCAAAGATGCAGAGTGTGAACTGAAGGCGAAGAGAGAGAGAGAGAGAGAGAGAGAGAGAGAGAGAAGATTGCATTGGTTGGTGGGCTGGAGCGTGGGAACAGAACAGAGACTTGCAATAGATTTCTTCTTCTCTTTCCTTTTGTTTGGGATAATTGCATTTGCAGACCTTGTAGTTGTATTATGTGGTTCATTCGTTTTTAGTTGTCGTTTGGAAGTTGCGATTATTAGTGTTGTATTTGTTAAATACATGTATTGTCCACAATATAACGTTTGGAAGTGTTTTGTGTGGGACCCACCAACAATCAACAAAAATGAGGGATTGTACAATCGCAACTAAAAGTTGAGATTGTTGTGATTGTTGGTTTAATAATTGACCACCTTTACTTTTTCCAATTATGTCCATAGTTCTTTTTGTTTTATATTAAAAGTGGAGGACAAATATGACATTTCCCTATAAAGTAACTTTATAACAATCAATTCATAAATTATAATCTCAACAACCAAACAATGTAATTTCAAAATGCATCTATTGTATCAATGCATGCATTTATATCATAGTGATTCATAACAATACAAAGATTTAACATACGCAACTTCCAAACGACCCTTGTCAATTTAAAGATTTATCGAAATTAGTCACTTTCTTCAAACTATCAACCATATGGCTGGTTTAGTGGAGTTATATGATTTCTTCGAACTATTAATCACATTATAAGCTTAGTGGAATTAGATCGAAAAGAAAAGTATGTAGATCAGAAGAATAAGAGCACTCACTTAACAACATTACTAAGACGATACTTTTAGCGTAGGAACTAAAAATAAATTTATTACAAAATACATTAATATGTTCGTTAAAATAATATGATGTAAGGACACACAAATAATCGTTAGCCCATCTTTGTTTCAATCAAATAATCAACGGTTATGATTAATTTTCTTAACGTTAGTCGAATAGGCTTCCTTCCTATGGCCAAAGAACACTTGGCCTTGTAAAAGTTTTACAAGTTAGAAATGGAAGAACAACCATCATACGCTGGCGACCCTGGTAACATGTTATATACTTTTTTTTTTACGAATAGAAATGCTTTTATTCCTTAACCCATCAACGGAAACCAAGTACAATCTTACAGCAAAGGAGAAACAAGATCAGCAACAGTCAACCAATCCGCAGGAAGAGATCCCAAACGCTCATTCCTCGCCACCCATTCAGCAAGACCATTGAGACGCCTAGGGATAAACATCACCTTGATCCAGGGAGCCAATTGGAGGAGAGAAATGATACGTGCCAAGATTGGACGACATTGCCAAGGCCATCGATCAGGAGTAAGCCTTAAGGCGGGGATCAGAATCTGACAATCAGACCTAATACACGTCTGGCAAACATCCTGTGATGCACACAAGACAGCATTAAGAATTGCATAAGCTTCCGCTTGAATAGGATAGGAACAAAAGACTTTCTCAGCCTTGCCGTACAAAAACTATGTTTCACCTCCCAGAGAGAGAGTGAATATGAATTAGTACGGACAAGAATATAGCTCATCGTATGCAGCACATTCATATTCTATATCTGCAAATATGTATCACAATTCACAACAACAGGTGCAATATCTGATCCATGCCTCAATTTAGAAGAAAATCCAATCTGCAGCGTGCTACAAAGACACAAGAGGTAAACAGCAGTAGCAAAATTAGAGCCTGCAAGTTATTTCTTCGTATAAAGGCATTCACTTTTGCAGTTTTTCTTCGTACCCTTTTGTTTTCTTTTGGTTCAGATGATCAGGTCAGAGACCACATCAAAGAACTACTAACTGGAAGAAGAAAAACAAAGAAAAAAGAGAACCCAAGAGGCAGAGGTTACATAAACATAGAAGCAGCAGAAGAGTAAGAACAAAAGCAAAAACAAAAACGAAAAGAAGAGACTTCCTCCATTTCTTCTTCCTACACATATATTGATACAACTATCACTCCCTACCCCAAACCCCTCCCCTCTAACCTCCCTAAACCCAGACCTGGAATTTACTTAAATACCCCACAAACTCTTTCTTACAACACAATGCATGGGGCACTCATTTCCAGACAAACCCTTTGTTCTCCATTACACAATATTCCTTGTGACTAGATAGCCACAACACCATATTTTCTTCTGTCAATCAAGGAACTATCACTGAATTCAGATGCCTAAGTCCTCAACTTTGAACCCTTTTCTGCAATCCTGAGTATTCAACACACTATGGCTAATACAGCTTGTTCACTTGATCAATTGTTCCTGCATGTACATACATGGTTCCTGTAGTCCGAATCAAATCACTGAACTTGCTAATGCTAGTTCATGCAACTCACTCAGCATCCATTCCTCCCCGGTCTGACCACCGAGCACTATAGCCCTCGTCCCTCCAACCACACAAGTACTATGCCCCCATGCAAACCTTGGTGGCCGTCCAGGCACATTCAGAATCCTCCATGTTGGTTTCTCCTCCGTTGGATCTAACAGATAGAGCTGGGAAGCTGAATGAAGGCCCGCCACCGAGCCTCCAAAGATGAGGATCCTCCCACCGGGAAGACTGACTGCTACATGGTCAAGTCTAGGAGGGGGCGCCACCCCTCCCGGGTTCCCTGCCCCAGGCATGCCACTCCCTGTCACACATCTCCAACATGGCTCCTCCTCGCTCAAATCCATCGTGAACACATCGCTGGAACGAAACCTCAGGGGCCCACTCTTTGCCAGCCCGCCGAACATCAGTATCTTCCTCCCTCCATAGACTGACAATGTGTGGCCCAATCGAGAAGGCGGGGTCCACGCAGCTGGTATCTCTCTCCAAGTGGGCTTCTCCATCGAGAGGTCTAAAAGAAATGTGTCGCTAAGGAGAACTCCCGAGTCAGCACACCCACCAGAGACGATCAGCTTTGTGCCATCAAGGGTGCATGAGCTGTGCCATGATCGTGGCAGCGGCGGAGCTAGCCCCGAGATCTCCCGCCAAGTTGGTGGCTTGGCATCCAAATCCAATACGAAGACATCATTGAGCAAACCCTGCCTTCCGCAGCCTCCAAAGACTACTAGATTAGATCCATCGACGCAAGATATCGTGTGGCCCCACCGTCCAGGTGGTGGGGAGCTGACGTGGACATGTTCCCACTCCGGGTTGCTGGCGTTGAGATCTAGTACGAACGTGTCGTTCATTGGCTGCATGTTGACACCTTCCCCTCCGAAAAGGACCACCCGGTTCCCCACTGCGCATGCACTGAAATTGCAGCGTGAAGGCTCGACAGAACCACCGACGGTAACCTTTCTCCATGCCGCTGCTTCAAGGGTGGTTAGTTCTCGGGCAAGCCGACCCCACCCGAGTCTTTTAGCGCCTGGAACTGCTTCCAGTATCCGAGTTGTCTCGCATCCCCATGCATTCTGGCAGACCATTCTCCAGAGGTCCTCATTCTTGGTCAGCTCATAGAACCGTCGAGAAACCGAACCAACCGACGCAATGTCTCGAGGAGTCAACCGAGATAGAATCTTCAGAGATATCACCTCATCACTCAGCTGCAGCATGCCACAAAGTCCACTGCGGCAAACAGATCGATCGGCTGGGCAGTAGGTGGAGAGTCGAGAACCAAGGCGGTCAGTAAGTTTGGCTGAAACCTTAACAGAACCAGGTACCGGGCCGAGGTCAATGTTTGCTGCTTCGGTGAAGAACTGAATCCCGATGACGTGAGTGATTATGTCGTCCTCACCATATATGGGAGTGAGGCGCAACCTGTTCATTAAGGGTGACCCATCTTTTCTGAAGTTCAACAGCTCACCTTGGAATTCAATGCCTTCATCGAGGCACCGCCTTATTTCTGAGATCACGGATGAGTCGACTAATGGATGCCTTCTTTTGGCGAACGGTCCTCTGCATTGCAAGAAGCGGCTGTTTGGAGAAAAAAAGAGAATAAGATACAGAGGGTAGTTAAATATTCTACATGATATGGATTAAAAAGTGGTTTGAATCATATGCCAACATTTTGGCGCCTAATAGGAAAGATACTAAATTTTTAGGCACTTTCAGGAATAACCTCAGTATACCCAATCTCACATAAAAATGGTGGTCTCAACATCCAAGGTACATTGTATTTCTTTTCTCAATTACACTTAGTTCACAATAAGAGTAGCTAAGGTATACCTGTAGTTGGGACCTAACTTTCAGCTAATCATATTCTTGGGAAGGCCATTAGTAACAGCTCTAGAGCTATTTTTAGTTAGTAGGCACTAGGCAGGGATACCCTGTCAACTAGCTTCTCCAGCATTTTCCACTACTGGTTCAGTTGGATTACTGAGATATGAGAAACAAAAAAAGTCCATCATGCAAAATATAATCCTTATAACTGATAATTAAAGTAAGCCACTCATTGTTTCAGAAAAACTGTACCAGATACTAAGGCAGAATCAAATGTCTATAGAACAAGCATAGGCCTCAAAACATATCTTATAGGTTACAAAGTCTTCTCATGCGCTTTCTAGATGCAAGAGACGGAATGCTTGTGGCAACCGATAAAAGGCCGAATGATTTTGAATTAGACTTCAGAAGGACTATACTATGGCTTTCCTTCTTTATATTAGGTGATGCGAGCTGCAGAAGAGAAATAATGGTACTAACTTTTGGGAGGAAGGAGTGTCATTGTTCCTAATGTCCATTTCATGATCATTCCTCACTTCTACCACCAAAATGACCTCCACTTGGGAAAGGAGTCCCCAAGATGTAGAAGGAACTGCAAATGGAGATTGACCAGCCTACTGATCAAATTAAGTCATTTCTACCTCCAACACCACCTTCGAAAATGATGAATGAGAAATCAAAATTTCCTTCATCTTTATGTGCATGTTGCTTTAGCTATAAGTATAACCATTCAATCTATAGCTTTAGTAGATGATTTCCTTCATCTTTATGTGCCTGCTGCTTAAACTATAAACTTCCAACCTATAGCTTTAGGTGCCCTTTCCTTCACTTCATCCACCTGTTCGCTTTGCTCTAATTATCAACTCTACAACTTTCGGTACTCTAACCAACCATAAATTCAGTCCTAAATCCTAACCCCTTAGCAAGTCGTTAGCCATTTGAAAAGACACAGACAGCTAATATTTCCGAAATTCTAACATGAAGACATTCAGTAAGCTAATAGAGCATAGACTTGAGCAAGTTCACCAGGTTTTATCCAAAGGTTTCCACGCATATAAGTAACACCAAGCACTGAGCATCCCCTTCATATGACCAGCAATAAAATTGCCATGGAATGAACAAGCAAGACTTCCTTCATCTGCATCTCCAAGTTTGTCCTAAGTCGATAGTCATGAAGACAAACTGCTAATAGTTCTGAGACTTGAAATTCAAGATACTCAATAAACGGTTATAGCAAGTAGACCCATGTAAGCTCATCTAGTGCCTCCAAAGGGTTCCGCTAAAATCCACAATACCAACATGCCCTTCTTACATCCAGCAATAAGACTGCCATGGAATGGGAAACCATGATCTCCTTCATCTTAATCCACAAGTTGGTTTCACTCTAACCATTTTATTCATAGTAGTTTAGTACCCCTTAAGGCCTAAACCCATCATGAAATCACTCCCAATCCCTCAACATGGCATTAGCTAGGAGCTAAGACACAAACTGCCAATATTTACAGAAACTGCAGCATGGAGATATTTGAAAAAGTAAACCAATACAGCACAGACTCATTCAAGCTCGTCAATTTTCACCATAGGGTTCCACACATATCTCCAACACTGAGCAGTCCCTTCTCATATCCAGCAATAAAATCGTCATGGTATGGCTATTCCAATCATTTCCATAAAAGCCCCAAATTCTGAAACCCTCCAATACCAATCTACACGAAATCCAAATTCCAAATTGTACGGCTCTGCTAGCCCAGACTACGAACAGGCAAAACTCGAGGAACCAAACAAAAAATTACAACTCACGGAAACGAAGAGGGGATAAAAGGCGTACCAGTTGCGGCCAAGCACCTCCTCAGCTCGATACCCAGTTACCATCTCGAATACGGTATTGACATAGATGATAGGGTGGTCAGGCTCAAGGGCATCCGTGACCACGAACCCACAGGGCGCGGTTTGAAGCAAGCTCTCGACGGGGAAAGGGATTGGACCGACACAATCGCTGATGCCGAAGCTGCCTTCCTCCTCCTCGTCGCCGCTCAGATCCGAATTGCTGCTGTCCCACTCCATCAATATCTTCGAAACCCAGTTACCTCCGTCCGCTATCTACCCCATGAGTGGGGAGTAAAAAGCAAGGTAAATGCAAAACCCAGAGGAAACAATCAACAGAAGCAAAGGGGGAAGTGCACGGGTCGATTGGTTTGATTACGGAATTGGAATCAGCTGAAATGGAAATAGAAGGGACGAGAGTTTTGGGGAAGAAGAAGAAGATAGTCGGGAGCGAAAACGGGTGGTGGTGGGCAATTGGTTTGATTCTCGGGAGAAATTTTTCTTCTTTTCTTGGTGGGCTGGTTCGGTTTGTTGTTTTTGGTATGCCTTTCCCGTTGCGCCAAATCGGTTTTGCGGCTTTTCTTCCGTGTCTTGTTTTTGGCCTTGGCTTTCTTTTTATGCACTACGCATTTACATGTGTGGCGGCGCGAGTCACCGGTCCGGTCACCTTACCGCCCTTTTCTCAAAATTTTGGTAGGCTTTTCTAATTCGAAGAGATTAAGGTGTTGTATGTACTTTAAAGAGGGATTAGTAATAATAATTTTTACTAAGGATGAATTCAATGGATTAATAAGGAATAGCTCTTTCAAATATACTTACAAATGTATGATGCAAGATTTGGATCGGTCTGGTCTAATGAGGGTTGTAGTTCTGTTCTAGTGTATTTGATGGCCTCAAAACTAGGGTGGTGTTTGGAATGGTTCAATATACTATTTCGGTTTTGTGGGCTCAATTTCGATTGCAGGTCACATAATGGAATGCAATCCCTGATCAAAACTTTAAATTGGTGAAGAGTTTTTTATAGGCAATACAAATATCACGGTGCTAGGCGCAAAACAATGGAGAGAAGAGAATGGAAAGGAGGAAGCATAAGAACAACAAGTCTACAAGAGTGTTATTTCTTATCAATAAAAGCGTCCCTTGTGTATGGGAAAGTATAAGATAGCTCATATAAACAGACTTCAAACGTTTGAAGTGAATACAAACATCCGATGGAACATGCTACAACATATCCCTAACGTGAGCAGCAAGTCTCTGTTCAGACTGATCATCGAACCCTCTATCCACGTTCTTAATCTGGGACACGAACTCCATCGCCTCTTTATACTTCCTCGCTTTACAGAACCCATCCACAGCGATCTTATATGTCAGCTGATTCGGCCTGCAATCATGCTCAATCATATACCTGACAACGTCTTTAATCTCCTCGAACATCCCTTTCCCAGCATACCCTGTGACAAACGTGTTGTAGGTGAAAATGCATGGCCGGATCCCTCTCGAGTTCATCTCGGAGAATAGTCGAATGGCTTCTTCCATGAGTCCCTTTCGACAGAACCCTTTGATCACCGTGTTGTAGGAGACGAGGTCTGGTTTCCCTAGCCCCTTGAGGATCTCCTCGGCCTTCCAGCAGTCTCCTGATCGAGCATACATGTCCATCAGGCTGTTGTAGGTCACGAGGTCTGGGTTTAGCCCAGCTGAGCGAATGTTCTTGAGCATCTCGTGGGCTCGGTCCGTCATGTTGTTCTTGGCGAACATCGAGAGCATGGAGTTGAAGAGAACCAGGTCTGTTTTGTAGCCGTGTTTCAGCAGGGATTCAAATGCACGTTCCATTCCAGGTAGCCATCTGCACCTGTGAAATGCGAGAACGAGAGTTCTCAGAAGCATCCAGCTCGGGAAGATTTCGCCTCCATAGATTTCTTTCTCGATCCTCTCTATGCCTGTAATGTTCCCTCCCTTTGCATAGGCATTGAGGATCAAGGAGTAAGATGTTTCGCTGGGCTTGAATCCTTTACTCTTCATGTCTTGGAGGACAGATTCTGCTCCCTTCCAATCCCCTTTACGAGCTAAAGCATTCATGAGCGCATTGTAAGTAGACAGGCTCGGAGCAAAACCCGCTTTGATCATCTGCTCGTGCATCTTTGAAGCGATTATATCCGAACCACACCTGCCATACGCACTGATCAGAGTGTTGAAGGTATCTCTGTCAGGCTCGAACCCAGAAGCTTTCATCTCCTGGAAAACCCGATTCACATAGCTTTGCATGCCTTCATCCCCACACATTGCAAGCATCGTGTTCCATGTGACGCGATTAGGAGCACACCGATTTGATTTCATATCATGAAGCAATGTCAGCATATCTTCAGACCTCGTTTTTTTCTTGCCCAGCATCCCAAGGAGAGCATTGTAGGTACAGACATTAGGGACACAACCTAACTCCTTCATCCTTGCAAACAACTCCAATGCCTTGTCTACGTTTCCTGTTTTCCCATAAGCATTGATGACCGTAGTGTATGTAACAGCATTCGGCATTATCCCTTTTACAATCATAGTATCAATTACACCAGCGCCTTCCTCAAAGAAGCCTGCTCTTACATAAGCAGCCACGAGCTCATTGTAAGTCACGGAGTCAGGTGGACAGTTGTTCTCCTCCATCTCTTTCAGTACACTCAGAGCTTCTAAGTAAATGCCTGCCTTTGCAAAGACCTGGAGAAGTGCATTGTAAGTAACAGTCCCTGGTATATATCCCTGAGATTTGAGGCCAGCGAAGAAATCCTTTGCTTCCACGAACAACCCTTCTCTCCCACAGGCGGATATCACTGTACTGCAAGTGAACTCATCAAATTTCATCCCTTTACTTCTCATCTCATCTAAGAGTGCTAAAATATGATGCCAAGAACGACCCATTTTGCCATAAACATCGAGCATCACATTGTAAGTCACCAATGTAGGCGGCAATCCTGTCTCCTTCATCCTTTGAAACATCTCAATTGCTTTGTCATACCTCGCAGCCCGAGAATACGCGTGGAGTATCGTGGTACACGCCCGGACATCCAGCTCGTAGTCCTTCAGCGGAATTTTATCGAACAGTTGGGACGCAATGGAATGCTGCGACTCTCTGCCCAAAATTCTCACCATAAGCTCCACACTCTGCCCATCTACCTTCTCATTCTCTCCTTCCCGATTCGAAACCGCCCATTCGAACAGCAGAAGCGCCCTCTCCCAGCTCCCGCAACGATCCAATCCTCTCAACAAGCTAATCAAATCGATCCGACCCAATTCAGCTTCGCGAGACCCAAAGAATTCGGTCAAATGTTCCAGAGGCTGGTTCAAAATCGAGTCAAGCACGGCCTTACCCTCTTTCGACAAGAAATCGAGCGACCCATTACCCGACGACGACGACCAGCTCCTCTCGTCGTCATCCGATTGGTAATGAAGCTGCTGCTGCTGCTTCTCGGCGGGGACGGGGAGGGCGCGGAAATGGGAGTTCTTGAGCTTGGCATTGGGGGAAGAGGAAGAGAGATGGAGGAGCTGCTGGAGGAGAGAGTCGAAGTGGAGGGTGAGGGGGAAGGAACGGTTGGAGGAAGACGGCGGCGGCGGCGGTGGGAGAGTGGGCGAGGTGAATTTCAGAGGTGGGTTCGGCGGCTGCGGCGATGGCCGAGTGATTGGGAGTGGGTAGATGGGTTTGTTGGGGAAGAGAGCTCCTTCCATCTCATGGAATTGAGATTGGTTTTGTTGGGGTTTTCTGGGTTATGGATTCTTCTGGCGGAAAGGGAGAAAAGATAGGAAATTGGAGGGAAGAGAAGGAAGGAGAAAGGGGTAAGGTAATCTGGCGGGGGAGGATGTAATTGGCCTCAATTTTAAGATGAGGAGTCCTATGGCACTTTACATCACCTTTTATGATCAATTTGATCAGTTTGTTTCTTTTTGAGATAATCGAACTAAATTATTTATATGACGTTATAAAATTCGGATAAAACAATTTGATACGGAGAATTTCAAATTTTATAATGTTTGGATGAAGCAATTTGATGTGGAGAATTTTATATTGACTCATTTTGAATTAGTTATAATGATCGTTGTGAACTCAAAAGAGACTAACATAAGAGTGACATAAAAGAATTACCAGCCAATGTGAGCGATCCAAATCTCTGTTATTGGTTGTTCTAAACAACATAGGCATTTCCATTTGTCGTGAGGTTAATGATATGATCTAGGTGGCTTTTGCACCCATCTTCTACCAATAAAAAGGAACTAACAGCCAATTAACTATTAAGTGTTTAATAAACTTTAGACATTAAAATGTAAAACAACCAAAAAAAATTGTACCCTTTCGGAAGAATTCCCAGAATACAGCCAAAATTAAGCATAATTCCCATAATACATAACTTTTATAAAATTTTCCCAAAATACCCAAGTTTCAAGGGGTTCGAGTTCCTTAAACTCGAACAACCACACAGTTCGATGATTAAAAACTCGATCTAAAACCACAACGCGTTCATAAACCTCGATCAAGGGTAGATCGAGTTTTGACAACTCGATCAACATAGAACGATTCTTGTAAACTCGATCATACTAGTTCGAGTCGGGTAAACTCGATCAAAGAGTTCGAGTTTGTCAAACTCGATTTAGCTAGATCGATGCCAACAAACTCGATTTAGCTAGAACGACGACCTAAAACTCGAACCCATTAGATCGATCCATATGTCCTCGAACCACTAGTCAACCGAAGTGTCAGGATAGGGTTGCAGGGATAAGATTCTTTGTTGGGGTAGATCGATTTTTAAGGACTCGAACTAGTGTGGTTCGAGTTTAGCATACTCGAACCACTGCTCAATCATTCTGTCCCGTCGCTTTCGGTCCGACATGCTCCAGAATAGGGTGCAGGGGGTAAAATTATTGGTTGCGGTAGATCGAGTTTCCTGGACTCGAACTAGGGTAGATCGAGCTTGTTGGACTCGAACCACTGCATCAGTTTACGATGATAAAAAGCCATCACTTAGCACATTCTGGCAGCTCTTTTACTTTCTATCTTCTTTCTTCCAAACACAAACTGAAGCAGCTGGAGCACCATAGCTGAGCAAAGAAGAAAATTTTTGGAGGTAAGTTCTGCTTACGTTGTTTGAATGAGCATATTAGAATTTTGGATTAATTTAGAATTGTTTGTACTGTATGTAATGAGCTGCTTCTATAAACTGCAGAAATGGGTAGAAATTTTCGAAAATTCGACTTATTGATTCGGTGGAATGGTCGAATTACACATTTTCATGATAGTATTGACTACGAAGATGGTGAATCAAGTACTGTCCCGATTAAGAGCATATTTACTTGGCAAGAACTCAATCATATTTGTGCGGAACGATGTTGCATAGGAGGGAGAAGAGTATGCAAGATGACTTACCGTATGCCGGTTTACAAGGATTATGCACTTGTATATGAAGGATCCGTTTTGTCTGACGATGATGATGTTAATATGATGGTGAGATTTATTGCAGAGAACAGATTTTCAACTGCTGAGGTGTATGTCGAGACAGAAGTTGTTGGCCAATATGGTGGGGGCGGTTATACCGAACAAGGTGAAGGATCGGGAGGTTTTTCCGGTTCAGGAGATTTCAGAGTGCGGCATGATGCACCATGGCCAACATACGAGGATCGAACTGCAACTGGTCCATTGGTGGAACATGACGGACAGGAGTGGCCAGTATGGGGTGAAGAATGGAATTACATAAGGGCACTCAGACAGTCACCCAGACAAGCATCTACACCAGCATCTGGCATCAACAATGATCCATATGTGGATAAACCAAGTCCTCCGTACACTAGCGAGGCAAGCGACGTGGAAGATGAAGAGTTAGAATCAATGAGTAGTTCAGATGAACATGGGACCACCCGCTTGCTTTGTTTTCGGATCCGTACACTTGCACAACTCCGAATATATCATGGCCAAACAAGCAGATCCCCAACTTTTTCTCCCAATCTCGTCCCAATCTCCCAAAAGAACTCGAAGCCACATACAATGCATATTTCCACCAGACTTGTTCGGAAACAAAAATCCTCCAACCAAACAAATAAGGTAGATGCGAGCATACCTCTCTATCTGAGCATCTGTGGCATCCTCCGGTAATTCGCCAACGGTCCTCACTAGCCAAGGTATCAATAACATAGACTTGTGTAGAGGTGGTACACGACGACCTTCTTCTGCTTCCTCGGGGATGTTGATACCTAAACGCTCGCTTATAAATTGGCCCCAACCATTCAATGGTTTCTGTGAACTTTCAATTATTGCATCACCATCGATTGGAAGCTCTGTCAGCATGGCTACGTCCTTCAACGTAATCGTCATCTCTCCCTCTAGAAGGTGGAATGTGTGCGTTTCTTTTCTCCATCTTTCCACCATTGCCGTAAGAAGGTTGTTGTCCATCTCCATCCCCACAAACTTTCGCACCCTCAGCAATCGCGCTCTTTCAATGAAGGGCTCGATACGATCATCCCATTTAGGCAAGCGAGATAGCGACCGATGGGTGATTACGTCAAGTTGTTCCTATATAAAAAAAATATTAATTATTATACAAAAAAAATTAGAAGAATACTATCACATTTAAAAAAAAGAAAAGTAAATGAGGAAGTGCTTACCGGATCTGCCGCCCAAACACTTTCAGACCGATGGTAAGGTTGCTCATCCAACAAATCGGTTTCTCGCGGTCCGCCTTGAATGTATAATCTAGGATCGTAAATACTCGGATCCATCTCGACAATTTTGAGTGATAGAAGTACCAAACTAAAGAAAAAAAATCTGATGCGGAAGATCGGGCTTAGCCGCAACCACAGAGCATATTTTTTTCTTCAAGAGTGGTGGGAGGAATTGAGGAAGAAGAATGGAGTGGTGTGGGATTTGTTGGAATGGAAGGGGTATTTATAGCTGCAGTGGGAGAGTGGATCGAGTTTACAAAACTCGAACAAGGGCATCGATTGACAGGCACTCGATCCGCGTCAAATTAAATCGACCACTGGTGATTCGATCGACTGCATCGAGTTTATCGCACTCGATCCGCGTCAACCCCGCTTCGCGTGCTTTGGAATCGAACGGCGTGGATCGGGTTCTCTGTCCTCGATCAATGGTAGTGCGCGCCTTACGTCATCGATCCGCGTCAGGTGGATCGATTGACCCAAACTCGATCTACCTTCATCGAGTTTATTTCGCTCGATCCGTGTCTTCACCACTTCGATTGTTGAGCAATCGAACGGCCTAGATCGTTTCTTCCGTCATCGATCTATGGTAGAGCGCTGGCCATCTCATCGATCCAGTTCGTGTAGATCGATTGGTACATACTCGATGCACGTGGATCGATTTGCTTTCAATCGAACCCCTGCTAGTTCGAGTTTGTTAAACTCGATCCATGTCAAACTTTGGTAGTTTGGGAATTTTTTATAAAACTTATGTATTGTGGGAATTAGTTTTAATTTTTACTGTATTTAGGGAATTAATCCTACCCTTTCCTTGTTTAAACATTACAAGAAGAATGTGAGAAAATAACAGTAGCCATGTCTACGGTCTAACAGAGTAACAGTCAGTAGAAGGCAGAGAGGTCTCTCATCTCTGAGATATTTTTGCATGAAGTGGAGGTTCTTGTTTGTTTCTATTCTTGGTGAAAATAAAATAAGTCAAATTTGCTAAAAAAAACAAAGTAGAACTGGCTCCAGTCAGAGTCAGAGAGCCACCGGGCCCCAGAATTAATAACGAGGCTTGTCCCGCCGGCCAGAAAGTAAAAATCCTCACGTTCTCCCCTTCCGCTCTCTGCTTGCCAAACCTCACTAGTTTCCAAACCCAAAGACGAAACTTGCCCCACTGTCCTTTTTTCTCTTATTTTGGGTTTCAACATTAGTTACTCACACTGTTTCTCTTCCCAGCTCATTGCGGTTTACATTGTTTCCCCCATACGTTCTTCTTCTTCGTCTCCTTCCTCACTTGACTGATTGAATCGAAGAGGCAGAGTTGAAGTAACAGTCTCCAATGGAGTCTCTCCTCCTCCGTCCATCTTTCTTTCAACCCTCATCATTTCAGCCATCTGGTAGTACCCTTCTCTTCTTCTTTGCTTCCATAGAAGGACCTTCCTTCAATATTTCCCTCTTTGATTTGTTCTATTTGTGCTTCTTTTTATCTTCCTGTTTCACGGGCTGTGTGTTAATTGGAGAAAAGTTTCGCATTTTTGCGGTTGTTAATCTGTTTACAGTGTTTTGCCTGATGTGACTGACCATGCAAAGGGAATTTTACTGTAGGTGGAAGGAGTTGGAGGAACGACACTCTCAACAAAGCAGGCTCTTCCAGAAGTACGATCTCTCTACTTTAGCTGCATTTGCTTCATCGAGCTTGAATTGTGAAAAATTTTCAATCTCGAATTATTCAGGTCATGGTGTGAAATGGGTACTTATTAGATTCTCGCCGGAAGGTGGAAAGGATTCTTGTGCATGTTTTGGGTGAATCGAAATGGTTTCGAATTGGGTTCTTGATTGCTATTAACTTCAAGAGTTCTAGGGCTGTTACTTTAAGCCAGTTCCATGTAGAAACTGATGCTTCTCTAGTTCTGCCTCGGATACTTAAAAGCTGAACTTATCATACCTTGTTACATAGTTCATATGCTGTCCTGATCACTCAAATGCTCTTTCAAAGGAGCACTTTTGGAAGGTTCCACCTCCACAGCACGGGCCAAAGTAGAAGGTTGTAGTTTGTTGAGGTTTCAGCGAGGACGCAGCAGGCATCGAGTGAAAGCTATCAAGGAAAGATCTTTCAGTCAACCGAGAAGTCATACCAAGTCATTATATGTCAATGCCACCTCTGGTTCACAGCCACTGGAATCCGAGCCTGGAGCTTATGGTGGCTCCAAGGGTGTTTTAGATTCAGTTAAGAATGCAGTTGATGCTTTCTACAGATTCTCACGGCCTCACACAGTTGTTGGGACGGTTAAGTTTCTTCACCTTTCAGTATATTGATGCCTCTATGTACACCGCGGTTGAGTTTTGTGTTTATCATGGCTGACCCCTAGGCTTTTTCCTCAACAGGCTTTGAGCATTGTCTCGGTTTCCTTACTCTCGGTTGAGAAGCTTGCTGATATATCTCCACTATTTTTCACTGGGATGCTGGAGGTGATATATACTTTAATTTCTCAGTGAATTTAACTAAAAGAAACCAATTTAGCAAGTAATCTTACCATTGTTGTTTGTTGCCATTTCAGGCAGTAGCTGCTGCTCTCATGATGAACATTTATATCGTCGGCCTAAATCAGCTGACTGACATCGAGATAGACAAGGTGACAGTTGCAGAACTAAATGTAAAGATAGTGAAGTATAAGTTGTTGGGAGTTTCTGACTGTTTATCTATATAATACTCTCTCATTACAGGTCAACAAACCATACCTTCCATTGGCATCGGGGGAGTTTTCTGTGGGCACTGGTGTCTTGATCGTTACATCTTTCTCCATCATGGTATTAGTCACAACACCTCTTTCATTGTTAGAGATTCTCATAATGTAATCTGTATCTTTGTTGTATGTGTTAAGAAATTTTGCTTTGCTAGAGTTTTTGGCTTGGATGGGTTATTAAGTCATGGCCATTGTTCTGGGCTCTTTCCATCAGTTTTGTCCTTGGCACAGCCTATTCAATCAATGTAAGTAGCATTGCTCTATCGTTTTTCCTCTACACCAAGCTGATATATTGATTTCACAAGCAAAGCGCAGCTTCATTTGCTCATCAGGCTGAAAATTGTTTTTCTTTCAGCTGCCATTACTGAGATGGAAGAGGTTTGCATTTGTTGCAGCATTGTGCATACTGGCTGTTCGTGCGGTGATTGTTCAAATTTGCTTTTATCTGCATATGCAGGTGGAGTTAGTTGCCTTATATCTCTATTACAATTCCTACTGACAGTACTTGGAAAATCATGATATACCCTGACTTGCTGTAACCATTTCAGATGCACGTGTTCGGAAGAAGTGCCATCTTTTCAAGACCATTAATTTTCGCGACTGCATTCATGAGCTTCTTCTCCGTCGTTATAGCATTGTTCAAGGTATAAACCATATGTTTTTCTTTTCGTTCTGTTCACACTGTGATCAAGTGTAAATGTTTAAAACTCCTGGCTTGATTCTATGCAGGATATACCCGATATGGAGGGAGATAAGATATTCGGCATTAGATCTTTCACAGTGCAATTGGGCCAAAAACGGGTTGGTGTATTAAATCATGCATGGAAAACCGTTAATTCACAATTATCCTCTCTTTGTGGATAATGAATGTGCCTTAATCAGGTGTTCTGGACATGCATTGCCCTACTCGAAATTGCTTATGGCATCGCGATGTTCATTGGAGCAGCATCGCCCTACATGTGGAGCAAAGGCATTACGGTAAATTTGTTAATCTGTCATTTTAGATTGTGTTAAGATATAGGATGGCTTGATCTCTCCTACTGTTGATCCATAGTAACAAACAATTTTACCTGCATTGGTGTTAGGTGATCGGCCATGCCATGTTAGCCTTATTACTGTGGAACCGGGCAAAATCTGTCGATCTGACCAGCAAAACAGCAATAGCTTCCTGCTACATGTTTGTGTGGAAGGTCAGACCAACAACCTCACCACCTTTCTTCTCAGTTAGTAGTGCCTGCCTTCATTCTGATGCTGAACTGTTTCACTTTTGATTTCAATTCCTGTTTGCAGCTGTTTTATGCTGAATATTTGCTCATACCCCTCGTAAGATAGTAGTTAAGATGGCGAATGATCGGAACGAGAAGCTGGCATCAAGTGATTTGGCTGCTTTGAAGCTTCTTCTGGTGTAGGGCAATTGAGTAGAAGCACTTTTATAACTATCTGGAACGAAGATCGCCATTCCCACGACGATGCTTGGGCGACAATAGGATTTAGAATGGTTACTGGGTAACTTGGGCATGTAGATCCCCCATTCTTGACCTCTGGTTCAAACTTTAAACATACTGGTTGGTTTGACAGTAAGTTAGTTAAGTGCTATTGATTCTCATTCTGCATGACTTAATTCTATCAAGGGTAAAGTCTCTTACTTTTGATATGGGACTTCCTGGTTACCAAATTCCTCTGCTGCCCGGCCGCCGCCGTCAGAACGGCCTCGACTGCCGCCACCCATAACCGCCATGACAGAGGGGAAATTCTAGAAGTGCCAGGAAGTCGAAGTTTTTCCGATCAAATAAGGGAAAGAGATCCGGTGGATCATTGAAGATTCAAATCAACAATTTAATGTTGGTCGGGGAAGGAAGGAGAAGGATTTCTCTTCTGATTCCTGACTCCTTGTTTGTAATAAAGGGAAGGAGCAGATAACCGGGGAATTTATGGCTGCAGAAGGAAGGGACGGCCTGGGAACTCCGGCGACGGTCTGAGAGATGGAAGAAAATCCCTTAACCGCCGATCAACATCACGTACAGCAGACGCCGCTCGCACCAGGAGGAAGAGGAGGATGCCAGAGGGATTCCGGCGCCAGAACGAGCCTCAGATCGGCGGAAACAAGCGCGAAAACTGGGAAATACGGGAGGCCGAAACGGCGAAACGCGAAACGTTTCGAGTTCTCAAAACCAAAATCGAAACGCGATAAATTGACGAGAACTTGAAATTGCCGATATATCGCGATATTTCGATATATCGCGATATTTAGTCGATATGTCGCGATATTTAGTCGATATATTGACTTTTATGCGATATATTGACTCTGTGCTGACCGGTGAACGGAGACCGACAAAGGCAGGGGGAAATGACCGGGAAAACAGGAAAATTAAGCAGAGCTCACTCCTGCTGACTGAACGAAGGCAAATGAAGAATTTCCAAGGGGAGATACGAGTAGATTCGAGTAGTTTAGTTGGGAAAGAAAGGAGAGGAACATTTGCGGCAATGTATGAACAAGGAACAATCAGAAGACTCTGTTTTCTCTTCCCAGCCATACCGGACGACGGCCGGTGACGGAGTGGGGAATCAGTTCGAACTTCGAACCCGGTGGGTTAGCTAGGTACCCACTATTCATCATCAGGTCGTGAACATACTGTCGGTTGGTCGGTCGGCGAAGGAGGAGGAGGGACAATTTCCCCTTCTCTCTCTGTTCTTCGTCACTCTGTTTTTACAGCTATGGTGATCATCCGGCCGGCAGGAATCAATCAGTCTTTTTTCTTGTTCCAATCTTGAGACCAGGTAGTGTATAATGTATATACCCCTTTGTTTTATAATTGTAAAGGCGGCAATGGTGATCATATATAGGACGATTTCTCCCTTGGATCCTTCGGTAAAATTGGAGTTTTACAACTACTGAACATCATAAATTGAAGTCGAAAATCTCTCATCCAAGAAAGATATTTGGATCCTTTAAATCATGACAAAATTACAAGGTATAGAGTTTGAGAAGGGAGCAATGTTGTTTCTGACATTACAAGGTTGACTAAACACTCGTACAAGAGTTAATGGAATTAGTCCAAGGGCACGGGAAGCAAATAAGCAATGAAAGTGCCTTCATAAGAATTTTTTTAATTGGGATGATCTCTTAATTGTACCAAATTCTTTGAATGAAATAATTGTTATGCAAGAATATTTGAATAATTAAGAATTAACATCTCGACAGATTTATCATGTAAGTAAATCATTCATAAATAATTTGAAGAGATGACATTACATATCTATCTATAAAAATTAAGAAGTGAAGTAAGTTATAATTACAACTCGATAATCTCAACCTATAATGGCTAACGTGTGAGGAAGAGTTCCGATATAGATAGTTGGTGTGAGTTGATGGTTCCAAACCTTCAACAACTTTTTGAAAAGCAATGGTCAAATTATGGGTATAAACTATAAAACCATGTCACTCCCAAACTTGGTTAAAATCATCATGGACCTTAGTACTATAAGGCATAGCCCCATAGGAAGCTGCCTCTACAATCATTGGACCATACAAGCCATAGATTGTCATTTCTCATTACATAAATTAAACAAAGACAGAAAGAAGTGTTTTGTCCTCTTAAAATGCTCCCAAATCAAGTTAGTTGCTTAGGTTTTCCCATCCAGCTGTTGCACTTAGACACTTTCTAATCCAAAATTGCCCAATCTCTTTGGCCTATCCCTTCCCCGGCAATCCCAATATCCGACGGGCTCTTTATAAGGCTTACCACAAACAAACTCCAAACCACCTTGATAAAAAATCCGACTTCACCATCTCTCTCTAAAGTCTAAACCCACAGAAGAAAGAAACATCTCTTTCTTTCTTTCTTTCTTTAATGGCGACAAGGTTTTCCGTGTCGACTTTCTCTCCGTCCCTAATGCTCCTGGCGACGATTCTTTCCGTCGCTATAGGCAGCTCCTTCGCCGGTAACTTCAACAACGACGTCGTCGTGGCGTTTGGAGATGCCCGTGCTAAAATCCAGGACAACGGCAACCTCATGAGCCTGGCGCTGGACAATAGTTCTGGCTCCGGTTTCGAGTCCAAGAACGAATTCATCTACGCCAAAGTGGAGATGAACATTAAGCTCGTCCCTGGCAATTCTGCCGGCACCGTCACCTCCTTTTACGTACGTCAACATATGTACCATGAATGGACACATTACTAATATTCAATCTACGGAGTATAGTTCTCGTTTTTCATGTTATTAACGATCTTTTTCTTTATTGTGAATTCCATTTTGGTGAGCAGTTAAAATCAGAAGGGAATTCATGGGACGAGGTCGACATGGAGTTTCTAGGCAACACGAGCGGTGACCCCTATGTCCTGCACACGAACATCTTCACGAAAGGGATGGGAAACCGCGAGCAACAGTTCTACTTGTGGTTCGACCCGACCACCGATTTCCACACCTACTCCATCACATGGAACCCGGCCCATATTGTCCTGGTAGTGGACAAGAAGCCCATCAGGGAGTACCGAAACGTGGACCCCAACAACAACGTCCCTTACCCACGGGACCAGCCCATGAAGCTCTACGGATCCCTCTGGAACGCAGACGACTGGGCCACTCGCGGTGGATCCGTCAAGACCGACTGGTCCAAGGCTCCCTTCACGGCCTCTTTTAATAACTACACCGCCGACGGCTGCGTTTACGCTAATGGAGCCTCCAGCTGCCCGGACAAAACTGCACCGTGGTACTCGTCGGAGCTGATCGACGGCGACGACTTGAAGCAGATGCAATGGGTTCAGAAGAACTACATGATTTACAATTACTGCGATGACTCTAACAGGTTTCACGGCAGCTTGCCGGCGGAATGTGGCCGGAAAAATTAGGACCACTTGACGGTAGGGTTGTTCTTTTTATTTTATTTTTCAACGTTGGAGACCATGTTTGAGTTGGGATTTGGGTCGTTGCTTTCTAGGTAGTTTTGGTGCGAGAGATGGAGATGAAAGATGTGTGTAACAGAATAATTGTCAGTGTTCCGTAGCATGGAACACCACACGTAACTCTTCTCATTGACATTATCAAAGAGTGATCACAGGGTGAAATAGATGACTTTTAGTTCAGAAAATATCGTATTAACAAAGTCCTAGATAGCAACTCGCTCCTAATTTCCGTCATCCATGTTTGATTGAGAATATGCAACAAAAATTGATCAGCTCCTTTCAATAAACTCAACCCCACAGCCACAATCAGTTGGCATTGTTGGGGATCTACTAAAGAAGCAAGGTGTTGTTGTGAAGTTGCTTGTGATGATGATACAATAGACTGAGGATGAAATCAATCACAGTCCAAACCAAGTCGATTGCTCTCAAGAAGGATCACAGCTGTAAGTGGAGAACTGGAGTAGACCAAGCTGCTCTCTAATCGCGAAATGGCATCAGATCAATCTCCATACGTCTCTTCCCTTTACTTGCCCTCTTCAAGTAGACAAGAAACAATAGAACAGTCTGATATTAATATAAACCTCATGGTAAAGGATGATGGGAGGCAAAATGGCAATCAACAAGTGCAGAGGAGAAACCAGGGGAACTCACAGCTATCGCCACCAGCTCTTCCAGCAGTTCCTCCAAGTGTCGTAGCGGCTACAATCATCAACAAGTCAGATTATGTTAGGAAACCAACTACCAGAAAGTTAATTCCGCATTTTTCACAAAGAAAAAAGATCCGGTAGTGTGCATACCCACTGCGTTGGACCATCCACTGGTGCATTCCTTGGATCATCATGCACCTAGTAGACGATAAGAAAGCTCTCAGAAGCTTATAGTACAGAACTCTGAATGAAATTTGTCAAGCCTCTACCTTAAAGGGGTAGATTTGCAAAGTATAGTCCAACATGAGAGTCTAGGTTAGTTAAATTTTAAGGGTACCTCCATGAAAATTCCATCTACCCCAACAGCTACTACTGTCCTTGCTATGCATGGTATTAGTTCACGGAGGCCTCCACTGGCAACTCCTCCACCATCCAACTACATCAACCAAAACTGTATCAACTGTGGCGACCAAACAACATAACACCACAAAGTACAAATGAAAACTCTTTCCATTTCATTGTTAGGGGGAGGAAGGAAAAGAGATAAACACAGCATGTACCTCCAAATCATTCTGTGCAAGAGAAGTGAATAGAGAAGGAGAAAGAGCAAAAAACAGGAAGGTGCAACACAGAGGCTAGAAGACTGTAATGTGCACCTTTTTACCAGCAGGCTGTTGTAGTGAATGTGTGATATCAGCAACCTGTGTTAAGACCCATCAACTGTGATCAATTATCCCAACTTACAGCACATATTTTAATTGGGAAAAGAAGTCCACACTTGATTGACTCACAACAGGGCAGTTAGCTTCTCTCATCCACTCAAGATTGCGTGGATCAACAATCAAGTCATCTGCATTAAGAAATAATCATTTCAAATAAGAGATCTCATTTTGCTGGAAAATCAAGTTCATGGAGTCATAAGGTTCTATAGCATCACTATGACTCGAGTTTAAGTTAACATATTGCTTTGAAGTCCCAGAAAGTGGATTTCTCCCAGTATATCTAATCGAATCAATATCATAGTTCTACATGTTAATCATAATATAATGCAACGTCCAGAGTCCACTAAGAATGAGATGAATAAAAGAAGATAATTGAAACAAACTTACTATATCCAAACATGGTTCCTCTTTCGCAAACCATCACATTTGGGTTCCCTGCCAGTCTAACCTTCTCGGCCGAGTTCTCCATGACCTACACATTTTCTGCAAATATGAATAGGCAACACACACACACGGCTAGTCTTAGCTGTAATTAGAGGATTTGCAGAGAACAGAAAACACTGACACTAGGAGCACAGAACTGGCCTTTCTTGATGTTTATTATCTTCCCTGTCTTGGCAGCTGCAACAAGAAGGTCTGTCTGTTGTTTTGAAACCAAACAACAACAGCAAAATTGCGTTGAAAATTAGAAACTTAACAACGAATCCATAGATTCTTTATGATGGAAGCACTAAGGTAAGCTAACCTGACGACATAGAAATGCAGGAATCTGTATGATATCCGCGACTTTACCAACTTCCTCGCACTGGATAGACAATAAAAGCAATCAATTAAATTTTTCTTGGACCATATTAAATCAGAATCCATGAAAGAGGTCTTCACATATAGAATGAATCCCCTACCTGACTGCTTTCATGCACGTCGGTGACGATTGGAATGTCGTATGCTACTTTGACCTTGTCAAGGATCTGCCATCATGGTAAACAGGCTTGCTCAAGAAAACCCATTTTGAGAAGATAGTGCCGCAGATAATGTGCGGGAAATGGAGAGAGAGGGAATACCCACACCTTCAATCCTTCCGTCAAGCCCGGGCCTCGAAATGACTTGGAGGATGTTCTGTTAGCCTTGTCGAAGCTCGACTTGAAGACCAAAGGCAAACCCACTCTACAAGGAGAACGGACCAAAACAGTGCAAAATGTGGCAGATATGGCGAGTCAATTCTCTGAAAACAAAACTAGATCAGATTCAAAGCATCACTCTGACTTCCTCTCTGCAATTGCCTACCTGGTGGAGATGGCCTTGATGTGTTTGGCCATGGTGAAAATGTGCTCTTCGGATTCAATGACATTCGGGCCGGCAAGCAAGAAAAACGGATCGGCCGACTGTACGATGAATATGCTTAATTCGAGTGAAGAAGAAACGTAGAAAGAGAGAGGATGAGAGAAAAGGAAATGAAAACCTTGAGGTGGTTGTAGAGTGCCGCTGATGAATCCATGATCAATGAATGAAGGAGATGGAGGAAGTGAATCGGGGTCCGGAGGGCAAAGATTCGAGATGCTAGCAGTAGCTGCATATAGAGTGTGACAGAGTCAGTGAGCAAAGATGCGACGGAGAAGAGGAAAGAAGAGATCGACCGGAAATTCTTTTCACCTGCGTTTATGCTGTAATAGATACACCGTCGTGAAGCACCAGAGCCGCCGCAGCGTTCTTATAAGAAGAATCAAGTTAATTTCTCGGCACCGACTATGCGAACTTCTGCCACCGGGATAGATTTTAAGCCGGAGGTAACTGGAACAAGGCGGAGGAGACGGTCGAAACGGAGCTTCTCTGGGCTTTCTCTACACAGGCCGTCTATATGCCTTACCGTCTAAACCCGAGCGGGCTTTAGGCCCAATAAGGCCAGGGAAAAGCAATCTCTCATTAATAATGGGCAGTAAATGTGATCGGTGTTTAGGTATGAGGCTAACTCCACCTTCTACCATCGGTAAGCAACAAAACGCAGGCAATAAATACACGTACGTACCTCTCTTCCTTCACTCCTCTCTTTTGAACTCCATCTTGTTAGACAGACAAATGGTGGTGAGTGGTGACCGGAGGTGGGTGGTCCATTGCATCATCCATCACTATACAACGCTCTATCTTCATCACAAAGTCCTCGGGGCCGGGGGGAAAAAGCCTATGCTTACACGTGAAAGTTTTCGCTTCCAAATTCGCAAGGTAATATACACATTCATACCCAAATTATTCGGATCAATGAATTGATTCATGATTTAATATTACTGTGGTATTATTATGATGGAGCTTTTAATTATAAGATATATCACCTTCTTAATTATCACTGTGACTTGTAATTTCATAGTCTAATATTTTTCCTTTTTATATCATTGTCACACCTTCTTTATCTACGAGAGCGGGTTAGTAGGCTAGGGGTTGCTTGTTGTAAGGAAGTGGATAAGATCCATCATGGAAATCTAATCTTCAAACAAGTCGAGTTATCGAGATCAACTAGCTTATGATATGATATTATCATAATTGATTTATATTTGAGCTCAAATAATTAAGCACATGGTATGATGTACATGTGAAAACTTCAAGCCAGTGGATATGACATTAAAGGGAGAAGTTAATATATACTTAAACACAATCACAGTTCCAACAGTATCGATCTCTTTTGGTATCTCCATCGTGGATCTCTTGCCTACCACACTTCCTTGTTTGTTTCCCCGCCTTCATCAACTTGCGTACGTAGCTTTCACCCTCTTCAGCCGCCATTGATTTGATCCCCCACCACACCTTCAAATTAAGAACCTTATAGAGAAGGGGTTCCAGCCATTGTGGAACTAGCTAGCTAACTAGCTAGTGTGGGAGAGAGATCGAGTGACTAAAGATCATCATCATGAAAATGGTAACGGTGGCCGGCCGAGTGGGGTCTGAGGGTTGGAACCGTGGTGGCTCTGGTTCTGGCGGCATGTCTGGTCGGACTGGATTCGCAAACGAAATACATCTTGTTTCTCGACAAAACGGTCACTTACAAGAACTTGAACTCTCTCATGTACGTACGTCATCATCCTGCTCAATTTAGGATAACTGAAATAGCTAGTGAAATATATATTGTATTGTATTCTTACTGGTCGTCGGAATGAATGAATTAAGCTGTATTCTTTTTGGTGTTGCAGAGCTTTGGTGTACGTGGATATAGCGGCTGCTGCTTATAACTTGACTCGACTTGTGTTAACTCTATTAATGGGGGAATATCGGCGGTCAAGGTCGCCGTCGTCGGAGACTTCGTTGAATGCTCCCATCGTGTCCTGGGGTTGCTACTTCTTCGACCAGGTAATTAATTCCCTCCCCGGCCCCCCTCCTTGCAATTCGAAGGTTCGTAATTCATGTTTCCGCCGCCGCCGCCGCCCGGAGGTGGTTCTGCGTCGGCTGGATGAAAAGAGATAAAAAGTTATGGGTTCCCCTTGTTAGGATGGATTGATTGTGAATGCTGTATTTATAGAGTGAAATATAATGAATGATTTCAGTGATAATTAATTTTACTGAATGGTAGACATGTGGTATTTGATAATAATAAATGGTGGGTAAAATAAAAACATGTTCTTCTTAAATAATAGGGGATCAAAGTTATGTTTAGTTCAAATAATTGGTTCCAATAAAGTGTTGTGAAACGTGTTAACTTTATTCAAATAACTTAAATAAAAAGATTATCCAAACGATCCTATACTTTGATCTCTTAATTGCTCTATTGTCCGGTTCTTCTGTCTCAAAACGTAAGGTCATTCGACATAATTTGTCATCTTTTATTTGATACCTTTCAATTTTGGATTGTTATTTTTTCGTATTATATTCTCGATTTGTGCCCTATCATCAATCCTTGAGCAAGGGCAATGCTAATATTTCGTATTATTATTGCCTGTGTTTTTTTGGGGGGGAATTGATCGAAGGTGGGGGTGTACGTGACGTTTGTGGCGACATTAGCAGCTGTGCAACAATGTATGTTCACTAGTGATGACGGGGCAGAAAGAGCTGCAATGGCTGAAGTGGTGCAACAAGTTGACCAGATTCTGCGTTCAGATCGGCGGCGGGCGGCCTCTTCTGCAGCTTCATAGCTTGCATTCTCATGGCACTAATTTCCTTCATATCGGGGTTCCACTTGTTCAGACTCTACTCTCCAACCCGCCTCAAGGAGATCACGACCCCTCCGCCGACGCCCGCAACGGCCACGGAGGCGGCTTTGTGATGAATACATACATGTGTGTATATATACATATTTTTTCCTGATCGATCGATGTGTGGAGAATTTTTCTTAATAATTAATTTGAGGTATGTGAATTTCGTTGCGTAGTCAGGCCCGCCCACTTGCCGCCAAAGTTTGCTACGGGAGATGGGTACATACATAAAACCAGCCCGACCCGACCAAAAAACAAAGAAAACCAAGTGTGAACTGAATTGGATCTCTCAAGAAAACTGCTCCTCCTCTTCGTTACATCTGCCTGTTGACTGTTTCCTCTCTTTCTTTGAGAGGCTGTTTTTACCTTGTATTTTCCTACAACTTTAATCATTGCAAAACTATACAATACAAATGTCTAAGCTCAATATGGAAGACCTGAATCGGCCATAAAATAAGAAAGAAAGAAGAAAAAAAAAGGGAAAGAAAAGTAAGAATAATTATAAATCTATGGGCATATGATGTAGTCGTCGGTATGAACAGCAGCAGCACTAGTGGTTTGGCGGTGAAGCTGGTAAGGTCCGAGCTTGTGGTGGCACAGCGACGGACCAGAAGGAGGCACCAACCCCCGCGGCAGCCGACTCTCCAACAGCAACAACATGTGGCTCGCACGGCTCTCGATCCTCAACCCTCTCGAACCTTCCACCGAAGAATGATGGGGCGCCATAGATGCTAGCTGAACCAAGACGACGAGAAAGAAGATCGCAACGACTCTCAAGCACTTGAAAAACGACGTCGTAGTTTCCGACATGGCCGCCTCAATGAAAGAGTACCACCAAAGGAGTTGAGAGGGATTCGATCGTTGAATCTCCCTGACACGGAATAGTGAGTGCCTAAAAGCACCCAAGATGTCAATGATGTCGAGGAGATGATCAACACCCGTGTTAAGAGAGTTGATCTCTCATGCACTTTTGATCCCAATAACGAATATGCACCTCAATATGGACGCTGAGAAGATTGATCTCGCTCTGATTTTGGTCGAGAGCTTGTTATGTTGTTGGAACTTGGTGAGGAGGAGATCGATGCAGACAAATTAATATTGGGAGGGAGGGAGGGATATATATTATGGGAGAAGAGTTTGACCAAAGTAAGAGATTGCGGTTGAGTTGGATTGCCGGCTGTGTTGGACTATAATTCATCCAAATTGTAATTGTGGGAATTTTTAAAGATCTATTTGGCAAAATGAGGACAAAAAAAAAAAAAAAAAAGAGAGAGGATTTTTTCCAGGAAATTAAAAAGGGGTATATTGGATTGGAATTGACAAGTGTGAGGCATGTAGGAAGGAGGGTATTAGCCATTAGGTAGGTGGGATATTGTGGGAGGAAATTAGTCATGGGTTGGAAAACCTTAGCTAGCATACCATCTTGGAACATAATTTTCTTCTATATTATATTTATGGAAGCCACCCTTTTTGGTCCCCTCTCATTTTATAATTTTGTCTACATAGCTCTTGCATCTCAAATCAGCAAATTTGATCCATGCAATATGCATGTTAACTTTAGAATTTGATCCATACTCTTCATGTTTCATTATTTCATTTTAAATCATATGAGAGAGTTAGTCAAGTATGTGATCGTAATTAAGATCATAATGCGAACATGTTGTACCTCTATCGATTATTCATATTATATTCTATCGTGACGTGTATTGACATAGTTTAGTGATTTTTAAAATTTTGTGGTTTATATACCCCTTGACTTTCTTTTGATATTGAGAAGGTACTGCATGTGTATAACATAATTTGACTTTTCGATGCCCAATGTGTGAACGTAAGAGAATAACATAATGTTCGTTTATCTAACAAAAACCTATCAACTCTGGCTATTTTTTTTATTTAAACATGCAGGTACCTGATAACCACGACATGCATAAATAAAATGAGATAACAGGACACTGAAGTGAAAACCAGTCCTCATCATTCGAGCTCAAAGAAGTTTGCAAACAGTTAATAAGGGCTTAATTGCAAGTTTGGTCACTCGAATTGCTATAAAATTTCACGTTTGCCACTCAAATTAATTTATTCCATTTATAGTCACTCGAATTAGTTGAACAATTCAAGTTCGGTCACTCTCCGTTAACCTCCGTTAACTTTGACTGACGTGGCGGTCAACTCTGACAGTTGACCGTTAAATGTGTGACGTGGCAAATAAAAAATAATTAAAAAATAAAAATTAAATTTGTAGAAATTACACATCATTATCACAAAAAATTATAATTATAAAAAATGAAAAAAAAGGAAATTTTAACAAAAAATTCTCGTACTTTATGAGAACCTGAGTTAGAATCAAAACCACATTTTATCTTCTTTTCATTCTGCATGGTAATATATGGAATTGAAACCCAAAAAGCCTCGAAATTTGAGAACCGAATCGATTTAATCCGATATGATGCAGACTGAATCGTTGCGCAGACCAATAACCCTTTCATTGATTCTTGGTGTACTTCACTTGTGTCCAGATGCCAGAAACCCAGAAAGAATCAAACTTTTTGCAGAACAGATGCAATTTTATTATCAACGTGATGAAAGCAAGTAAAGTACAGAGAAAACAACAGCAAGAAGCTAAAACGACAACACGAAACTGGGAATTGACATGCTGCTAAACAGAACCACACTTCTCTTAATCACCTCATGGCTATATGGTTCTTTCTCAAAGCTTCTCCACTGAACAAAGACGCGAACTCTAAGCGTCCTTCACTACAACAGCTTCCGCTGGAGCAGCCGCAGCCGCAACAGTAGTTTCCTCCTTAGCAGCAGGTTCCTCAACCTCGAACACAGCAGTAGGGAAAGACCTGTACAGCCCAGTTGGGGACTTGAACGTAACTTTCCCAGTAGGCGGCTCATCGGTATAGATATTGCAGAGGGAAACCCAAAGCACAAGCTCTTTCGTCTTAACACCTGTCAGCTTCTTGATCTTCCTCTTTTCAACCACTGCAGTCACCTCTGGCGCATATGTCACAAGCTTCCCAATTTTGTCGAACTTGTGAGTGATGCTCTTCTTCTGCTTCAGCCAGACGAACCCTGTCTCGTTGTTGATCCCACATTCCACGATGTCGTGAAGTGGCAGCAGCCCATTGGGGAGCTGGATCTCCTTGAGGAGCTCCTTGGATTTGGCCTGACAGATCTCGTCGCCATTGTAGACCTTCGTGGCTTTAGCCCTGATCTCTTCTGTGACTAGAGACATCTTCTTTTGTTTCTCGTGAAGAATTAGATCGGGACGAGGACGAGGACGATCGACGGGGTGTGGTAGCTGAGCACGCTCTTCCCCGTCGCCAGCTCCAGCAGCAGCAGCACCGCCAGCCCGAGAAACGCGATCCGCCCGTTCAGCCTCTCGCTGTAAGGAGTGAATCCGAATTCCACTTTCAAGCATGCTGAGACCGGCTCCTTCAGCGGGACCGGAGGAAGGTAGAGGGCCGCGCCGGAGGACCAACAGGTTGGTGCTGGTGGCGTTTCAGCAGGTGGTTAAAGAGAGCTTTGCTCTGTACATGGAGATAGTCGAGGTCCTGACCGTCCTGCTCGATCGATTCGCGGAGATGGAGTACGCCCACACGGTGAAGGCGTTCGATGTCTATGTGAGCGCGGGGAAGATGATTGACGAGCTTTTCCTTTTTTTCATTTTTTATAATTATAATTTTTTGTGATAATGATGTGTAATTTCTACAAATTTAATTTTTATTTTTTAATTATTTTTTATTTGCCACGTCACACATTTAACGGTCAACTGTCAGAGTTGACCGCCACGTCAGTCAAAGTTAACGGAGGTTAACGAAGAGTGACCGAACTTGAACTGTTCAACTAATTCGAGTGACTATAAATGGAATAAATTAATTTGAGTGGCAAACGTGAAATTTTATAGCAATTCGAGTGACCAAACTTGCAATTAAGCCAGTTAATAAGTGTCAAACCTCCACAAGTCCATACAACTCTATTGTTGCGTCTACCAACTCGAGTTATTGATTAGAATGAACAGAATATTTACCATCGATATAATTATATAAATACCGCAACACATTACGCAGAACCAAATATATTATTGACTTTTCGTGGGGAACAATGCAATTAAAGGGAAATATTAATGCAGCCAAGTAAAATTTACAAAACGAATAATTCAACTCGTGGTGCCGACTATCACATAAGTAATCATTTCCTAGCTAGCTAGTTCTATATACGTCGTTAATGGTTCAAAAATTGATGCTTTGCAGCCATTAGTTTATGGTCAAAATATGGATATGATTATTAATAAACTAATCCACGCCGATAACAAGTCTGCTTAGCTAACATTAATTAATTAAACAATAGTAATGTTTGGTCATTGGGTGTGGTTAACGTTGTTGTTGTCTTCAAAGGAAAGCACTAACTACCGCCCAAAATCAAGTACAAACAACCCAACAACTATATAAACCAATTTGTCTGTAAAGCAAAATATCACATTATTATTATTGTTATTATTATTATACCAATTTGGACAAATTAGACTGCCATATTGCATGCAGTGTCCCATTGTGAGTGGTTGCTTCTATTTTCTTTTCTGTTTTCAGTACTGAAGGAGCTAGCAATTATTATTCTATCGCTATATTTATACAAATGATCAGAATGAACACTGAAATTATATATAAAAAGATAAATGGTAAATTGATAATTTAATTTACATTTGAGTCGGCGAGGGAGACTGAAAGACTACCATATTGCTAGCTATTTGGATGGAAAAGTGTGAACAATCCACATAGTTTAGCATTGATTCGAATCATTTTTCTATATTCATATATAACACGTACAGTCGATGATTTTATCCAGCTCTAATTGTCAATTCCTTTTCTACATTAGTATTGCTAAATGTTGAATAGAAGGAGAATAATATATCTAGGTAGGTAGCGTCGTAGAAACTAAAACAAAATAACGAACAGTGAAGGATCATATTTATGGTTAGTTGAGAGAGTTTGAACAATTCAAATGGTTTAGCATTGATGATTTGGATCATATTTATATCATCATATGTCACCATTGATGCTTTTGTCTCATTGCCAATTCTTTTCTTCCTTACGTAGTGCTAAATGTTTGAACATGAACGACGACAATGTAGCTAGTTAGGTAGCTTCATGGAAACTGAAAAACAGAGGCGTACAAATAGAATATATAATAGAGTTTATTATAACATATATAATAATTAAAATGAGTTAATTAATTTTAAACGTGATGATTCTTTTCTTGGTCGTAATTTGACGTGTCATCGTCTACATTATGGTCCATATCTGTGTATATATATACACTTATATTTCTCCTTCGTTTTTGTCTGCTCATTCCAAATAAAAGTCTTGTTTTTTACCAAACAATTAATAGTTTAATGCGATTTATTTGTAGTATACTATATAATATAATATAATACGACCACGGTATCTGTTTTGAAACTATTGAAACTACTCCATTATTCCAGGGGAATTACGTATGAAATGCAACATCCAAGCCATGTAGATGGTTTTGACTGCTGGCTGCTGCTCTGTCGGCTGTACGCGCGTCTTTTTCTCAAGAATACATGTACCGATATAATTAGTCTCGAGACCGGTCTCAGAGAGTTAAGCTAACTTGGACAGAGTTTATGCCTTTATGGTACATGGTTGGAATTCGAGCAAACTATATAATATCCGGATTCCATATATCGCACCAATTCGTGTAAAGCCGTTGATATTGTTGGTTGATATAACGTAGAGGTCATCAAGGTGGTAATGAAAACCATAGACGACAAATGTCAAATTTTATGTTTTGATATAACGTAGAGGTCATCGGAGTTGTAATCGTTTGTGATCTTTGCTTCTTGGTAATACAAGCTATCTTTTGCCAAAAAAAAAAAAAATTGTATAGCACTTTTGTAAACAATCCTTGTATTCCTACAAACTACAAAGTCATGTAACCTAATAAATGTATAAGTTGTAAGACATACATAAACTCAAAATGTACTATTTGATTCTTATATAATTTGTTATTACACTCATCAAACGACAACCAACTCATATGAACTTTAAGTTTGTAAAAATAGAAAAATCATATGTTTAACAAATCGAGGACAACATGAATCAAATACAAGACATATCGATATTTTTAAAAACTTTTAAGAACTAGTTAATCGCAATAAATCAATCAAGTTGTTTGAAAATATTCAATATATTATGTATCTTTAACAATTTACTAACGATGGAGACCAGTTGGTTTCTTGACATGGATGTCGGATTCTTCCATATATGACCATGCCAAGAGAGGTCTTGTATTCGAATCTCGGCGACCTCCATTGTTAACCAATTGGTATTTGGACATGTGTGAACATTCAAGCTCACAAATTGATCTTTCGTTTAAATGAAGCTCCTTAGTAAATAGTATAAGATCCATAATAGAATCACTCCCAACAATTTAGATTATTGTCACTAAACTTGTTTGAACACTACCCATTTTGAAACCAGCATAAATAAACCACACGCAAGTAGTGATTTTGGATTCACTTGCAAGTCTTAGTTAAATCTAGCTCTAAGTTAGCCATCAGTAATTAAGTCGATCTCTTGAGTTTTTTTTATTATTGATTTTATTAGTCAAGTCGATATCATGTATTTTTTTCGTTTTAAAAGTATATTTTCTCAACTTTTTTCATAAAAGAATTGAATTATTATTTCTTTGAAATCATATATGAAAATACAATTTTTACGGACTCAATCCTCATTCTAAATTTTCAATACAAAGCGATTATGAGCACTGAGGTACAGGTACTAGCTCTTCCATTAACCATTCCTTTCATAAATTCGTCATCCTGCTCAGGTTGGGTTGAGTTGGGCTTCTTTGTTGGGGACAGTGTACGCTATAGACCTTTCTCGTTGACGAAAATTAAGCCCATTTCCTTTGGACCAAGGCGCAGAATCTTATCCAATATAAATCAAGTTATCTAAGCCCATTAAGGGAACTTGGGGGGAGAAGAACTTCAATATATCAACACTAAAAATTGTTATGCTTGATAGGGATGGTTTCACTGGAATTCAGTTTTGAATTTAGAGAAACTTTTAGACCTTTGTATGTAGAGCTTGGTTTTATTATTTTGTCAAAAAAAAAAAAAAAGGAGCTTGGTTTTATTAGCGTCGGATTGTAATTCAGCGAGCTTTTAGCTCAATACTGCCGACACAACAATACGCATAAGATTTAAAATTGATGTAGACTGTCAATTTCTTGTTTCTTCTCTTACATTTCGTTCCATCATAGTTATAGGTATCCGATTTAAAAACAAGTGTGGATTCCAAAACTTAGATCTAACATGTTAAACAACGCTTTTAATTTTGATACATTGAAAAATAAGACTTGTGATACGTGATGAAAAGATTCTCTATTTAGATGATAGTACTCAACCCAACCTGAATAACATTTGTGGCTATGAGGAAGGGAGAAAAACACGAAATACCCTAACACAAAAAGATGTACTTGGAGCAACTAAATTCACTCATTGGTGTAAATAAATGTGGGGTTCATCACTATATAAGTACTACACATGAGTTTTAAGTGCATGTACTTCATGGCTAATCAAAATCAAGTATACATCACCCGAGCTAAGAAAAAGCATTAGTACTCTCAACAACAACAAGGAAAGGACGTTTTTGGTGGGACCTTGGCTTTGTCCATTTGGTTATATGGAGATTACGTGATGGGAACTTTGCCTAATCCTTGTGTCATTGAACTAAGCAAGCAAGTACCCAACCAAACCCGACTCTCTCTTCTTTTTCTCTTCCTAATGAAAACTCTCATCATCATCATCATCATCATAATAACATAAGAGAGATCAAATCATGGTGGAAAAGAATGTTGGAAGTGGGAGTGGAAACATTATCTCCATGGAGTCATCCCCCTGGCTTGCCCCAATTCAGATAACAAGTTAATTAGTAACCTATAGCTACAAAGTTAGGACAGTCCTATAGTGTGTTGTTATATTAATTGCGTGCTTACTGGCTAGCTAGAGTAGTTTACATCATGTTTTTCAAGTTGTAATTTGCTACTAGCTAAAGAGTTAACATATAGGGGGGTCACTTTCTTAAAGAGATAACCATGTTTGGTCAAATCGTGTTTACTTAAGCGTGAAAGTACGAGATAAGATGAAGGATCGATGCGTACAACACAACCAATGCGTTGAAAAAGTATGTATGTTCTTAAGTAATCTGTAAAACGACCAAGCTTGGTGAAACCAACGAAAAGTGGTTGGGAGAGGTTTCAACGAAAGTCTGCCTGCCTACCCACTGGCTTTGAAAACAAGGCTTTAATAATTCAAACACGTAAAGTTGATCATCTCTCTCGACCATCAATAATATATCATTGTTTGATATCATGTTAAGAATCGGTCCTTACGTACCAATAATTCGATAAAAAAGCTCTGTGATTAATTGTTCAATCTTTTTAATTGTGTTATGTGTACCATTATTTACTCATATAACATTGGTTTTTCCTTGGGAAATTTGGTGCTATTATTCTAGTACGTAAGTTGGTCCGTTGGTAAAACGGTTTCTTTGACAAAGTAACCAAACGTGTCGTTGGTTCAATGGAACAAGTTTCAATGATGATGACCAATTTCATCAGTTAGAAACCTCTTTCTGCTCAACTGTCCACTCATCTTCCGGCAAGAATCAGGACACATTCACACCAAGGCTAACTAATTTTCCTGTTACAAGTCGCAGTTTCGATCGAATTACAAAAATAGCATCGTCTTTATGAAACTCGAACCCAACACGGTGAGTTGAAATTAAGTTAATTTTTCAATTCTTTTTTTGATCAACTTTAAGATACACATATAACAATATAATCTATCGATCAATTTGATTCGGTCTACCGATGATCAAATTAATCATAAACTTGCAAAATTAGGGGGGGGGGGGGGGGGAAGAAGAAGAAGAAATTAGTTCCTCGATCGATCATGCACCGGTAATAACACTACGTACGTACGCATGTGTTTTAAAGTCTCAAGGACAAGTCAAGGTGGGTGCTGAACTCTTCCTCAACATGACTCTCTCTGTACCCCATCGACGACACGTACCACGAATTTCGATCACGATCAGTCGGGAAATTCCCTTGTTGATCTTCTTCGTAATGTCCTGGTCTCTGCTGCACGTGGCTGCTTCTGCTCCATGGAGCAGTAGCAGAGGAGGTCGAACTGTAATTAGAATTAGTAGCTCCCCTCTTGGCTCCACCAGCAGCAGCAGCAGAATGATGAGCCGCGGTGGTTGATGAGCTGGTGGTGGTGTTGATGATGTGGCGAGTCTTGTTGGCGAGGGTGCGCTCCAGCTTGTGGGCGTTCTGGTGGCCGCCCAGTGCCTGCGAGCTGTAGAACTTACGCTGGCAGTAGTTGCACGAGAACACGCGCGCCTCCTGATGTTGAGCCGGACCAGCTCGTGGCCACGAAGTGGCGATGGAGGAAGATGAGGTCAAGTTACAAGGGTCGAGGACGAGGTCGAGATTCACTACTTGGCCGCCATAGTAGTCATGATGCTCCATTGGCTGCTGATGAAGGCTCAAGTTCAGGGAAGTGTTTGGTTGGAAGTGATGATGAGCATCCATTTTTTTTCTTGGTAACGAAGAATTGAAGCAATATATGGAGAACTTGGAGAGAGTTGTGTAGGAAGTGTTTATATAATGCAAGTAGCTAGGGAGGAGAGGGCACTATACTAGTTGGTTATTTTGATTGATGTTCCTACAACCATATACGTATTCCACTACTACTTGCAGTCTTGAGTAGAGGAGCAAGTGTGAAGGACAAAGTGGTGGCATATATATATATTGGCATATTTGATATATATAGAGAGAGAGAGACATGGGGAGAGACTAGAGAGAGAGAGACGAGGAGGATGTCAAGTGGGGAATCAAAGAGGCTGTCGCCTCTATTAACGGCAACATTGTTATCCCCTGTCGGTCCATCAAATTTTCCAATGCCTCCCTCCCATTGCATTATTAATTAATTTTACTCTCTTCTTTTTAAGGTGGAAATTAACTCAAATCCTCTAAGCTTGAGATTTGCTGGTTCATTGTTAGTTTGTTGGGGTTACGACTTACGAACCCATTCATTCTATATAATTCCGTGTGGTAAAAATTTATGGGTCAATCCATATCTTACCCTGATTCCATTTTCATTACTTAGTACACGAAATGTCGCAGATAGGTGAGTGTCTTCTTAATTTCTAGTCAGGTCCGTCCAGTTAAGTTATCTGGTGTTAACATATTTGCACATCTTGAATATTCGATCAGTTTGTATAAATAGATCAATCTTAATCCTGATCAAATAATTGTAACAACCTTTTATCGCACTTTGAGTTCTTCAATCAAGCAAGCAACATCGTGTATGTATACATGAGTCCATTGCAGTTCCTGCTCGTTCATGATGGTCACTCTTTTGGGGATCTTTTGGTCCACGTACGGATGATTCATAGAAAAGGTACTGTTGTGGAATTCATCAAGTAGTCATGGAATGCTTTATGTTGGAACTTCCAAGTCTTACTATGTACGCAAGAGAGCAAAAGATGGTGTCATGTCCCGAGACAAGCAATATTTTGCTAAGGTAAAGACTGACCATATATACATAACCCCAATTATCTTAGTATTAATTACATATGCGCGAAGTCAAAAAGGAAGGGCTCTCCCGACAGTGGGAAGAAGCATTTTTGTTGAGGCATTCAAATATGGACTCAGAAATGACTGCACTAGCTAGCTACATAGTGAACCTGCCATACATGTAATATGGCATCACAATCACATTGAACTTATTCCAACCGTCCATCGCATCCACTAGCTAGCTACTTCCAATCTCCATCAATCCAACCAGCTGTTATTGAAAGAAGAAAAAAAAGGAAAGGCTATAGCCAGCCAGCCAAGTTGCCAAAGTTTTCAGCGCAATGCTGTGTTGGAAATTGCAGCATATATAGGCAGCAAAAAGCAAGAATTTGATTGGACTCACAGTAATATGGTAGTGAAATCAGTAATTTGGTCATGGGTTTAATTTGAATGTTTATGTTAAGTCAACGTACAAAGAGAAGCTTTCGTTGAAGCATAGGTACGTGAATCCAATCGATTTGCAACAGCGGTTGAGCTATTCAGGTGTATCGATCGACCGCCTGGTTAGGTTATTTAGAAGATCTTAATTAATCATCAGCTATCGATGAAGTAAATTTTTGTCACATACGATAGATCAAATTGTAAGGGACAGAAAAATCACATGTTCATCTAGGCTTGATACTATATGAAAAAACTGTTATCTTGATACTATGGGGGGAAAAAAATCAAGCGATCGATGGAAAAGATCACCTGTGCTGAATTTTTGGTAACCCCATACCCTAATTGATACTAACGGTCTTATGTAAGTGTCATGTATAGTTACAACTTACACGTCTTTATGAATTTCAAACTCCATAATTGAATACTCATTTGAAGCAACACGCAGTATGTAAATGTACAATATAAAATTTATTTTTTAGATTTGATTTTGTTTTTCCAAAAACTCTCGTTATAATTATATTTATTTTATTCCTATTCTTATATGTTGTTAAGGCCTAAGGGGCGCCCACAAGGGAGCGGCAGATTGGGGTTGGTGTCCTCCATAATGTTTATTAATGGTATGGTGGCCTTACCTCTTTTCTATAGAAAGGCCACCGAGGTTTCAGATTAAATACTCCCCTTACTCCTCACTCCTATGAATCATTATCTCCGATCCTGCTTCTTCTTCTTCTGCTATGTCTGTCTGTGTCTGCTAATTAACTGAGACAGATCACATGGAGGCTTGAGATATATATGAAAACTGTTGGAGAGCAGACCATAGTTTAATTTACGACTTAATTATATAATCCATTCTGTTCACTTCTGAACAGACACTCTGTGTTTCTGTCCTCAACTTAATGTTTAGTAGTTATATATGTATGTTCATCTTCTCCCTAGATAGTTTGCAACCAAATATGAATCAATATCCACAACATCATGTATTATGAGTTCTGATATATTTTTCCCATTATTAATTTGGGTGAATTGTTACAAGATGAGTTAGATGAATTGTTACACAAAGTTGTCGTCTTCAGTTAATTAGCTATTAGGGGTTGTTTCGTTTGGATGAAAAATTATAACGAATCAATGTGACTTAATTGTCTTATTTTGAGAAAATAGACTTAAATTGACTCGTTTTGCACCATAAAATTTGAATTGAGCAATTTGACATGATAAATTTCGAATCAACTCATTTTGAGGCAATTATAACTATCTGGACTAAGACATGTAATTCAAGTTTACTTATTTTAAATGACTCATTTTGTAAAATGAGCAATTGACCAAATTGTCTTTTTCAATTGATCCAATTCTAACAAGTTCATTAAGAATACAGTTTATTGATTGCTCTATCAATAACGCTATAGTACTTAGAGTCTATTCTACAATAAAGTTACATGTAAATCATAACAATTACGTGGACAACTTTTTTTGTTACCATTCACACTCATATGTTATCGCCCATATGAGTGAGATGTTTTTCGAGCTACTTATACCTATTGTTAGGGTAATCCAACATATCAAGTAGTACATTTTGGTTGATTGTACATTTTTCTTTCCTTTCCTTTTTTTCCTGTAGAATTCATCTCCACTAGACCAAATTGATGAGTTTTTAGGTGACACAATTTTTGTTTGATGAGCTCCATTCCATGTATATTTTAAGTTTAAGTATAGAGCCCCCAATCATCAGACTATTGATATTACATTATACGAGAACTTGAAGGTGGCGGGGGGATCAAGATCTTACAAAGTCGGCTATAATTGCGCCGACCGGCGTGTTCTGTTCTGTTGATGACAAACACAACATAACATGAACAAAACAACAACTTGACAAATCCCATGCATGAACATGAAATGATCATCGTGACAATAATCACAGGATCGATGATGAGAGGGAGGGAGGTTAGGTTGAGAGAGAGAGAGAGAGAGCTAGCAATCAGCCACCAATGAAAGATTCCCTATCTACTTGGGTTCGAGGAACATTGATTCTCTCGCTGATCCATTCCATTTCCTTCCTTCCACTGGGCTGAAATTACAAGGAAAAAATAAGGAACAAATATTAGACCAAATCATCAGTTGAATAGGGGAATAATGTAATGTGCCCTACTTTGGTTTTTTTTAGATGTGGTTGTACTTGGAAATATTAGCTGTAACACCTTAGACAAATATAATATCGATAAAGCATGAGAGAGATCTATGGTTCATATAGAAAATCGATCTTAACTGATAAGACGCATTTTGGAGTGAAATGGAAGAGTTCTTGTGAGAACTCTGAAGTTAAACGTGCTCAGTGTAGAGTACAACAAGGAATCAAGAATGGGTGACCTTATGGGAAGTCACCTTGAATTGCACCCCAAGTCGAAAACCGTGCAGATGTAGAGGCCAAAGCGAACAATATCTTGCTCAGTAAAAGATTCGAGATGTTACATTAGCAACTAGCGTGATGATAAAAAAAAAGTATAAGATTCATTATTTTGTATGTCTGATAATTCAAACGTGTTGTGGTTAACCGAAAGACTCAAAACATGTTAATGTGATCCGTTATTTATGAATCAATACTAACCATGGGGCTAGGTTTGCTTGCCTGTGTTGAAAGTAATCATGTGGACTATATACAATCTGTACTGAATACTCGAATCCGACTACTTTATGTGTCCATGAAGATAGCAAGCTATACATGAGTAATTAAGTAAAACAAAAAAAAAAGGTTTTTCATTCTTGGGGTTGTTTTGAGTATTTCTCTTTGCTTCGAGAGATCAATTCTTGTGATCTCCATAGCCGGTACAATTTATTTTTCGTTTTTTAGTAATTCTAGTTCATCGCCATTATAAAAAAAATCATTCACACACGAAAAAAATACTTTATATTGAACCATACTAACCTCTAATGTCAAATTCCTTGCAACTAGCCCAGTTATATATCTTATATTATTCTCTTGTATGCCCACACTCAAATGATGAATGTTCATCTATGGAGTTTTAAATTTGCCTTTAAGTACATCTTACGTTGTGTTTAAGCAAACAATTATATCAAGATTTACCATAACCAGAAAACATGATATCTCACAGTCTCAGTGCAATTAAAAGTTGTAATCGTTATATTAAAACTCAGTTCACCCCGTAATTAAATCTTATGATACATCCATTCCCTCTACAAATATGAATGTTGTCATCATCAATTGGTTTAAAAACAATCTTACATTAATCAATTAATCTTGAGTTCTTGACACAACATGATTAATTGTACCAAATAACTAGCTAGCTCTTTCCTGATTACTTCTCATCTTCACAAAACCTGACTCAGCATGACAATGTGTCCATAAATAAGAAGTAGAAAGACAATTTGGTTAGCTGCAAATACTTTAATTGGGGTCCACATGGGATTGAGTGATTGATAATTGGGCATAATTTGACGGAACTCTAATTGGTTCAGAATATTTGTCTGTCTAACCTTATAGAGTATATGCAAATGCATGGTATACTTCTCTTTTCTTCTTCGTTTAGAGCAAAATAGTCCTTATCATCATCACATATATAAAAAATCACTAATTCGGATCATAATAAAGTTTATTGAAATGTTAGTACCAACTGATGTTTTGAATAAGTCATTCAATCGATCTTGCTTAATGTCTTACAACAACTTACCCGCCATCACCATATATGATAACACAAACGATAAATAATTAACTACATAATAAAATTTATTTTCGTGGACAAGAAAAATTGAGCTTGTATATGAGGTTGATTTCCTCCTCCTTTTCATATTGACTACTTAATTCAGCCTAATTATGTTTAGGTGAAATCTAAGTGTGATCGTACTTAACTATCATGTTCTAGATTTCTTATTAACTTTTGAATTTCTAAGCGAGTCGTTTTGACGTTGTCTAACACCAAGACGTATCTAAGCTCATACCTAAACACGCCTTTTTGAACTCTGCTCTTAACTATACTACACAAAGAAAATACATGTACCAAACACCCACCTCCATAACATTATTTGTAAATCAGAATACAGGCACGACATATTACACAAAAAAAGGTTGAATCTATATGATTAGTACCTTCATTTTGCTCCTTCCTCAATTCCCCCATTCCCATAATTTACATAAAAAAAAACAACCACCTCGATAATTAAGCATAGGATTTCCCCAAATTGCAATGTTAAACTACAACATCACTCTTTATATCTAATAATTAAGCGGGAATGCTGACAACCAACCTGGCTCTCAAATCCTTCCTCAAAATCTTCCCCGATGGAGCTTTAGGAATGGAGTCCGTGAAAAACACCCGATTGATTCTTTTGTAGAATATCACCTGTTTGGAGATGTACTGTCTGATCTCATCCTCGCTGATTTTGGAACCATTCGATCTCACCACAAACGCCACAGGGACCTCTCCGGCGCTCTCATCTTTCATCCTGCCCCAAAACGACAACAACCCCTGTCGTTTAATAATTAACGTTCTCTTGAAGACACTCTCTTCTTTTTAACTCTTAGAAAACAAAACAACTTACGGGACAACGGCGGCATCGGAGATATTGGGATGCGCGAGCAACATGGCTTCGAGTTCCGCCGGAGCAACTTGGAACCCTTTGTACTTGATCAGTTCTTTCAGCCTGTCGACGATGAATAACTCGCTGTCGTCGTCGATGTAGCCTATATCGCCGGTGTGTAGCCACCCTTCCTTGTCCATCGTGTTCGCCGTCGCTTCCGGGTCATTCAAGTAGCCTGAAACAAACAAACAAACCCATTTACAACTTTGGACCGCTAAAAAACAGCCCACATTTCTTGGGCCACAAGCGGCCCACGCATCATGTCATGTGGTACACCCTTCCTTTTTGGGTATATCGTTACGTGGTACAAAACTAGTACAAACTTGTTTTGGGTACGCGTTGTTGTATAGCCTAACGACCTCGAATATTGCTGGGTAGGGCGACGTGGTCGGCCCAGGTCCATTAGGAAAAAACAAGCGAGAAAATAAAAAGCCCAAAAAGAAAATACGAACCTTTCATAATCTGGCTGCCTCTAATGCAAATCTCGCCGGCCTGGTTCCGGGGAAGAGATGTGCCGGTGGGCGGGTCGACGATTTTCATCTCGGCGTTCCTCACCACCGTCCCGCAGGCGCCGGACTTTATGTCAAACGGCTCCTTGGCAAACGCCAAGCACATTGATAGCACTGGACCCGCCTCCGTCATTCCGTAACCCTACAATCGCCCCGCCAAAACATCAGCCATACCTTATTACTTAGTAACAATTAATAATTCCAACCATGAAATTGATTTTATGTAGAGTGAAATGCTACCTACCTCCAACATGAACGTCATACGTCCACGTCGATAGCAAACAAATATCAAACACATAGTTCAAAAAATAAAAATTTTGATAGAGAAATTTTTTCAAATTAAGGTAGTTGTCGAAGTATACATGACAAAGATTTATGATGGTAACGAGTGATAATAATGAGCACGTTGAGATTTTGTTAGAACTTTATCAAAAAACTATTTTGCGTTATTGCAAATTTTCAACTTACGATTTGATCATTACAAATATAGAATACGAACTTTTTTTCGGATTCGGTTGTTGATGTGACTAAATTTTGTGATCCTGACCCATAAGATCGTTAGAACATTAAGATTTTACTACCATCTCATCACGAATTTTTTTGATTTAAAGATAGATTCGTAATGGTTCAACTTCTCACCCCGATCTTTAACCAAAATGACAATGACAAAATTGAAATGCACCATTTAATAGGTTTTTTATACCTGTCCAAGCGTGGCATTAGGCAGTTTGGCTCTAACAGCATCCTCGAGCTCCTTCCCCATCGGCGCCGCGCCGGACATCACCATCCTTATCGACGACAAGTCGTACCGGTCAATCTCCGGCGACTTCGCAATCGCCAGCACGATCGGCGGCACGAATGGCGCGATCGTCACCTTGTACCTCTCCACCAGCCCCATCAGAGCCCCAATCTCAAACTTGGGCATGATCAGAATCGCCGCCCCGACCCTCAGCCCGCATAGCATGATCGAATTCAACGAATAGATGTGGAACAGCGGCAAAACGCAGAGTATCACGTCGTCCCGATGGAAATACAGATTGGGATTCTCGCCGTCGACCTGCTGCGCCACGCTCGTCACCAACCCCCTGTGCGTCAGCATCACGCCCTTCGGCAGCCCCGTCGTCCCCGAAGAATACGGCAGCGCCACCACGTCGTCGGGATTTATCTTCACCGCCGGCAGGATCGGATCAATTCCGCCTCCCTTCACCAGATCCGAGAATTTCAAAAACAGAGCATCGTCGATCGTGACGATTTCCACTTCCGATTTGATTTTTTCGGCGAAATTGGAATGCGTGATGACGAGCTTGGCCTTCGAGGCCGCGATCTGCTTGGCGATTTCGACCGGCGTGTAGAAAGGATTGGCGGTGGTGACGACGGCGCCGAGGTGCGAGGCGGCGAGGAAGGAGAAGACGAATTCAGGGGAGTTGTGGAGGAGGAGCATGATGACGTCGCCCTGCTGGATTCCGAGCTCGTTGTGGAGGCCCGCCGCGACGCGGCGGGAGGCGAGCTCGACGTCGGCGTAGGTGTGGGTGGTTCCCGTGGCGCCGTCGATGAGGCAGGGCTTGTCGGCGAAATGGGAGATGTTCTGGAAGCAGTAGGAATGGAGAGGGAGGTGGTGGGGGATGTAGATGTCCGGGAGCTTGGATCGGAAGATGAATTCGTCGTCGTGGTGGTGGTTGTTTTGGGATTCCATCGCCGCCGTCGCCTGAAACGGAGGAGGAAATGTGGGATTTCAGGCGGCGGCGGAGGAAGGAAGGAAGAGGGGAATTGGGTGGGTGTTTGGTAACGGGAGTTTTCTTTAGTTTTTTCTTTCTCCTGGGTTTGGGTAATTAAGGGGCGTTGGCGGGAGGTTAAATATGCAGGGTAGTTGGTTAGGTGATGGTAGAGGAGAACCGGTGGACACGTCATCCATGGTGGTTTTCATACAACCACGATGGGGACGTTCGATGATCGGCGGAGATCAAAACGGTGAAACGGATAATAGACATAAATTAGTGGATTATAAGTTACAACAATACGTATTTTCTTAAAATTCAATCACTTATTAAATCAAATGATATGATTGACCTTTACACGATCAAAAGTTAGGGAGTGTCTATATTCATTAGAAATGATAATAGTGTAAAATTAGCTAAAGGAAAATGTATACACGTCTTGATGGCTAATACGAGTTTAATATTTGATTTAGAAGGTTCAAACTGATGGGTTCATCACATGCTAATAAAGTCTTTGTCAATCACCAAAAGCCTCTTGTATACTGAATGTTTTGGACCTCCTAGAGTATAGAAAGAACGACGTCTTTATACATCGTCTTTTTAGTCGCGATTTTCATAGTGTTGTACAGTTCACTTTCTATGTCTTCTGTTCGCATTTCAAGAAACTAATCTTTAACCCTTATGAACCATCATGTTTGGAGTCTTCAAAGTGGTTTTTGTTAGGGTCATTTCTTACTTCTCCCTCTATTATTGAGTGGCCTTGCTTTGAAGTTTGAAGAGATAATCCCAAACCCACCTACTAATCCCAAATGGGGACATCTTGGTTTGACTCCAAGGGAGAGCTGACAATCATCTACCTAACACAGATTGCCTGGTCAAGAGCTCTATAGTAGCTAGCCGTGGGTCGAGCAAGACAACAGCATAAGTTGATTGCAAATTTAAAACTAGCTTAGACAGAGGAGAAAGTCCTTTATGGTGGCTTTTTGCAGGAGAGAATGAGAATCGAATCGATTCATTCATTTGTCTACACTACCAAACCCCATAATATACTTAATTATTAATTAAGAAATACATAATTAGCTGTAGTTTTGTTCTAAACTTGTGGCGTTTATTAGTAGTTTAACTGTTTAAGTAAAGTGATTCTAAGCTTCTCGCTGGGCTTAATCTTTGATAAAGACCAGAAACTTTGGCAGTGGCAGTAGTGCGGCCCATAAACTCTACTAAGTAATTGTTGCACAAAGCCCATTCAGGAACCCAAAGGAAGGCATAGGTAGGTGCTGGGGGATGATCAAGTCTGGTGTAGTACTTGGAAGTTAGAAGATGAAACAAATCGAGAATGAATGCAAATCCATTATTTGGAATGAGGATTATGCTGATCTTGGTTCAATATGTATGCATTTGTTTTCTTAAGAAAGTAATTTCATGGAATTAAAATCTAATAGGTTGTATTATATTCAATTTGATCTGATTTCATATGTTAATTACATCTGAAATCATGAGAACGAAGTTATATCGTTGCTCATCTTTGAATCTCTTTTTTCATCACACGAAAAAAAACTCCAACCAATCGAGTACTTCTAATTTGTAACTAATAACCGCGCGTAAATCTATAAACAGTAAATCACAATATAAATATATTATTATGTCTAACTTCACCGATGACTTGGATCCCAATCTCCAAGTCTCACTTCATAGGAATGAGTCGAACTCTCTCCCGTTAAACACAATCAACTGCTGGATACATAAACGTGCAAATGCACTAAATGCATAGTACTATACCCCCCTTCTTCCCACTTTGTCTTAGCTAGAGAAGGAATCGAAAGTCAAATTGGTGCTTTCTATCCAAGTAAAAGCCACCAAAAAGCAACTTCCCCCAACTCCTCCATTTTAGTCTAAACTCTCAACCGGCCCCCACTTTTCCCTCTTCTCTCTCACCATCATTCTTCCCCCACGAAACTCAAAAGAATAATGAAGCTCCTCACAAAGGCATACTCCCGCCATGTCCACCACCGCCCTTTCATCCTCTCCTCCATAGCCTTCATCCTCTTCTTCTGCCTCTTGGCCTCCATCAACGAGGTCCGCTTCGACCGCCTCCTCCACCTCGGCCAATGCGCCATCTCCAAGCTCCAATATCCCTCCATCTCCATCTCCACCACCACCACCACCAACTCCTCCTCCTCCTCCTCAAACGCTACTAATAATCTCGCCGCCGCCGACGATGAGATCCGGATCCTGATCGGCATCCTGACGCTGCCCGACCAGTACCCTCGCCGCCACTTCCTCCGCATGGTCTACGGCACCCAACCGGTTCCAAAGGGCGCCAAGATCGACGTGAAATTCGTCTTCTGCAACCTCACCAAGGACGACCAGACGGTGCTCGTCGCCCTCGAGATCATGCGGTACGACGACATCATCATCCTCGACTGCAAGGAGAACATGAACAACGGCAAGACCTTCACCTACTTTTCCAGCCTCCCTGACATGTTCTCCGACGAAAGTCAGAAAATGTTGAAATCAGGTGTGACGTCCTTCATTTTAATTAGAATGTAATTTATTCCAATTGAAGATTCATTAATAGTGTAATGAAATCAATTTTATCATAAATGAGATTTATTGAAGTGATAAAATACTTTTGCCTTTGCATTTTTTTTTCCTTCAAAACAATGCAGTCAAAATCGCGTTTTAAAACTTAAAAACTTACGATTTTACGCTTTTAGGTCACCAAAACGCTTTCGTTTCCATATAAAAACTTAAGTGTATAAAATCGGACTAAATCGCGCTTTAAAGCTTAAAAGCTTACGCTTTTACGCTTCTAATTCACCAAAACGCTTTACGTTTTTACGTTTTTAGTTCACTAAATGAGTATTCTTTTCATGAAATTAATTATAAAAAGTATATTTTAAAAGTAAATCACCAAGAATATGATACATTTGAGATTAAAAGATACATACCATGTACTTGAATGCATTCTCAACTTCAATAGAGTAATCTAATTCACCAGCTAGGCTCTTCCCGAATTCATTAACATAGAGAAAAAAGTGGCTTATTGTTAAAATTAATGTTTACGAACTTATTATTAAGATGCTACAAGTTGCTCTACCTGAGGCATGAATTGTATGTATTTATTAACTTATCTAAATTCCGTGCATTCATATTTTACATAGTATATATCCTAACTTTTTAGTTATTTTTCAGTATGCTTCAAAAACTTACGCTTTTACGCTTTGATTCTACGCTTTACGATTTTACCCCTTTTCCGCTTCTAGGTAGAATCGCACTTTTGACTGCATTGCTTCAAAATACAAGAGTTTGGGACAGGAAACTGCCTCAAACTCTTGTTTTTTGGATAAATGTTTTGCGTTTATATAGAAATTATTTTTTTATATCCCAAAATTTACCTCTGTCTCGTGACACAAGCAGATGATGGCAACGGTACCAGCGAATCTTCACCTTCTCCTCCATCCCCGCCGTACCACTACGTGATGAAGGGAGACGACGACTCCTACTTCCGGCTGGGGAACTTGGTGTCGTCGCTGCGACCACTGCCGCGCGACGACCTGTACTACGGGTACGTGATCCCGTGCCCGAGCATGGACCCGTTCGTGGAGTACATGTCGGGCATGGGATACCTGGTGTCGTGGGACATCGTGGAGTGGATTAAGGAATCGGAGATTCCGAGGAACCACCTGGACGGGCCCGAGGACAAGGTGTTTGGTGCGTGGCTCAAGGAAGGGCGGCGGGGGAGGAACAGGCACAATGCCAAGTGGTCGATGTACAACTTCCCGGTGCCGCCGTCGGGTTGCACGCATGAGTTCTGGCCGGACACGATTGCGGTTCACTTGTTGAAGAACCAGCCCAAGTGGATCGAGACCTTGAAGTATTTTAATGCTACCAAGGATCTCAAGCCTTCCAAGTTGTATCATATTCCTTGAATTGCTACTTTCGCTTTTTTTTTTGGTTCATCACTTTTTTTTTTTTGGGTTTAATTTGGCTAGTTAATTATTTGCAATATTGGAAGAGTTATATATCACGATATATACTAAATAAAAAGTTCTAATTAAAGGATGCTTGATTTTGCATACTAATCTACTAAGCTCTGGTCCTCTTGTTTCATTAAAGAAAATTCGTGTTTGATGTTTTGGTGGAAAGACGATCTTTGTATGAAAATCTAGCCATCCAGGGAGATTGAGTTGTTGTCATCTTTTATATTCATAGAGGATAATAAATGTGCTCATTACCTAATTAGTAGCACGAAGTCACTTATTAATTTTGGGTTTGCATTGGATTCACGTAGCAGGTACTATGCTTTGTTATTGATCTTTGATTCTGGCTGGTTTTAAATGAAATTTTGGGTACATTTGTATTACCAAACACAAAAGTCTAGCAACATAGGTGTACATCAAGTTTCAATATATCAACATCCGGATTACAACATTCATGTTTCAAAATTGTCTGATACCATGATATAATTAGTTACTCTCAATAACCATAAAGTCGTTAGTACACGACGACGAAAGTAATTTATACATTAATTGGAATTTATTAGCTACTTTGTAACCTCTCTCGATCTTTTTTAGGTTAGGCTAGGTTGTTTGCAAGAGACATAAAGTTGTTGGATATTGAATGGCTTTAATGTTGTATACTTAGGTCGCTTTGCACCAATTGCACTAAACCGGTCACTTTATCGCAAGCAATGTGACCACCGATCGAGCTCCACTTTCCTTCCAAAAGCGGCCACCGGAGCGAAGTCTTTCACATGGGTGGCTACTGGCTAGCATTTCCCACTATCCCACGCCACCACCAAGCCGTCGTATACTTCCCCAAATCGATAAATCAAGGCAACAGGACATGGATGGGCTTCTAAATTCCTACGTTGGGCTGGAAGAAAATGAAGATCTACCCATTGACTGACATATGGCCTTTCAGAATTTGGTCCTGGAATTGTGGGCTGCAAGCCCAACCATAATACATGACACAAACAAAAGTTAAGCAAAAGGTCATTTTCAAGAGGAAAGAGAGACGATTCATCCAAGAAGTGAAATTAATTAGAAGAAGAGAAACAATTTGTGGAAACATATAAAGATTTGGCAAAATACACTCGCATAGCCACAACTTTCCACTTTGTGCCAACAATAGCCAAATTTTGAAAAATACAGAGAAATAGCCAATCCGTCTAATACTTTAACGGACGAACTTGAACTGCTGACTAGGCTAACGGTTCGCACTGATGTGGCACATCTCCAACGCTATTGTTGCCAGATGGAATTGATGATTTTTAATTTTTTTTTTATTTAAAACATATAAAAACGAAAAAAGGCCCCTCCGTTTTCGCCCAGCCCCTTTTCGTCGATCTCTAACCCTACCAATTTCACTTTCCACCCGACGAAACCCTTTCCTTTCTTTCCGATCCCATTCTTTCTGATCGACGGCCCACTGCTGTTGACAGAGACGATTTGGTGCGGCCTCCGCCGACTGCTACCTGTCGCGACTCGTTTATTGGGCGTCCTTTCCACTTCCTCTCATCTGGGCGTCTTTGCTCCCAAATCCGACATGCATCCCGACGGCGGATAAAACCAACACCGCCGACCGGACTTCTCTTCGCTGATGCCGCTGCAAGTCCTCCAGCGCACACACAGACGCAGCTCTGTCGTCAACGAGAAGTCCAGATCTGGAGATAGGCTCAGCCGTCACCGTCACCGTCGCCGTTGAATCCCGACCACGGGGACAACAACCCCACTTCACTTACGCCGCTGCTGCCGCTGCAAGTCATCGCTCAGTCACCACTCCGCCTTCTCTGTAGATGGGTGGCAAATCTGGCTGACGAGAGCTAAGATACAACGCCCAGTCTGAGCGATGTACGGTACTTCTCTACTCGCCGGTGAGCGAGGATTAGAGGGAGGAGGAGGAAGCGACAGTTGATTTATGGTCCTTCATTTTGGGTTTTTGCAGCCGAGAAGCATGGGTGGAGAATTTTCTGGGAATGAAGGCGGACATAACAGGGGAACAGGAAGAGGGAGCTCGAGGGGAGCAGATTTTGGGTTTTATTGAGATTATTTATTGGATCTGATTTTTGGGAGATTGACACAATTTCTTCGTCTTCTTCTTCCCGCTATGTCATCCCATCACCTGGATCTCCGGCCTCTGTCGCCGTTCCATTCTCCTGACGAATCTATGCTGGTGAATGGCTGCTGATTCAAAAGCTTGTGGAGAAGAAATCTGGGGATTCCTGGATGGCTGGATACACCCATGGAAGGGGAAGGTAGAATTGAGTGGTAGGTATGAGTTGTTTATTAATAAAAATAAATTAATGAATTTTTTTAATTAAAATGGGACGTGGCGTTCAGGTGGCATTGTGTGTCTTGTTGGAGCTGATGTGTGAGCTGATGTGGCATCCATCTCACGGAGTCACTAACGGTGTTAAAGATTTTAACATAAATGGCTAAATCTGTCAAATTACTTTTCCAAAAGTGGCTATTTCTCTGTATTTTTCAAAATTTGGCTATTGTTGGCACAAAGTGGAAAGTTGTGGCTATGTGAGTGTATTTTGCCTAAAGATTTTGGTTCCCTTCAAAATAACGTGAAAGCGACGCCGTTTTGCGCCTGATAAACGCCTGCACCGGTCCGAGATTTTGCTTCGGATTTTTCATCCCTACGCAGATCTATCTCCGCTGCAGGAAAATTTCCCATCACTTTGCCGGGAAAATTCTCAGAGGGGGAAGAAAGCGGTGAATCGAGAGAAAGAAGGAAAACAAAATGTCGCACAGCGACACCATCCCTCTCCACTCATCCTCGCAGTCGGACATCGACGAGATCGAGAATCTAATCAACGCTAGCGTCCAGTCGGGCCCGGCGACAGTTCAACCCGCCCGCCCACCGAGTCCACCGCGGATCCCCGTCTCCTCCTCTCCGTTCCTCCAGTCCAACCTCCCACCACCGTCGACGGCGGCAGCGAAGCTGCCCCCTCTCCCGTCGTCCTCCGCGCCGCCTTCAGTGCTTCCCGCCACTGTCCCCGGGCCCGCGCCCCCGCCTTCGAACTCAGCCGGATCGAACAATTTCGCGGCATCTGGATTCGGCCCAGCTCCGAACACGTTGACGGAGCCCGTATGGGACACGGTGAAGAGAGATCTGTCGAGGATCGTGAGTAATTTGAAGCTGGTGGTGTTCCCGAATCCGTTTAGGGAGGATCCAGGAAAGGCGTTGAGGGATTGGGATCTTTGGGGCCCGTTCTTCTTCATCGTGTTCTTGGGGCTCGTCCTCTCTTGGTCCGCCTCTGTGAAGAAGGTCAGCTGAACTTCCTAATCGTGGTTTTGACTTCGATTTTGAGATTTTGCTTGGTTAGAAGCTCTTTATCTGCTAGGATTTGAACGAACGAGCTGTAATCATAGGCTTAGGTATCCTAGTACGAGAAATTATAGAAATTTCTGATTGGCGATCGTGCCTCTGCATATGTAGTGATCAAATGTATTGCTCTCGCAGCTTGGCTTCCAAAGGCATCATTTGGATTATATTCTGTTTGTATCTAGTTGCTTTGAAGGTGAAGGGATTAGTTTGCTTTTGGCCTTTAACAAGCATCTACTACAATGCTAGTTACTCTGGTGAACTTCTGGAAATGAAATGGAAGTAGGAAGGAATGAGTTAGATTGTAGTTAGATCATTCCCTTCTACTTTTCTGGTTTTGGCTACATCTTGTTGCATTGATGGTTATTGGGGTTTATGATGCACAACTTGTTTCCTGGTTAAGTTGTTTCTTTCTAGCTGCCAAAATGATTTGGTGGCTTGGATATCAGTATCACAATGTTATCGGCAAAGTTACTTTTAATGGGGCATGGTAGAGGAAGAAATGAACTTGAACCTATCCCACCTGAAGTCATACACTTATGATCCAGTGTAGTCTATTTGCAGTTACATAAAGGTGCCTTACTTTTCCACTAGAAAACCAGGGTAAATGTCTCTACTGTTGTACGTGAGAGTTTTCTGGTGATCCGATATTGAATGATTGGACTAACCATAAAAGTATGCAATTCATCACGAAGCGTTCCAGGTTTAAGTGCATCTGTTTGCTGCAAGGATTGGTGTTTGTTATGGCAGCCCTAACAAATTCTCTGTTTTGTTTGCAGTCTGAGGTTTTTGCTGTTGCATTTGCTCTACTTGCTGCTGGTGCTGTCATTTTGACTTTGAATGTTCTGCTACTGGTAAGCTCTTCATTCCTCCCACTCTATTCTCTTCGAGATTCCGTCACTTTAATTGCGTCTCCCCGGATTCCAAATTATAGTTATCTGAATCTTGGATGCTAAGAGGGGTCTTGAAATATTTCTATTTTCTGCAGGGTGGGCACATTATCTTCTTCCAGAGTCTTAGCCTTCTAGGTTACTGTCTGTTCCCTTTGGACGTGGGAGCCCTAATTTGCATGTTGCAGGACAACGTGATCCTGAAGATAGTGGTGGTCTGCGTTACTTTAGCTTGGAGTTCCTGGGCAGCATACCCCTTCATGAGCTCAGCAGTGAATCCGAGGCGAAAGGCCCTCGCACTCTATCCCGTCTTTCTCATGTACGTATCTGTCGGGTTTCTCATCATTGCCATTGATTGAATGCATTGGCAGCTCCCCTACTATGGGGATGCAACATGAATTGAAATCCAAAACCCCCCCACAGTATATAGGTTTCCTATTAGGATCGTTAATTTGGTGCTTTCGTCGACTGGGAATTACTGTATTTCTGCTGTGGCTACTCTTCACTGCTGACGTTATGAAACCTTGATGTCGTTATTGCACTTAAAACTTATTACATCAGCTTCATGAGAGCGTTCGATTTTGAGAGGGAAACTGGAGTCTAGAGTGTTACGTCGGATCTCGCTGTAGCTCCTTTTCCTTTTGGTATGCTAGTTCTGAGAAGGGAAATTTTCCAAACTGTTTACTGTAAACCATCATCCATATTTGGTTGAGGGTTCGATTGGGAGATCTTGGTCTGAAAGTCTCCAAGTTTGGAGTCTGGGATTCAAGGTTGAGGTTTGGTTTGGGTATTGGTTAAAGACTTGAAATGGTCCGTCCATGTTA